ACTCCTCCCCCCCGCCAAACCTCCCAAGAACCCCTCCACCTCTCCCCAACCCCCATCATCGACTACCTCCTCGGCGCCCAGACCCCGCTCGACGCAAACCTGGCGCGCAATATCGCGCGTATCGCCACTGCGCTGCGTGCGCATCCGCGGTATAATCTGGGGAGTATGCGGAAGACTATTCCTGTTCCTGTTCCTGTTCCTGTTCCTGTGGTTGCTGGTGGTGGAAGTGGGAGTGGGAATGACAGCACAACGACGATGCTGGATTTCAGATACACGGCGTGCACGGGTATAGCGGCGCGGCTGGCGCACGGCGTGACGATGTGCGAGGCGTGGAATGGGCATGACGACGACGACGATGATGACGATGGAGGCGGAGACGCAGACGCAGACGCAGACGGAGGCGAGACAACAACACGAAGCAGAGCAAGAAAAACAAGAAGAAGGAGAACAGACGGCTACAAAACAATCTGGCGGCGCGAGCTCGACGCCGCGCTGCGCCCGTTCTTCATCTTCAACGCCGTGCATTTCCCCGAGTTGAAGGGGTGTGCGTTTCTGCGGCGCGGTGGTGGTGGTGATGGCTGAGCGCGTCGAAGTCGTGAAAACAGGGGTAGGGAATGATGTGATGGGGAGTAGGAGGAGAAGGAGGAGGAGGAGGAGGAAGAAGTAAGAGCAAAAAGTACTAGTATCGAGTTTATAAAAACGTGTAAAACAGGGAATACAACACTGCTACTACTACCCCGACCAAGCCAAACTCATCTTAACCCATGCTCAATATCTAGCCCGTAATACAAATACGTACCCCATACTGCAAATATGTACCCCCTACCGCCATTCCAGCCTTGATAGCATAAGTACCATCCCAACGACTAAAATCAGTAATCAACACGTCACGTATCTCTGCTAGAAATACAACGAAGCAGAACTATTTCTCTGTATCTCTCTCTTCTCTCTCTTCTCTCTCTTCTCTCTCTTCTCTCTCTTCTCTCTCTTCTCTCTCTTCCCTCCCTTCCCTCCCTTCCCTCTCTTCTCTCCTTCCACCTTCCACCTTCACGGGTAAACAAAAAAGGGGGTAATAGAAAAGAGAAATGAAGAAAAAGGGGCGGAAAAGAAAAAGGGGGAAGGAAAGGACATGATGCGATGCGATGCGAGATGGACATGGACATTGGATATGGAGACCAGGACCAGGGAGTACGGGCGGGTTTCGCTATGGTTATCCGTCCAAGTATTCAATTCATTCAATTCATTCAATTCATTCAATTCATTCAATTCATTCAATTCATTCAATTCATTCAATTCATTCAATTCATTCAATTCATTCAATTCAACTAATTCGTGTACGCAATGCTTTATATTTCTATAACCACCCTCCCGTTCCCCAACAACTCTATGCTATCTTCCTCCTTCTCATCTAGCGACGGACGTTAGAAGTAGGGATATCAACGCCAACCAAATCAATCTATACCACCCCCAAAATCCCTCACAAACTCGCCCTACCACTACTACCAACACCACTCCCATCATCCCCCTCACCGCCGGGCCTCCTCCCAATCAAATCAGGGATATGCTCCGCCTTGACGCCCGTCTCATGCTCATGCAAAATATCAAACACGGCCGTAAAAAGCGGAAACTCCCGCCTCACAGCCGCTGCATCCCCGCCCAGCCGCGCCAACAACACCTGATGCACATCCTCCGCCGTGCCGGTCCCCTGCAGCTTCTGCCCGTTCAACTCATCGCGCTCGACCTCCCAGACCTTCCGGCCCGTTTCTGTCGCTTTCTTGGCACAGCGGAAATTGCGCCCGCCGGAGCAGCTCGTGATGACGTCTGCGATGCCGCACGACTGCTCCGTGAAGGTGGACGCCTGGACGGCCGGGCCGAAGAACATTTTGCCGAATTTGACGGATTCGAGGATACCCACGCGCATCACGGCGGCCTTGGCGTTGTCGCCCCAGCCGAGGCCGTCGACGAAGCCGGCGGCTAGGGCGACGATGTTTTTGAGGGCGCCGCCAAGGGAGACGCCTGCGACGTCCGAGATCATTTGTACGTGGAAGTAGGAGCGGTGGAAGAGCTTTTGCACGGTGGCGTGGTTGAGCGGGGGGTAGTCTGTGGGCAGTGGCTTCAGGGTAGCTTTAGTTTGTGTGCTGCTGTGGAGGTTTGTTGATGATGAGGACGGGGAGGGCTGGCGCGAGGGCTGCGGGGTGGGATGGCGCGAGTCAATGTCGGGCGGGTGGTACGCGATAGTCGTCTCGGACCATTTCTCGCGGGCGATTTCCGAGGCAATGTTTGCGCCGGACAGGGCGCCGCAGTAGATGTTGAGCGAGTCGGCAATGGTGGTGCTGAGGAGGTTGACCTGGTCGCCGGAAACGTCGACTCCCTTGGCGCAGGATATCGCGCGTGCGTAGGGGAGGATGTTGCCCTTCATGGCCTCGAGGGTGCCCTTGATGAACTGGTGTGGAAGGACAAAGACCAGGACTGTGGTGTCCTTGACTGAGTCGGTGATGCTTGGATTTGCCTTGACGTTGGCGGGGAGCTTCACGCCAGGGAGGTACTTGATGTTCTCGTGCAGTTCGTTGATGAGGCCAGACAGTGCCTTTTCGTTGCCGTCGCGCGGGTCCTTGTACTGCTCCTCGAACACCCACATCTGCACCTCCTCTTCGAAGATGTCGGGATATTGCTTGGTGTTTTCGGCGACGACCTTTGCGAGTGTGGTGCCCCTGAAAGAGTGCTGTTAGGACATGGACAGACCAATTGAGCGTGTGGATCTCACCAATTACCCGATCCTACGATGGTGACCTTGTGTTTCTTTGCCGGGGCTCCTAGAGTCGCCATGGTGCGCTGTGGGTATGGTGGTGGGATAGGATGTCGTGTGACGAAGGATGAAGCTCGTTGGAACGCAGGCGGTGCAGGACGTAGAAGGCGTGGGGCAAGACGAGGACAGCACGACACGAAGGCGAGGAGCATGTACGTTGCAGAATATGATAGACAGTGCTTGCGGAGTGCAGGTCGTGTGCAGTCTGCAGGTAGAGCAGAAAGTTGTTGACGGCGGGCACTGTGGTGTGTGCGTGTGTCTTTTTTGGTTGAGCGTCATTTTGCTGCGGTGCCCGACTTATCGATTATGCGCGGCGAAAATCACTGGAACGCCAGGGCAGACGTGGCCAATCAGAGTAGCCGCGCAAACTCACCCGCAGCATCTAGGTCGCTCTAGGGCCCTGATCGCCATCAGTATCAACAACACTGAGTGAGTGATCAAGTGCTACAATGGGATGATAGCATGCAATTGACTCGAGGAACAAGAGGAAGGATGCAGAGAACACGGCCGTGAGACCGTCGTCATTATTACTATCTTATCGAGCAGCGCGAGGCCGCACCAGCGCTTCATTCCTTAACCCGGATATTCGTAGAATGCAGTCGCTAATCATAAACATGAAACCAATAACCCTGTCGTGACACGTAAATGTCGTCGCACTTGGTATTTCCCCCATATCACTCGTCAAAACACAGCAGCACACTCTGCCCTTACAAGACAAGACCAAACAGAGCAAGCATACCAGCGGCAATGGCAGGAGTACCGTACGAAGCGCCGAGAGCAGCAGCAGCACCGCCAGAGGTGGCGGATGCGGGAGCGCCGGTGTTGGAAGCACTTGGAGCATTGTCTCCACTTGACGCAGTGGCAGATGGGGTAGAGTCAGAGCCGGAAGCCTGAGGGTTGGAGCCTCCGTCGGCGGGATCAGAGGCGTTGAGCTGACCACAGGTGCCTTCAACTTGACGACACTGGTAGATGGCATCCCGATCGCCGTCCGACACAGCAGCGACACACTGAATCACATACTCGCGGCAGATGTAGGCAGGCAGACTCTCCGAGTACTGTGATACGTCGGGGTCGGTGCCGTTGGTGCAGGAGCAGGTGTAGTTGAGGTTGGACTGTACAGGAAAGGAATTAGTGGGCTTGCGACGTCGTGTGCAGCGTCTTGGGTTGGCTTACCGTCATGCAGTCGTTCGAAGCAGTCTCACCAGGCCCACCGCACAGAGAGCGGCAGGTGTTCTTCTCGGCAGTGCACCAATTGGTCTTGAGAGTCTCGTTGACCGAGTTGGGGTTGATGGTGATATTAGAGCTGGCCTGAGCCGAGACCATGCCGGCGAGGGCGGTTGTAAGAAGGAGCACAAGAGATGAAACCATTGCTGCAGTGTTGACGCGACGAAAAGTGAGCTGAGGTGGTGAATTAGCGCGCAGAACAAGAGAATGGGCGCGTGAACAGAGAGGACATACGTTTGATTGATTGATTGATGATGCTGAATACAATGTGGAAGAAAGGTGAGATGCTTTGCGTGGATGGCAGACGTGTGTGTGTGTGGAGAGAGTAGAGTGTGTCGGGTGAAAAAAAGAGGCAAGGAAGAGGAAAAGGCGGCGGGTGGAGCGACTTTATACGAAGCAGCGAGCCTGAGGTGTCGACGGGCGAACGAAACGGGTAACAACGGGGAAAGCGGGTGAATTTGCAGCGACAACACTGGGGCAGGAGGCAAGAGGCAGCACTGAGCAAGGTGATAATTAGTGAAGGCACGACCAAGTGAGGAAAGAACGAACGACAGCTACAATAGTCGCACTTGCCACTACTCACTACTACACTATCTGGCCAGGCGCAAGCCAGCAACGGGCCCCGAAACAGGCTAGTCCAATACCGTTCTTTCCTCTTATCACTTCCAAGTTCCCGCGCTCCTACCTGTTTTACTGTCTACACCTGCATGCCGGGCCTTAATCTCATACCTGCCCGGGTTGTTGTTGTTGTTGTTATTGCTATTAGTGTTATTATTATTATGATGATTGCTATGGCCAATTCATGTCGATCGATGCAAGTATTCACTGCACACACGCCGTACTACACTACACAATGCGCAGAGCCTCAACAGAGTCATCATACTCATCAACCCGGCAGCAACAACGGCAACAACAAGATTGGCGTGGTGGCATGTGCGCGTACGTGCGTGGGTGCATGGGTGCGTGCCCTGGCTGCTGCTCAGTGCTCAATGCTCAGGTACCTTGAAGTCGGACTCTCGCACCTCCACCATCCTGCAGTCCCGCAGTCCTGTAGTCTTGCATACTGTCGACCACGTCTGTGCTGTCTATTGTCTACTGTCTACTGTCCATGCGTGTACGTGTACGGTGCAGCGAAGCCTGTCTTTGAACCTGGCATCACAGCATGAGAGTGCGTAATACCAAGCCGCCGCGCGGGTGCAGTGTGCAAGGGCAGGTCGTTGGGATGGAAACAATCAGTCCAGCGGCGGACACCTCAATATAACAGCGAGATAATAACCTTTAAGCAACGACTGCATCCCTTGTCTTTGCCCGCCGCATCATACAATTATGATACAACCATCATGATAATAATAGTCAATGGCATCTCCAAATAAGCTACTTACACGTACGTACACGTATGTAGCTACGCTTCTCCACATGCGCTGCCGCCAATCCTTCCCCACAACACCATCGCTACTCGACAGCGTCCGTTAGGTATGCTGCCTGATCCAATCACCCAGACTCGCGCTGCATATACAAGACGTACCGGCTCGGCACGATGAGATCGGACATCCTAGGCCTTCCTCTCCCCTCAGCCAATAGTCCGCTACTTCGCAACTCATTTTTGTGAAACCGGGGGATGTGTCAGTATGCGCAGTCCTGCCTGTATCAATCAAATTTGGCTTATCGAGCATCTAATTTCCGGCGCATCTCTCTTTTTCGTGAACTGCACGTGACAGCAATTAAGAGACCCGAAACGAAGCCGCCAGAGTCATGTAGTGACTAGTCCAGCCTTAGTAGTAACCTTGAAGCTGTCGAGGTTAAGGTGATTCATTAATACGCCGCCGTCTCCACCTGCGTTCGTTCGTTCGTTCCCGCAGAGTTTTAGTTCAATTGATCAAGCGGGCGAACCGTCAGCAGAACATCGGGGGCTCCACAGTCATGGATTAACCTTATAATCCTCCTGTTGTCATTTTTGCGCATCGCATCTCATCTCATCTCAATCTCAATCTCAATCTCGTCTCTTACATAAAAAGGCCTTGACGCCAAAGGCCGGTGTCCTGTCGTCTGGGTAGAGCCTGTTCCTGTCTGGGACCTACAAGTTGACACGACCCCACCCGCCGCTGTACTTGCGTTGCCACAGCACGCACTATTATATCATGGCTCAGTCCAGCCAGCCCCCAGAAGAAGGACGAATTCTGCAGTGCTGTGCTTTTTTCTATTGGCTACTGTGATCCAATATAATGATTATTTTGTCAAATGCTTGGATGGCATTGGCAATTGGCACTGCCACTCTGCCCGTCTGCGCATGCATTGGGTGGGCAATGTGGAGAATGACTCTGGCTGCCTGTTTGCCTGATGCCTGTCTATTTTGCCTTATGCGCGCCTGCCTTATGTGCGCCATTGTCGCCACCCAACACCGCACGACGTCCCACGATGGTCTTGTATCTGCTTGCCTCTTTGGGATGTAGTACTCTTGTCTTCCAATAGGATGAGAGGACGTCTAATGCCTGACTCCTGACTCTGCGATGTGTATATTCATTCATAATGAATCAAGTAAGAGGATGCGAGTAGGTTCACATGGCAGTACGTCGTCTTTTCATTTAATTACTTATGATCATAGCATAGTATATTATACATTCAGATGACTCATTGCCAAGCCGAGCGAGCCAGCACGCCGCAGCTCAACGTCGTCTTGCTTTGTATCGGGCTGTGGCCTCAGGCACCAACGTCTCCGAGTCCGCACGTCCTTGGTCCGTCCCGGGCAGCCTCGTCCGAAGTCTGAACCAAGTCCGAGCTTGTCTAACACAATTGATTCCTCCACGGCGATCGTGAACATCTCCCGCGTCCCGTTGGAATCCTAGAATCCTTCCGTTGTCACCAGGACGTACCCCGGTGTCGCCATGACCATGATGTCGATCTTCATGGAGATGGGACTGAACGGCTTCTGTTGTTCGGCTGGAAGATGTTGAGTTTTCATTCGTTGCTGATGTCGAGACCAAGACAGGGTAGCCCATGTTTGAGCGTTCAGACGAATGGAGGTAAGATCTAAGATCATTGTCAAGGTGCATGAAAGCAACCCGCTCCACCATCTCGACCTGTGGCTCGTGTGAGGAAGAGATATCTTGACATCACCCTAATTCAGGTTCGGCCGCGACGGTAATTCTACACTCTAGATCAATAATCGAGTTATATGCACACTCCATGCCCAGACATCGGCACAGTCTTGACAGACGTCACTCTTGAGCCTCTCAAGGCCGGCAGCAGGATTCGTTTGTGGCGCTGTCAAGGGTGAGTACCGTGATGAACTTCGGACAGCTTCACTGCCACAGTACGGACATGCGATTCTTCCAATGATGCTACGCATCTACACTACCGTCAGCCTGCAAACGGCTGTCATATACAAGGCAAACGCTCAAGAGTAGTCGCATATGACTGAAAATGAGCACCCTGATGGAAACCCGCACCCCAATCGTTCAATCCTGTCAGTCAGAGCGTCGTCAACACCACCCTCCCGCCCTCATCGGTGAGCGCTCACCTTGGACCAATATTCGCGAGGCAGAAAGGCGTGACTCTCGAGAAGACTACAAGAATGCTGCTTTACGCTTGCCACCTACCTGCTTCGGCAGCGGACGACGACACCACCCATCCTTCTCTCCCACATCATGGGTGCTGCTGAGCCCAGCAGCCATGAGGTGACAGGACCCCAGGTGTTCTGGATTCTTCTCCAACTCGCTTTTGCAGCCATGACGCAGCGTTCAGCAAACACAAAACACACTTCTCGCAAGATGTTCCTCGAATCCCCAGATCCGTTACGCGCGCTTCCGGTCATCTGTGCCGCCGACGCAGTCATCGATATCATCACCTTGGTTCGTGCGCTCTGGGTGCGGTACATGCACCAGAGCAAGAGCGATAGGCAGCCTCTGAAGACTCCGGGAGTCCAGGTCATTACGCTCAAGCTCGCCATCTTCGTCCTGGCCGTGGCGCCGCAAGCAATCAAGATCTTCAGCATCAAGCACCTCCTCAAACTCCAACTCTGTGCCGTCGGATTCGTGTCCAGCTACATCACCGGCTCGTTCATAGAGATCAGCGGCATACCAACCGAAGACCACTGCCCCGTGTGCGGGACAGGCATCCTGACGACCATCATCGCCGTCCTGGCCACGCTGAGCTTCTACTTCAACGTCGCCGTCGACCTCTGGATCTGGCACGCCATCGGCGAAGTCGACGCCGGACACCCGGCCAACTTCAAGGTCCCCGTCGGCGTCTTCTACATGTTCATCGTCCTCCTGGCGCTGTGGTTCCTGTATCTCTCCTTCGGCGCCCTGGCGCAGATCTTCAACCCGGTCAAGAACAGGACGAGCTTGCGCGTGCTTCGCGTCATCCGCGTCGTCCTGATCCCAGGCTTCTTGCTCATCACGCTGCTCAACTTTGCCCCTGAGGAGACGGACGAGCACGACGGGAGCGTTGTGCACAAGGGCAAGCACGCTATCGGCTACATGCTCTACACCATCCTCTTCACGCTCGTCGTGACCACGCTCGGCGCCTGGCTCGTCCACTGGAAGTTCGGCCACCAGTCCTTTGACAGCAGCGCCATCACCCGCCGGTCCGCCATCTCAGGGGCCGGCAGTCTCTTGCATGCACACTCCACCCACCCGACCCATCCAACTCCCCTTCCCAAAGCCCGTCTCCGTCAAGACTCCCTCGTCGTCCCGAGTCCCGCAAATCTGACCTCCATCATCGCCACCACACCCGCAGACCCCCGATCCCCCTCGTCCTCGTCCTCGTCCTCCCCCCTCGCCTTCCTCCGCGCCTGCACAACCTACATCTGGAACGTCCTGCTGCGCGCCGAGGACAAGATCTCGGATAACCGCGTCACGCGCTTTCTGAGCCGTGAAACGGCGTATGTCATGTATGGCATTGGCCTGTTCCATTTCTGCACTGCGTGTGTCTTTTTCCTGACTGCGTATGGGGGGCCGCGCGCGGGGACGGGGATGCCGGCGTGGGCGGCGCAGTATCTTGGGTAGGGCTTGGGTGGGGGCTTGGGTAAGGGAGTGCATGGAGTGCATGGGTTTAGAGTGTTGGTTTGTGTGGTTATATAATGATGTTTTTGGACATGCTGTTTCTTAGTATATATATTTTAAATCTTTCTTTGAGATAGATTGTTGGTTTAAGGGGTGGTTGGATGCATAGGATGGGACGGCGTTGTGTTAATCAGTGTCAATAACATAGAAGATAGAGAAGGACCTGCAAGGAAGGGTGTGGATATAGGAATCGCCATCTATTGTTCTCTCATCGTCAACCCTATCTCCAACCCTATCTCCAACCTCATCTTCATCTACATCCTCATGGTACGCGGGGTAGCAAACGCAACATAAACAACCAAATCCCACCCCTCAATCCATCCATCCATCCATTCAACCCAGCCCTACCAAACACACAAGTCTATACCACCCCTCCACCCTATCCACCCCCTCCATCAAATCCCAAATCCCATTCTCTCTCTCTCTCCCTCCAAAACAAAAAAAAAAAACCCCTCAAAAGCCCCCCCCCAAGAAACTCAACCCCGCCACCGCACCTCAAAAATATCCAACCCATGCCTCGACGCCGTCACGCCAAGAAACTCGAACCGCGCATCCGCCTGCGCAAACAGCGCCTCCCACTGCGCCAGCGAGCGCGTCTGGCTATTCAGGAAGATGAGCTGCTGCATGTCGATGATCCTGTTGTTCGTTAGTACTAATCCACGCATCTTACATGAACCAGGAGCGGTAAAAAGTAAAAAGCACGTATGGAAAGGAAGTAAGCAAAACATACCGCATCTGCCGCTCCTCCCACGCCGAAATGCCCGCCCAGCGCGTGGGCACGAAATCGTGCAGGAGGAGGCGCGCGCCGGGCTTGAGGCAGGGGATCAGGCCGTGCAGGAGGCGGACGGCGTAGGCGTCTGGGCAGCTGTGCAGGTGGAAGCGGAGGTAGTAGATGTCGGCGCCGTGGGCGAGGAGCGGCTGGGTGTCGAAGATGGGGGCGGGGATCCATGTTATCCTGTCGGTTACTGCTTGGGGGGGTGGGGATGTGGTGCCGTTTGGGGTGGATGGGGATGTGGATGTGGATGTGGTGCCGTTGGGGCGGGGAGAGGTTTCGTGGTTGTGGTTGTTTTCGTGTTCGGGACTACTTGGGCCGTGTTGATGTTGTTGTTGCTGCTGCTGCTGGTATTGCTGCGCCAGCATGGCGGAGGAATTGGTGACGACGAAGCGGAGGTTGGGGTAGAGTTCTGCGAGGCGGATGCTGAGGCCGCCGCTGATGGCGCCGAGGTCGACGATGGTGGCGGCGCCGAGGGCGGCCCAGTCGTAGGCTTCGACGAGGGTGCGCCGCAGCGTGAGGTGGTCCGGGTTGTACTGGCGGAGGGCGTTGGCGAAGCGTTGGGCGCGCTGCGGGTGTTTGGCCATTTCGGCGAAGAAGGGGGCGCCGGTGCCGGTGCCGATGGAGTAGGGCTGTGGGAGGGGTGAGTGGGTGGTTAGGGGTGGAATAGGGAGAGGGGGGGAAAAGAAGGGGGTTGGAAGAGGATAGACGGCAAGGCTTACGGTTTGGGAGAGTTCTTTGGATGTAGGCCAGCCTTGGAGGGCGTCGGTGACCTGGGATGTGGTTAGGGTTTGTTGTGCTATGGCATGCATGGCATGTATTGATAGACGGAAGGACAAAAACTCACCCGTGGCGAGGAGCGCCACAACTCATCCACGTTCGTGCCCAGCATGTCCTTTACGGACTCGTCCTCGGCAATGGCCTGGGTAGACGCCGTGTGTGCCACAATGCCGGGGCGGACCTCCTTGAACATGTGCTGCAGCATGCCGTGCCGCATCAGACGGCTGGTGTTGTGCTCCGTGATGCCGCTGACGGCCGCAATGTCCTTGAAGCTGGCCTCGCCGCCCACCGGAAAGCTTTCTGCAATGCCAAACTTGTAGATGACATGCAGACTGACGAGATCGGCGTACTATACATTCACTCACGTGAGCTCCTCTGATTCCGACAACACAAACATACACACAAGCGGCGAGAGAGAGAGAGGGAGCGAGAGAGAGCGACGGAAAAAGGAAAAGGAAAAAAAGGGAGACGAGACACATACACTCTCGGAGCGAATCTTGAGCGCCTCGACCGGGCCCAGGACCAGATCGCGCAGGTCGGTCGTGGCGGCAAAGACTTCCTGTCGCGCCGTCTCGATGTGCGGTGGGTAGTTGTACTTTGGCGGGGTATCGATGTCGAATGAATGTTTCCGCAGCCCGGCCGCGTCGTGGTACTGGTCGATGGCCTCTACATTCTGCGTGATTTGCCGCGCCAATTGCACGATGAGCGAGTCGGACATGGTGATGAAGATGCTGCTGCTGCTGCTGCTGCTGGGTCTGGGGTTGATGATGAATGGCAGTGTTGATGCGAGGCTGCTGCGCTCATGAGTAGAGAGGAGGCTGAGGACGGGTCTCTGCTGCAGTCAGGAAGTAGGTCGAGTGTGATCTACCTCTCTACCTAACCTGGCTTCGGCCGCGGTTCGATCAGCAGCGTCCGAGAAGAGACGGCTCCGGAGCTTGTGGGCTTGGCCGCGATGCAAGTGTCGAATAGGACGGACGGGAATTGTGAGTGTGAGTGCGTGTGTGGGTATGTAATGATGATGATGATGATGATGATGATGATAGACGGCGGACGGAGGACGAATAGGACGTTGTCTCTTGAAAAGAACGAGCGAAAACAAAGCGCGTGTCGATGTCGTGTCGGAGGAAAAAAGAAGATGCAATCGTTCAAGCAATAACAGAGGTTGGGGACACTCGGGGTGTTTATTTCCTCAGAACATGTCATGGATGTATTGTATAGAACCAAACTCTGTCTTGACTCTTCCAGGGCTGACTGGTTGGCTGGCTCTGGCTCTGCCTTGCTCTCAAATTTCGCAGACCCCCCCAACCCCCCAACCCCTCGCGCTCATTCATCCATGGTCAATAATAATAATAAGACTACTCACAGATTGCTCGCTCGTGTCATCGTCATCAGATTGGCTTCTAAACTTACCGTCCCGGGCGCATCGTGTGTGGCGGCGGCGGTCCGGCCCTCGTCTGGCCCTCCGCCGCTGGCTGGCACCGGATAAAGCAACCTATTGACTTCTCCTTCTTCTCCTCCTCCAGCGAAAAAGAACTCATGAATATTCCTCTCCCAATCCCATATCATTGATGGAACTGCCGACATCATCATACGCATACATACAGCCCCATGAACCTTCTAGTGCTTGCTGCCCAGCCCACCCACCCCATCCATTCGGCCCGACCACAAGGAGAGAGCCCCGTTTTCTACACTACAGTCAAATGCTGCCATGCACGTCCGGTGCGGGGATGATCCAAAGCCGCCGCAATGGAGCCGCAATTCACTGTCTGCGCCTCACCAGTCCGCCCGTCCACCTCGAGGTGCCCACAGACCTACATCTGGCCCCCCTTTTCCCATCCCTGGTGATTTCCCTTAGCTGCCCGTCCGTTCTCCTCGTCTGCCCTCCTCAAGAGTCAAGACAGGATCAGAGAATGTCCGGATCTGGGTGCGTGTGTGTGTGTGTGTGCTCTGTGTGTAGTGTGTGTGTCGTCCAAAGAGCATTGACTGATCTGGTGTGACCATCAGACTCTGTAACACGCTAACATACCGCGGTTCAAAAACGCCACAATCACACTCTAGTCCATCACACACTCGCACATACGCATATCCCCCCCGGGAAGAAAATCCTTTGGCCTTCTCAAATTCACGCACTCCCACGCGCGCGCGCGGTATGAATACTCAAAGAAAAAAAAAACATACCATGCAAGCCAACTTTCTGGCTAAAAAAGCTTGTCCTCGCTTGCCCTGCCCTGCCCAGCCTTGCCCACATATGCCGCGCTACCATGCCAAGACGCTGACTTGTAAGGTAGGTCTGCGATTGTGCATGTTATAAGTAAGGGTAAGGTAGTAAGTAGTATGTTAGTAGAATATGCATTGGCCGTCCAAGGGGCCGGATGCGGCGACCGGCTTCTGTGTTTTTGAAACAGCCTCCCTCCTTTGTCTAACTGCTGGGCGGGCGTCGTAAAAGGCGCTTCTTGTGTTGTGCTGTATGGGATGTATGTGTGTGTGTGTGTGTTTATATATATAGTACCTGCGGTGTGTCGTCAGTGTGAGGCGTTATGTGCGCGTGGAGTCGCTGAGGATTGCGTCGTGAGCGGCCGCGGCTTGACTAAATGGGCTATTCCGGTCGCGTGTTGGTCGTGTTGCGGTAACATCAAATTCTGTGATACCAGGTCCATTCGAATCCTCCCTCCGTTTGCGAGATGGACCATCGACGTCGCAACGTAATGCCCAGCCTTTGTATGCGACATTTGATTATCGTCCTGCAAACCCTCCCCCCCTCCTCTTCAATAGCCACGAACCAAGACTGCCAACCCACAAGGGGCCCGTCTCTGCATCGTCGTCGCGCCAAGGTGTTGCCAAACGTTCCAAAATGCCCGGCATCGCATCGCATCACATCACGTCCACCACATCCGTAAGTCCTAAGTCCTGTGTCCAGCATTCCGATCCTCATCATGGCATGGCGGCGTACATCAACAATAGCTGGTGGGTACGTACGCAAACGCAACGTAAGCTGTTCAAGGTAGGGGTGGGAGAGCTTTGGTCTCTTTCTGGTCACTGTTTTTGGCATGGGGATGGGTCGGGTTGGGTGGGGACTTGAATGCTCGACGTGACGATCACTCGACTACTCGAGTTGATGAGGGATAGGAGATGAGTTTATGGCTTAGCTGGGTTGAAGAAGGTTATGTATGTTCGTGTCGTCGTGTGGAACGCGGATTGAATTTGGGATTCGTGGATTGGAGCTGTGAATTGGTCGATGGATTTGTGGAGGGGAGGACATGCCTGCTCTTATGTCTCGCAGTTCGAGAATGGATGTTTCTGAAGTAGGTACAGTATATCTAGATCTAGACTATATATTAGCCTATAGTCTATAATGTAACCTGTCATACAGTCAAGTCAGCCTACCACTCTTACCACGACAGAGAGATCCCCGAGATCTCACCATTCCTCACTCACCATGATGTGTAGTTCCATCTTCATGTAACAAATCCCTACTCGCCCTTTACTCTACACCTCGAGTCTGGGGAAAGAAGGTGATATGAACACAGACCCTCATCTGTTTATGCTACACATAGAGGACTTTGGTTCATGTATGTATATGCCTCGGCCTCGTATCCGGTATACGCGCAGTCTGGCTCAGCTATTTGCCTTCCTCTCGTGGCGGAGGTGATCGAACAACATCATTTGACGTGATGGATCTGTGGATGTGTCGAGGCTTGGGAGTTGCGTGGTAGCCTAGCTGAGTGATGTCTGGGAGGTATTGGGAGGTCTGGGTCTTATGTAAGTTAGCGTGTAGTTTGACGGAGGGATGAATTGATGGAGTTTTGAATGGAGTCTTGAATGGAGTCTTGAATGGAGCGAGAATGGAGGAATAGGAGGATAGGTATGAATACCCGAGTCCGGAAATACGCCTTCGATAGCATGAAGGCATGTGTGTGTGGGTGTGTGGGTGTGTGGGTGTGTGGGTGTGTGGGCACCACAGACTGGACTTTGTGTGTAATTCTGACAACGTTGGACGCTGAAACGTGGACTATGGGAGAGGGATATATGTATATGTACCCCTCTTCGCGTTCAGTATTTTCTGTGTAGGAATTTATATGTATTGTTGTGGTCTTCCGTCGTCGTCATCGTCGTCATTGTCGTCGTCGTCGCTGTGTAGTTGTGAGCTTTTATTTTAGTTGTCCTGGATTGATATAGGTTTACGAGGAAGGGTTCTCTTCTCTTATATAGAATAGATAAGGATTATATGAGACCTGCGGGGATGGGAATGGGAACGGCTATAGATTGCTAGAGATCTGGATGTGTATGAGGCGTGAGGGTAGGATTTCAGGCTTGGTCTGCCGCTTGAGAGGAGAAAAGGAGGAGAGGATGGCGCATCGTATGGTACCAGAGCTCAGGATGCAATCTAGTGAGCAGCGAATGACACATCTCTGTGGTTAGTAACGTAATTGAGCGGTAAACGTTCGATGTGTACTTTGAATCGGTGTGTTGTGGTACTATGTACATGAAGTAGTTTGTGACGCGCTCTGCGGCATACACATCAGCATGAAATAAGAGTATATTGATAGTAAAGCTATGATGACCAGGTTCAGAAGGTCACTTCGTATGCTGACGGCTTCAGTGAAGTAAATTTGAGGGCGTGGGCGGTGTGAGCTTGGAACGCCCTGGAATGTATTGTTTTGAGTCGAGGAACTGCTGCGCTGTAAAGTCAATTGGGCTTCAAGTCTTCTGGAAGTTGACAAGTATATACTTGAAGGCAGAACTGGGCCGCTCTGAACACCGAGTGGGATTGTATGCAATGGATATGTTGCCGCGGTGCAGTGAGGTGGTGATGTTTTGTGCGTTAAAACACGTCAAGCGGGCATCAACCACAGGAACACCACCTTCACAATCGTTACGCAGTTGGAACTGTCTTAGCACGGCAAGACTTGACAGACTATACAGCTATATACGAGCAATGTAAATCACAAGCCTTTAATATTTCCCAAAGACAAGCCCAAAAGCTGCTCCCACCACCAATTTCCTCCCTGTCAGCAGCACAACGGCCACTACTGAGTGGAAAAAAGGTCTCACGAAAACGCGAGTACAAGAGGTCAAAAGACCTCAAAAGAGGTTCCAAAGATTCCCTACCGATCACGAAGACCAATAGAAGTGGGCTGTGGGGTTGACGCGGCACAATGGCACCTTCCAACGATACAATCGAAGTAAGGATCCTCAAATTACTATCACTGGATCACACTCTCCCCTGCACAGGATAAAGAAGAAAAGAGAAAAGAGGAAATGGGGACGGCGGGACGGGCTGTTATATAGTCTGTGGGATCCTCAGGGATCAAAGAATCCCGTGACTTGGTCTCTTTAGGAATAGCGTTGAGGGGGCAAATGAATTGTGCTGCTTGATTGGATGGAAAATGGGGCTAGAGAGGATGAAGTGTGTGCCTGAGGTGGGTTCTGGGGCTGCAAGGCAGGATTCGGGGGAGATTTTGGGTACGAAGAGGGTGGAACGGGATGAGATTTTGGGATCTATGAAGGCTGACTGCGGCACGACGGCGAAGTTGAGATTATATTTACTCTAGATATGGCTTGCTGATGATGTGATCTTCCCTTTCATCGACTTGAATGAGCAACCAGGGACGTTGCGTTGATGTTGTAGCTCACGGTCGATATTTGCTTCATTCTTGACTGCCAGTGCATGGATCTGAGGCCAGGAATGTCCTGTTGTTCATCATGAGTCTGTGAAAACACTCTCCAAGGGATCTAAAAGTCTCGAGTACCGTCTGTGACTGTGTTACAACAAAGCTTCAGTTTACATACACATCTTCCGTCCTAGACCGTGTTCAACACGTCTTCCCGTCTGCTGTCACACAGAGGCACCGCTACACTAACAAGACACAACTTCATTCCACGCACATATCGTTCACAAATCTTCACAGCCAACTGTGAGTTCTACCCCTGACATCCTGTCATCACATCAGGTCAGAACAGGCACCAGAGCAACACAATCACAAGCCAGACTTCACGCTTCTGAGATGCGTTCAGAACACGAGAACGTATGCAGCAACACACTAGGTGGCTACTGAACTGACAATGAGTTGACTTTTGGATACTCACTAATTATACTCTTACGGCAGCGGATACATCAGATCATGCTGGGGAAGGACCTTACACTGTGGGGACGACATGATACTTTGCACAACCACGAAGAGTCCTACAAACAAATCACAAGGAGACACAAAGACTCAGAGAAGTATGAAAGACATGAAGGGGCGTATACAACATGAAAGAGCTGAAAAATAAGAACCAGTTTCATTCTGAAACCGTCAGTCCAAGTGTAAGCCATGGAATGTCAGAATAATGTAGACTAACACGATCTGGAGAAGTACACAGAGTCGGAGTCTTACACTGACACCAGCTTGTTCTGCAGGGAAGAATGAAAGAAAGACATAAATCGTTTACACAGCACTGAACAGTAAAGTATAAGCATGGATGACCAGTTCATTCTACACGGACGCATGAACAGAAGTAAGCATGCACACATTACGAACAGCACAAATCAAAGACAGACGACCAAGGCATATTGTATCGTAGCACTACACCGACAGTATTTCATTCTACAGAGACAAATGAATGACAGAACGAATACAAACGCAAAGTAATTCCGAGCTCCGCACATTTCTGGTTGGGACGCACAATGTCGAAATCCTAATGCGCACAGTTTCGAAGTCCCAAGGTATCAAGCTATTATACGAAGACGAACGGATCGCGCAAAGCATGTAAACACCACTGAACAACACAGCATTAAGAAATACCTGATACTCAGAGAAACATCACATATGTAGAATGTTACACTGTAAAATCACTACACGGTAAAAAGCATTACACGGTAGAATACATTCATTGTAGTGAGAATCACGCAGTAAGCCAACCCCAACAATGAACTTACCCTCAAAAAACCTGACTCAAAAGAAAGAAAGAAAGAACCTCTTCCTCTAAACTCACTTAAACCTAGTATTACAGTTTCCTCAAGACACACTTTCCATCCTCGACACTTCCTCTTCCGACGAGCAACGAAAGACCGACATATGCATAAGATACAAAGGCACGGAACGATCATACGTCCGATAATAACGTCAAAAATCCCTACAGAACAGCCATACACGAAGTTTCTGAAACGAGGTCTAAGGATGAATGACGAAAGGAATGAAAAGAGCATACGATATAAATGCGCAAAAAAACATTGAGACGTGCATGGTATCGCTCATAACGTGAGACAGGGAACGCCTGTACAGCGGGTAAAAGCTGCGCGAGAGATATCACGCGAGAGAAAAGGAAACGAAAAGGGAATATGATAGGCGGATAATATGGAATAGACAGTGCTGTCTAGATTGGTCAGACACTGGCATGATCATGGCGTGGCTGAAAGAACTCAGGGATGTATAGAGGAATCGAGATCCTGACCAGCAGTGATGAGACAGAATAAGAGAAGGACGTCTAGAGAATGTCTTGATGATATGGAGTCAAGTGGAGAAATGTGAAGAGGAGTGAAAAGATGAGTTCAAGGGAATATATGCTCAAGAGGCTTATGAGCACAGAGAAACACAATACGTTCAAAGACTTATGAGCAAGCAGAAGGCACGAAAGTGATGGAGCACAGGGCAGAACAGTGAAAAGGCGTCAAATGAGCGGGAAAGAGATACAAGACACAGAGTATGCGCAGGGTCATGAGGAAGATGATGGACATAACGTAAAGGATATGAAAGAGGCAGGAAGAAAACTGGGGAATGAAGAGAATAATATAGTTCATCATCAAATGTATCATGTAGCAAGACAAATACAAACCAACCAATGAATCAAAGCACGACAGTATTTACGTACAGAGAGCAGGGGATTTAGGATGAAGCACGGATTCATTATCACAAAAGGAGATACAGTATCTGGAAAACAGATATAGAGGAGTCGTCTATCACACACAGTCCAAGAATGAAACAGTGCATTTCCAAGGAGCATGCATTCATGCAATTCTCAGCGTTGAGGACAATTGAATATCTATAGGGCCGGAAGCACACAGGAAAGCGAGAGCGAGGACAGAAAGAGACGTATAACAAAGGCTTAGCAGACCATACATGGGGTTGAGAACATGGAGTGCGCAGAATGTACCTAGTCACAGTGGCGCGGCATATACGGGGAAGGCATATAACTGGACGTGTGGAGATGCAGTAAAGTCATAGATGAGCAATGAATGAAAGCCTCTGGGTATACCCTGACTTTGATTGTTGAAGCTGACTGTCCAGACGAAACCGCATTCTTTCAGCCGGTCTGAGGTTTGGAAGTCTGAAAGAAGCGCGTCTTGTGAGATGTTCGCGATATATGCGTAGAGACGTCGCCATGTTGTATAATATACCCGGTCGCGAAGACTGCACTATTCCGTATCGGGACAAAATAGTCTCCGGCCCAAGCTCCCAACTTTTTTCCAAAACACACTGGCATTCCCCGGATCCTTCTGCAGCATGCAGAGCATTCCATCTCACAATCACAGTCATGGCGTCTTTACGCATATCCATATCTAAATCCACCGCAAGCACAACATCACGTCTTCCTACCGCACATCAACCATGCAAACGCCTCCTCCACAGCACACCCGCAGCGCACATCCGCCTGCGGCCATCCACGCGCCAACGCCCCTCGAAACCAACACCACACCTCGACGACGAGGGCAACCCACATCCAGAAGATGTATACCCAGACCGCATGAACATGCCAGTCATCAACATCTACGAGCAGCCCGAGGACCAATCAACGGCACCCCAACTCATCGACCGCATCACGTCATGGGACGAGCTGCGACAAAAGCGGCAGCAGGCGCAGACCGAAGAACAGATGAGCCAACAGACGATGCGCGCCATGGAGCGCAAGTGGCTGGGCAAGAGCAGCGAGTTGTCCGAGGAGGCTATGATTCCGATCCGGACGCGAATTGCGACGGCGGAGGGGGATGCGCGGCATAGGGCGGCAATGGCGGCGTTGAAGGTGCGTGTGGAGGGCGTGCCGGATGAGAAGGATGTGAGGGTGGAGAGATTGAATATGCGGCTGCGGCTAGCGTATGTAGGGGCGAATGCGGTGGTGCAGAGGGAGTTGTGGAAGGCGTATCTTCTGGCGAGGGAGGTGCCGGGGGTATTGAGGGCGATCCCGGAACCCGCATGGGATATCATTTACTACAGTCAGGCGAGTCTACCGGAGAAGTATCCTGGGAAGGAGAGGATTATGGGTTTGCTGGAGGCGGATTTAAAGAGTGTGGGTCATGTCGGGCCGCCAACTCCAGGGTTGTTGGATTCGAGAGGCGAGGAGGAGGATGATGATGGTGATGATGACGTGGAGCTCGACAGAGGTGAAGACGAAGATGAGTATAATGAGGAGGACTTGGACGGTCTCAGCAAGGAAGAGATGGTGAAAAAGCTCCAGACAGCGCTTGAGAAAAGCGCAAGCGGGTCTGTGGAGGGAAATGATGAGCTCACCAAACTGCTCAACGGCAATGAAGATGAAGACGCTGAAGATGAAGACTGGGATGAAGACGAGGACATAGACAGCAAGCTGGCTGACGCGCACCGGCCCACAGAGATCATGACCCAAGAGCAAATGGAGCAAAGAATAAAAGATCACAACCTGGAAGACGTGTCAATCGAGAGCATGTTCGATAGCCTGACCGATGACCAACTCAAAGCCTTTCTCGAAGACCCACGCTTGAAAGAACATCTCGGAGAGGAGGCCTTTGAAGAGCTCACAGCAGCAATGCAAGGCAAGAACATCGACACGGACCCTGATTATATCGACATCCGAAAGAACAATTAGCGGTGCTCAAATGGGCTTCCCCTGTATATATTTCGAGCCCCTGTAACACAACCCGTCCCGGCTGCGTGGTGCTCCGCATGCCGCTATGTATCATATACCACCACCACCCGATGTACAATTCCACACCAGATCATCAGATATACCGCTACGAGATCATCGTCCGAAATATCCGGATCTTCTGCCGGAGCCTCGCAAACACAACCCACGCCAACCCAGCCGGCTCTTGCACATGGACTACATACCACCATGGCCAGGGGTCCGCCCTTTCGAAACCTTCGTCCCGCATTGTCAACATCGCCCTCACCACATCTACACACTCCTCAAGAACTTCCCCAGCGCCCCTCTTGCCGGCCATAGCCTGCATGACCATCGCCCCGAGCACCGATACCATCCTTACATAACTCGTCCGCAGTCCCGTCGTCGTCGTCGTTCGCCCAACTCTCACTATCGCATCGCCCCTCTCATTTTGTTCTGCCGTCGCCGCCCCTGTCGCTGTTGCTGCAATCTCTGCATACACCCTCGCGAGCGCCTTCCCCGCATACTCATCGCTCATCAGCAGCGCCATGCTCCCATGCACACTCGCATCGCACCCCAGCACCATCACCCTCGTCTCCTCGCCGCACTCCGTCGGCACACTGCAGGCCGCAAACGTGATACTGACATGCAGCGCGCCAGCATGCGTCTGGTAGCGCGCGAACTGCTGTGTGAAGTGCAGCATGCTAGGGTACAGCGGCGCGGAGGGCGGAAGCGTCGTCAGGAGGTGGGCGTGCGACAAGGAGGGTTGCGAGGCGACAAAGGCGCGCACCCGGCCGTTGAGCACGAGTGCGCTAGCGACGAGCCGTGGGCCGGGCGAATCCTCCCGCAGTAGCCAGGGCGAGTGCTCGCAGATGGGTAGTGTGGCGACCGCGTTGTAGGCCGCGTTGCGCTGGTCCATGGACACTGTGATGATTTCAGTTGCGGATGAGGCGTCGCAGCTGGGACGTCGCGGTGGAGTTATTTTCCCACCGCTGCTGCCGCTGCTGCTGCCACCGCGAGTGTGCGTGAGCATGAGCGGGCTGTTCGTTGGTGTGCGCTGCAGCTCGACAGCGCGATGAACTTTCTCGAGAACGAAGCGCATGGCGGGTGGGACTTTGGCCAGCGTGCGGTGGACGTCGTCGCGGCTGTGCATGAGCATGGCCAGGGGCGCGCGCACAGGCATGTGCAGAGCGTTTACAAAGTCTGCGAAAGCGACGGGACTGCGCGACAGGGCGGCCATATCGTCGGTCGGACATATACAGCGCTTTCCTGCGTCGAGTACAGCGGATCGGGCGCGTTGGAGGCTTTTGAAGGGGGCAGATTTACTGCTAATGCTGCTGCTGCCCGTCTGTTCGCAAGGGATCCAGAGGTCGAGGGTCTCGTGCTGCATGACGGCGACAATGTCTGCGGCGTAGAGCTCCTCGGTCGAGGGGCCTTTCATGGCGGTCTGCACGGCTGGGTGCGTGAGGCGGCCGAATCTGCCAAAGCGGACGGCCTTCGATATGGTTTTTCGGTCTTGAGGTCGTAGGGGGGTACTGAGGCGGTAGAAGCGTGTGTATGCGTTGCTGAGGCGGGCAGGCGAGACAAGGGGGATGGTCTCGTAGTCGACTCCTATCACTGTATGTCCATGGCTTTGGAGGAGGCGTGCAAGAGATAGCGCGACTGGGCTGCCGGCACCTGAGAGCAAAATACGGGATGGAGTGCCATGGTTTGGAGAAGCCTGTTGTTCGATCCTGGAAGTTCGAACTGAGGAGAAAGCGTCAACGACCGAGAAGAAAAGGGCAAAGCTGAATGTCCAGGGAAGCAGTATCAGCGCAGCCAGAATCGCCGTGACATCCTGGAGGAGATCAAACGAAGGCATCCTGAGACTTGGCGGCGCGATCTGCGAGTCGGAGATAATGCGTGTTCAGGTGGGGGTGAAGATAGGAAGGACTACGTCAGAGTGTCACGCTCCATAGTAGTACATTGCTGTATATACGCTGAGACAGGACAGAATCGAATGGCTCTGTGGTTGGACTCAATGTTCTGTGGAAGAAAGTGATTGTTGACGAGATATTAAAGAGTGAAATGGAAGAAGAACGAGGAGGTTGGGATGTGCTTCCATCCATCATGAATGCTCCAATACTTGATTTCATTGGCCACTTGTCCGATCTTGGTTAGCGCGTATCTGCCTGTCCAAGGTATAAGTACGGATCGGCGCTAAGGAGCTGAAAAGACACTACATTAGTATATCTTTGATGCACCTTCAGATGAGTCACTAACATAACAGGAATACTACTGTGTCTGTCGCTTTCAAAATCTCTGTGTACACGCTGTAATGCTCTTGCACGAGAGCTCGCAGCCTGTCTATGAACAGACCCTTTGCTACAAGCGTGACGAGATCGGACAATAAATTCTTTGAAGCGAAACAAACATTGTCAATATATTGCCATTCTTCCATCTATGCGTCGCTGACGACACGTCTGTTGTAACAAATGGAAACATTGAACTCCTATATACGGACCTGATAGCCGTGGACTAGCCATATGCAAACAGAAACCCCCAAAATCATAACCCCGAGTATCAGTATCTACGCCCTCGCAGCCACCCTGTACAGATCGACCATGCTCGACTGTGCATTCTTGTCCAAGCCATCCATATAGCTATCCACTCTCGGCAACCCGCCTCGCGGCGACGGGCATCGCGAGCCCTGCACCAGCGACGCACTGAGCGGGAAATTCGTGCCGATCAGCAGCCGCTCGATGTTCGCGTCTTGCGACTGTCCACGTGAGAATGTTGCGGCGTAGTATCCGGCGTTGCGGAACGCCTCCATCCAGAACTGCGTGGGCTGCAGCGCGTAGCCGGCGCCGCACCACCAGCTGTCCAGCAGTCCGAATACGAGGTCATACCACTCGATGGACGTGGTGATTTCGGAGCACAGCGTGAAGCCGTGTGGGGAGAGCATGCTGCGCATTTGCTGGAGGGTTCTTGTCCGGTCGGTCATGGCGTGCGAGAGGTTTGTGCCGATGATGATGTCGTATTTGTGCTGGAGGTCGGAGGGGATGGCGTGGTCGAGGTGTAGGTGCTCGAAGAACATGTTGCTGTTGGTGTGCTGGTATTTTGCTTGGGCTTTGGCGAGCATCTTCGACGATGGGTCGCTGAAGGTGTAGTGGTACTTGACGCCAGAGCGGGCGAGAGTGTCCAACATACGATCGGTACAGTGGCCAGTCTCGGCACCAATCTCGAGGATCTCCAGAGTGGCCGTCGATTGACTGTCGTAGCTTTGAAGAGTGCTTGCAACGAATGTGACGAGCTGGTCCTTCATCGTGCTGGCCAGGGGAGAGCTGTATTCGAACGCCTCGACAATGTTCTGCGCCTCTTCCGATCCGAACAGCAGCTCCTCCGGGTCCTCGAGTCCTCGCATACACTTTGCGAGCTTGGGGCCAGTAAGTTGAAGGAGTCGGAGCTCAGCTGCATAGTTTGGATACTCGCGCAGGAGCTTCTCGTGAAGCTCCGAGGAAGGACGGGCATGTGCCGACGAAGCAGTGCGCACCATCACCCCAGCAGTGCTGCGACGAATGAGCCCGTTGCTCTCAACGATGTCCCATAGACGCGTCCTGATCTTGAGAAATCGGGGAAGAACTACGAAGTTGGGGACTCGTTCGCCAGAGCCGAAGAATCGCAGATCGACACCGAGGTCTCGGAATGCTTCTAGGATGTATGCCATGACGAGCCTGTCAAGCTTTGTCGATAAGAACTTTGTGTAGTCATTGAGGCCGGCGTTTCGGGCAGTGTGGTCGAAGGACGCTGCATATGACTCGAGACCTGCTTCGATGTCGAACTGGTCCATTTTGAGTTGGGTGAATTAGGAATTAGTTGGTATAGAAGGATATAAAGCAGGAATCAAGACGCGAAACAGACACAGGTTGTACCGAGATATTAAAGATTTCAAGAGGACTTGAGGATATCTCTCTGCCAGACAGAGACACGGGCATATTATATACATACTCGAGTTGCGCATGTCCCCCTTCAGTACCCACTCAGGGTAGCAGTGTACCTCACCAGCGTGTCAGCACCAGGCGAGCAAGCTGAACCACTTGTGAAGTGAAGCGTGAAGCATGCGGGAATTGTCTCAATAGCAACATGTGTCATCCAACATTTCATATTAAAAATAGCAGAGTAATCCAAATCGCGAGGGCCAAAAGCAGAAAAAAGCAGATCTAGTGTCGCAGCGATCACCGGCGCACGACCGTCACGGCCGCAGTCTGACTGATAAGCCTCGACAACGGCACCGCTCATCACTGCCATTCATAGATGGATTATTGGAGTCTGCGAAGGTAGTCAAGCTCGGAACACCGGCGTCGCGATGAGAGAGATGCGATGGATAGAATAATGGATTTATCCATGTTGCACGCAGGGCCGCGCCCGCGCCACTGGGGCTGAAACGCTGAAACCCAGCCTGTCTACCCACACACACGCGGGCCCGATCCGGCCGAACCGTCGCGTCGCCTTCGGCCCCCTGGATTTTGACTCGCTTTATCCAACGAGAACTGCCACAAGCTGTACTGCTTACGAGATTTCGACATGAGACGGCTGAGTATAAAATCGCGCACCTTCGATCTCTACCTATTACATCTATCAGTAGCGCCGGTGGCGCCGTGCGTAATCACACCTTATACCGTGCATTCTTTCTAGCCAGTGGCTTACATTCGTGATTCGGCTTGCTGGCGACTAGTTTTGTGGCTCTTTGGTCTTGGTCGAACCTTGGAAATGAGAGATGGAAGCAGGAAATTGGCGTTGTGTGTAGGGGTAGAAATGGTGTTCTTGGAGATTGGTATATTATTTTTAAGCTGTTGAGTAGAACAGATATACTGTGGTTTTAACTAGGTATAACGACTTGTGGGTTTCAGGTGTAGTAGAATCGCTATAGGTGCTAATGGGTATATAATTTATGAGCCATTCTCTATAATGAATATACTATGGCCCTAGTTAAGTTTAGTATTCTAGAGATCTTAGGTGTGGGGAAATAGAGAGACATAGAGATAGCTATTAAATTCTATAGGTCTCTACCGGAAAAGAATCCGGGTAGTCGTAGAACTGTATGTGAATCGCGAGTTACCAACTATAATAGATATACCCTATGTCAAGATCATTGACACGTCAAGTTGAATTGGTCATAAAGTATGCCATTTTCTATCTACGTGTCCGGTCGGTTGTATTTATACACCCGACCGGTTCGCTACTACCTACAGTAATTATACATAATGTATGCTACTACTGTAGCTGTAACACCCTAGCTATAGTATAGTATAAGATTCCACGGGTATTATGTTTAGTAGAAGAGAGATTCTCGTAGATGAGTAGCTACTTAACGAGCTACTAACTATAGTACATAAACCATAACTATAATTAAGTATAGTATAATAGAGATATCTTTCTAAACGGAAGAGAGCTAATCGTAGATACGTATTCGATTTATAAGATTTCTAGTCTAAGAATTATACTATAACTTTCATTAGCTATACCACTTTAGAGGGTTTACACCTAGTAGAATATAGCTACTCGCTAATAGATATAGGATTTACGGCCTATTAACTAGAGGAAACTTACTATAGCTATATATAGATTAAATAATTTAGAGCTATTACTATTTATAGAATAGTAATACTCGTTAATAGATATATAATTACTAAACTATTAGCTTTAATAGAGATAATATATTCTCCCTTAGACATGTATTCTTCGTAGCTCCCGGGATAATATAATAGAGGTATATATAGATTAGTTTATAAGTAGTAAGTTAAGAACTATAATAGATCTACTATAGTTATAGTATAATATTATATATTAGATACTTTTAGTATAGTAGAACTTTAGTTTTTATAGAGATTTATATTATATCTATAATAATCTATAATATAGATCTTTAGTATTTATATATATCTAATTATTTCTAGAGCTATTAAGTTAGTAGATCTTTAAAACTTAGCTATAGATATATTAGATTTTAGATTTTAGAAGGACTCTATCTACTATACTAAGTAGTTTATATATAAAGAATAAGAGCTAAAATCTAATAGAATTCTATTATAGTACTAGTAATACTAAGTAAATAGACTATAAAGCTTATAGAACCTTAGTTTATTTTAAGTTATAGATAAAATTTAGTACTAAAGTTATCTAGAATAGGTATTATCTCTATTCTCTATAGCTAAACCTACTTCTTCAAGAAGGCTTATTATAGTATAGTATACTTAAGTCTTGTTTTCATAAGCTATATAGCGCAAGAAATCGTAATATATTGGTTTGGATATCTAGAAATCAAGCTCGACTATGAATTTAAGTCGCTATTAGTACTACTCTATATCGCTATATAGATGTCTTTAGAGAGGTTTGGTCTACTTAACGGCATTATTCTACTAGAATCATAAGCCTCATTTCTAGTAGAACTTCGTGATTGCTAGAATCATAGGCGAACAATGGCTTCTCTAGCGCGGCGAATCCACTTGGTTCTACTCCGAGTGCAAGATAAACGACATGTGAAATCCATGATAACGTGCATTGGTGTCTACTATGAATGAAAATACACATCTCTTTAACCCGAGACGAATGCAAAACCCCCTCCTCCCCTCCCCATTCCCCACACCTTTAGGCAAGGCCCATCCCCTATCTCTCCTCCCCCCTTACTCCTCCGCTGTACTCCCACCCCTCGACCTTCTCCATCTCGCTACACGCGCACGATGGTTGCGGAGCTGCTCCTCCACCGGAGGCACAATACCACGACCCCTCTGCACCCGCTCCCCCGGCTCCAAGCCAAACAAACGGCTCCGAACGGAGCGCTCAGTCGGCACGCCGGTGCTTGACCGACGGCGGTGGCTACCACGGCTCGGAAACGGAGCAGGAGCGCCGGAGCGCGCGGGAGGGGAGACCTGCGTCGGGCCCATCTGGGAGGCCGGGTTTGGGAAGCGCTGCGAGGGCAGATCTTGGTTGTTCCCGGGCAGGTACCCAAAGCTGGTGGGGTCTGGGAAGGGGAATGGCTGCATCTGCTGCTGCTGCTGCTGCGCCTGGCCACGTGCTGCGAGGAGATTGCCCAAACGCGCCCTTGTGTCAGCGCGGACGTGTTGCAGGAGCAGCCTGCGCTTGTGGTTCAGTCTGATGGCGTTCAAAAACATGCTGAGGCGGTCATGGTAGTGCTTGTAGACGTTTATCCATTGCTCTGTCTCATGGGCGTTGAGCGGGTGTGCGGACTCCAGTTTCTCGAGTAGGTTCGTGATCTGCGTCGATACGCTGTCGTATTTGTCGAAGAAGCTGAAGTCTTGCTGCTCTTCTCTGAGGATATCTTGGGGTCTGCCATCGGGGCCAGGGGCACCGCTCAGCAGGCTCTCGATCTCGGCATATGAAGACTCGTTTGGTCTTCTGCTCTGAATCCGGTGGAGGCATTTGATTTGCCTTATGAGGACGTTGCCTATCTCAATCTCGTGGTTTCTACGCACAGTGAACTGCATCCATTCTTCTGCGATGTTATGGCGTGGTGGCATGTCCGGAGTTGGGATTGCACCCATCGCTTGTTGTATCTGAAGAATGTTTTCAGGGAGCAGCTGTAGGTTTGCTGTTGCTTGTTGACCAAAGTTAGCAGTAGGCATTCTCTGCGTGCCAACGACTGTGTGAGCTGGCTGATTTGGTCCTTGGAATGTCTGTCTGTTGCTGGGGAACGGCATATATTGCTGTTCAGTCTGTAATGGCATGCCACCAAGGCTCTCATGTCCTGCGAAGGGTCTCTGAAGAGCAGGATTTGGTATTCCGAAGGCAGTGTGGGATTGGCTCTGAGCCGTCGTGTTGCCTCGACCATGTGGGAGAGGTGCGGGATTCTGAACATTCAAGGCAGCTATACGACGACGCTCTGCAGTACGCTTGGCTGCTTCGTCAGATTCCAAGAGAGACAACATCGCCTCCTTGGACATCGGTTTTAGAGATTTCTGTCCGCCAGCTGTAGCTTTGTTCCGTACGTTCTGTGTGCTATTCGGCTGAGGGACTGTCTGATCGGCAGTTTCAAGGCTCTTATTGACATCAGGGACAGCAGGTGGTAGAGTAGAGCTGCTTGGAGCACTCTGGATGTTATAATCTGGAAGTTGGAACTCGTCTATCCCAGGCTGCTCTCTGTCATAGTCGATGTATCCGATATCGCCGGGTGTATTCTGGGAGGTAGATCTGGCCCCTGTCTCCAAGACTGGGTCCATGCCAGTGAAGCTCATGCCGTCTAGATCAATCATGCCGTGATCAGCAAGATCTAAGCCTCAATTAGTCTTTGTATACCTAATGTTATTCGGTTGCAAAGTTAGATACCTTGCCTAGGACTGCTATGCCCCGCCAGAGGAACACCTCCTGTATCGACATTGTCGTAGTCATCAAAGTTCATCCATTGACTGTAATCAAAATCATCTTCCATGTCGAACGACGTTACATCTGCGGCCGCGGTAGGAACTTGGCCTTGCGGAGGTGAAATGTGACGATTGTTCTCGTCGTTGATGTTCATTGTCTGGATAGGAGTCAGTAGTAGCTATGGGCAGAAAGGATCACCTTACATTGGAAGGATCGTCGTTGTTAGAGTTATACCAGAAAGCCTCAGGCTGCTTTGTACAATATTAGTATCAGCGAAGGGCTTTAAGGTTAGATATCTTTGACACTCACCTGCTCTCCAAAGCTATTATCCATCTCGTTGAAGGTGCCTAAGATCTGTCTCAGGTTAAAGAGGTTATTCAGGGATTCAAGGAGCGGCTCATACCTGGAAGAAGTATTCTTTCTTGTGTTCTTCATTCGCCTCCGTAGCAAGTCTGTCAAGGGCTTTGGTATGTTATGGAGTACTGGTTGGGGTTGTGATGGGGATCCTAGATATGCTGGATCTCTCGATTTCCGGTAGACTGCGGTGTTCTGACAGGCGAAGCTTTCAGCGGGAGTGTCAGGAATGATAACGGCACTAAGATGTCTCATAAGAGAGCTTTCAGGGCTGTACGAAGAAAATCAAGATAGTAGCTTGGTGTGTGAGTGTGTGGGAAGGATTAGAAGGAAGAGAAAGCCAAGATAGAGGAAATAGAATCGAGCACAGGCTCCAAAAGTCGCGTGAATGCTGTCTCGTGTCGCTGGCAATTGTTATTCTGCTTGATGTGGCCTAGTGCGTTGCATTAGGAAGGGCATGGGACAGTCTCTGCGCTGTAAGTGAAGAACTGGAACAGATCTTTGAGGCGCTGGAAGTCAATCAGCGAATATCTACAGTTCTTGGGACTGCAAATATGGGCCAAGCGGCGCGGAGGATGCTCAGACAGATGGACTGTGTCAAAATTGGATTTTTTATTAAGTAGATAGACCTAGTCAGATAAATATGGAGGTGCATTCGATGTGATGTGATCGTGGAGAACTTCACGCTTCTGCCTCGTGCCCATGGGCATATATTTCTACGGAACTATCCTATAGACTGGCTCCAGTTCATCGTCATGGAAGATGTGCGAATGGAGGGCAGTTATTAGGTTTGTAGCATGTGGAGGTGACTCCGGAGGACAAAGAGCTCTAGATGAGACACTGCAAGGTTGTCTCCGTTGAATATTCTACTTTAACCTATGACGATGATTACGCGTCGGTACAGTCATGAACAGGCCAAGACACAATGTGATGAACGTTTATTCAGACATGTGAAATGATAGATAGTCAAAGAAACTGCTGGGAAAGCACTGTAGGAGCCCTTCTAAAGTGTTGAATGCTTTCAAAAGATACAAGAGGATCCACCTGTACTTCGTCAGAGTCGAACTGTCGGCCAGAAATGCCAAAAAAATGTGTTACTCTCTTTGATTAAGCGTGTCATCCTTAGTGCAGGGGCCATGCTAATCTTCTCTGTAGTGTTTCAAATTGACCAAGTGCCCAAAGGCGAAGAAGCTCCAATTTAGAGAATACATATTGTGCGGTTTAGACGTTAGTCTGATGAAGACAAACACCTAAACCCCCAACCTGAGGCAAACACTCCTTCCCCACAACTGGAACTCACCCACTAGTGTAAAAAGAATCATAATCCATGAACTAATGAACGAAAAAGTCTTCTGCTCCTTCGCAAAGTCGAACTTGCAACAAAAATGCCAAAAAAATGTGTTACTCTCTTTGATTAAGCGTGTCATCCTTAGTGCAGGGGCCATGCTAATCTTCTCTGTAGTGTTACGAATTGACCAAATGCCCGAAGGCGAAGATAGTTGGAAATAATGGTGTAATATACCACGACCTAGAAGTTTGCACCTGCCCTTGCCATGGCATTCCACTGACACAACCCTGACCAGCATTCCTGTACTAACCCGCCACTCGCAACAAGCAACTTCATCAACACGTACGTTATCACCACGGTAAGAACCATATCGAGCCTAACAGAGCTTTGAAGTTGCTCATTGTTATTTCAAGAGACACAGTCGCCATTGTTGCTTGCCCCTACGCGCTGACATTCTCGCACAACGCTCTGTCAGTACCGAAGTGTGTATGTGGATTCAGTGCATTAACATCCTCAAGCTTACATAGTTACGAACAGACAGATACCACACCCGCCGGACCCATCAGGCCACATAATGAAAGCGAGAGAAGAGCTCACCGCCAACATGGGCCGTGGAGTGTACGACTCCACGGGTACCCCGAAGCCACCAACTTCTCCTGCTCCTTCTCTACCATCGCCACAACAGTGATGGACGCCCACAATGCATGATTTCAAAGAAAACGGGAGACTGAATACATAAGAGAGAACATCAGATACCAATATACACAGTTACATTAAGCTCCGAAGAAACAATGCCGATCGGTCACTCTCGCGATTAACTAATCTATACTATCTGTTTTTGTAACTAACTAACAGCGAGGTACTGACATCTACTAGCACTCTATCACAAATGCCCACTACCTAGTAAGACTTCCAGCGAATAAGCGACACAGTGGAATCGTCAGAAAATGCAGAGACAAGGAGAAACGTACTCTCAAAGGGGTCAACATACCGTTACTGACGCTATCTAACACACACAGCCACCTTGAATGGTAGCACATCGTATGTCGAATATATCTATCAGACGGGACTGGATGCGAATTTGGAGTTCCGTACACGTCGAAAAGAGGTGAGCAACCAATAAGAGAACAGCTCTCCACCCGATAGCCATAGCTTTTGACTGACGGGCTGTGTATAAGCCACCAGACATAGGGAAATGAGAAAGTTCGGTTTCAAACACGAGACCTACCACATTCAGCAGAACGATCCCACCCCTCACACAAACCCGGCATTCGGAGTTTCAAGGCGCAATTACGATCTCTTACACGCTCATGCGCGACTCAGACTCGGTATAAAAGTCAATGCCCGCGAGATCTTGCTTCCTATTAGCACACAGTGATCTCGATAGCTAACAGAACGTATAAAGAATCCCCATGATCATCATTCCTGTCAGGATGCTCGATAAGCCCCTAGTTTCCGCCGAGACTGTTCCACAAGTCAGTCAAGTTTCAGATACACCAAAGAGTCTAGTGCCGCTCAAGCTGCGCAGATATATCAAGTAAAAGATACAGCATACCAATCAGAGGTTCGGTCCAATGACTCCCAAAACCAAGAAGCTATACAGTGCACGTTTCGAGGGGATAACAAGCCCAAAACTGGTCCCTATTAATGACACAGAAGTTAGCCAAGAATTTGAAAAGGTGGTTATCTGTTGGAATCACCTCTACGGGGTGTAAAAAGAACATAGTACACTGAATCTAGAAGGACAACAGCCGGCCATCAACCAAAAAATCAGCGACATGATCCAGTGATGAAATGTTTCACGATACACCGTTCACAAGGGGCTTTGAATGGCACAGACACTCAAAGAGCGGTTTATCGAAGGATAACGCAAAGAGTCGTCAAAGAGCCATAGTTTCTACTTTCTACCCTGTGCACAAGGTATTCAAACCATCACCAGCTTACTATGTTCATGACTTGTCTTACATTCACAGCCGCATTCACTCTTACAGCATCTAAGCAGACGAAGGAGCTCAAACGATAAAGAAAGGACAGTACGATGTGTCCAGCATACTCGCAAAATAATCCTGGAAGCACGACTTTCCAGGAGCGATAGAAAGATCCAGATATAATATGAAGATGAATGGTAGAAAAGAGCAAAATGGGAGAGAAGGTGGCGTTTAGGATACTCAAGGACTACATAAGAAGACTTGGGGATTGTTTTAGGGTTTCAGGAGTTTATGGGACAAGACCAAGAGCAATTTCATTCTAGAGCAGATCGAGACGACAGCGTGGTCAAGTGGTTCAAGAAAGAAAAGTGGCGTTAGTCATATCATATTTATGACATGGATAGGGGAGGCAGAGAATGGAAAGACGAACAGTCATGAAGGGTGGCATGTGCTGATAAGGGTCAGAACTGAGATCAGTCGCGTAATCAAGGGCGTGTTCGTTTGCTAGGCATTCGATAGACTGCGCGGGATTCGATAGAGAAGGGAGCGGAAGAAGAGAAAGAGAAATAGACGATAGAGTATGATTGATAGACTTCTGGATATGACGATGTGAAGAGAATAGCGCGCATTTCATACTCAGAGATACAACAACAAAGACATATACGCAAGACAAAGTCTTCACCATACGATCGTTTGGGCAAGACCATATGAAAGTATCATAGACACTGAAAGCCAACAGCGCGATGCACGTCTATAACCGAGAAGAAGACAAACAAGTTCTGACAGATCAACAAGCTACTCTGCACGCTCGGTAGGTGAGGCTGAATGGCTTGTACCGGTATGTACACAGCATCTTGACTGCAAGTTGGCTCCCACGTTTGGTTTGGCAAGCCCGAAAGGGGTCTGTATGGACTTAGCGAAGTGACGCATAATTCGGCTCTTATAGTTTAAGATCAAATCTGTGTTGTCATGCATCCTTTGTCGTTCGTAGTGCTGCTCGTAGTGACGCCATGTCTAGTCTTGACATTCCTAGAATCAATATTAATAAGTGTCTAGCTCACACTTTCACTGGGAGGTCGGAGACGACATCAGTCTATGACTGCAGCAAGTATGCCGTGTCTGTGGCTGCTGTTGATCTGACCTTTGTTCACAAAGTAAGGAGTAAGGTTGATCTTGATAGATCAGCCGCTGAGGATTTGAATTGTTTCACAAGTGACCTGGAAGATGTTCGGAATAGCATATATTAGTTGATATTATAGGGTACCACGCATTCCATATTGCATCTAGGCACATATTATAAGAGTCACTTGTGAAGAAGACATGCTGGCAGATATTGAGACTCCTGAGGCTCAATATCTTGCATAAACCTGCAAGTAGTTGACTATCAATCACTGTGAATGACATATTAAGTGAGGCGTAAAGCTCACTGCCCGACACATGTAATTCCCAGGGGACTCGATTCGATCATAGCATTGGAGGCTAGTCAGCGAACTTAGAGGACTGATTATGTACAGGAAGAAACCACCCCTAACGAAATCTTCGAGAACTCATCCTTGAATATGTCACAATCTTGGTTTTTTTTTTCACCTCGGGAGCCACTTTCGCAAAGCTTTCATTAGACGCAGATTTTCACATAGACCTTGCACTATTGTTACTTCCAGCTATCAAACTATGATCTAACCTGCTCTGCATCTTACACTGCCCGACCTTTAATTTTCGTTAATAGTTTCGATTTCACACGGCTCGCTTGTTTAGCCGTTGTGCCTTGCCTTGAGGTGTTCTTGAAGTATTATGGATATATGTACTACTACTGCGATGAAAACTTCCCTACCGCAATAGGTTGAGTCTGAGATAGACCGAAATACTCACCTTCACAATGGCATGCAGCGTACATGCGTATAGTGGAAGTCAACATTGTGCATGATTAAGGAGAGTAGCGCCAGGGCTAGAGGTCAGCCGAAGTTATTGATGGAAACGTGATCCCCCATTAAGCAAGCGTACCTGATAGCTTCAGAAATGACGCCTTTTCTATGGTATTGTAGTGACATTTGCTATGGAATTGACCGAGCTGGAAACTCACGTAGACGTTGGCACTCACCACTTGTGCTCGTAGCCTTCAGTGATGAGCTACTGGGGATATATGTTTCTTTGTTGAATATCGCAGTGCGCTGTCATCGTCGCTGCTGACTCTTGCCTAGTGGCTGTGTATTGTCCTCTGCCATGATGGAGGCTGCGCTGCCCCTGCAGAGTCCTGCGAAGTTTCCCTCCCGTGCCTGCCGCTACACCACCCCCTGACTTCCTCTTCACTGGGCTTGCTCGACTTCAGCCTCATCTTCATCAGAACCATCACCACGTCCACCACCAGCATCACGAGCCGTAGAACACTCTGAAGTCTCACTGCATCGAGCCTCTGGATCTCTTGCATCCTCTCTTTACTCTCAATGTGGACAAGCCAAGCAGCAGCGGCAATAAGGCGCTCGCCGAGACAACCAATCGTTCAACCACGCAACCGTCTTGAGGCAAGAAAGGTCATCTGCAGCTTGGCTCTCGACCTATCGATACCACTGCAAATATGTTGCAGTGGAGGAGCATACTTCGCAAGTCCTTGCATCGCAAGATCGAAAGCAAGAGGCATGCTGGCAAGGTGCTTCGGGAATTGTGCGAAAGCCTTTGGGTAGTCTTTTCGCCGGATCAATTCTGGTCTGTATCGGTACTTTCCGGAGAATTACACATCCTGAATCACTCAATCACCTGTGGGAATAAGGTAGGTGATCTTCTGATCGTTTCAAATAGCGCTCTCCTTACGACGTCATTTCTTACGAATGATAAATCGTCGAAGGATGGAAGCTGCTTGTGGTCCTTGCTCTTAAATTTTGCTACCTGCTCCGCGCTCTCTAGCTTGAGACATTCTTCTGGGTACTCAAGCTTGATCGAAGTCGCGTTCCGTCTGCTTTGTTCCTAGTTCCTCCTTTTTTTTCCGAACCATCCTCGTCTTCGCGAGCTGTTCCCCCATTGCGTCAGCCGCACGCAGCCGTCAGAGCGCGTCGGTCTTCTGCATGTTCTTTTCTTTGCACTTGTATTGTCACTTCGATGATACCGCAGCCAATTGAGCGCGACCATCTCTTCTTGTATCCCAATATCCCACTGGCCCCTTTGCAGCCGATTGAGCGCGATCGTGCCAGCTGTGTGGCTCCATTTCATCCACCCATGCTTGATTGTATGTTCTCTGCGTACAACTGACGCGGGTATGATGTTCAGACTCTGTTGACGTCGTTGAGTTGCTGTGCTATCAGTCTCGATGCGGCTTGCGGACTCTTTGGCGACCTTGTAGGCGATTTTGACGGGGAATCGCATATTTTGACACCAGCGAAGCTATTGCATCGAAACTGAAAGGAGGTGCATCGACACTATTGTGCATGACGAGAAGGCGGCCTATGATCTCTCCGAAATATCGTCCCCAAGTTGTGTCATCGGAACAAAGCCCGATTCATGATTCTGCTCAAGTAGAAAAAGCCTTCGACTCCAAATCAGTCTCTAATGTATCTTCTCCGGCTTTCTAGTATGTCATTTTCTATGCAGGGCTCGGTGAGAATAAGCCCTAAAATGAGTCAGACGCGATCCGCCAACATTGAAACAACATTAAGGAAGTCTCCAAATATTGTCTGACTGGCGCGTCCAGCAACTCTGGAGGCTTTCAGGACTCGGAACCAGATGCACTCACTCTCAATTCCACGTGGTTGCTCAATGGTGCCTCCGTAAAGAGGTTCGAGCATTCCAGCTCTGTTTCGTGATGATTGGTGTAGCGCGTTGCGAATCCGACCTGCAATGCAGGTAAAAGATGATCGAGGCACTGCAGACTCAATCGAAACTGCCAAGCGATCCGATCCATGGATTTGACGACATGAAGCTGTATGCTGGAGAGAGTAATACCAAGGCAGAGGCCCTCAAAGCTTCATTAGAGTGAGGCAGACGTTCTTCAACATCTGGATATTTATTTGCATCCGTTCGCTATACCTGTTCACGCCGAAGGAACTTATTAAAGTAGTTTCTCCTCACTCTTAGCTTTTCCTGAAATCGAAACGACGTGATGCAAGGGCAGCGCGTTCAAAACGTCACTTTCGGATAGACAGAGCCAGTACACCTTTGAGAGGTAGCACAAAGTCTGTCTCATGACGTGAATATGTCTTTGTTTGATGAAAGGGTAAGATGGGCCAAAGAGAGATGATGAACAGCTTGAACTTGGGAGTGGTGGATTGTGGTTGCCGATGAAGGAAACGAAATAGATTAAGAAGATGAAGCCCGCACAAAGCTGGTGTAAGGTATGAAGTCCAAAATCTGCCCACTCCGTCAACAGCCCGCAATCTGGAAATCACCAAATTTGGGATGCATAATGCACATATTTTCTATGTCCTACATTGATAATGGAGCGCGATCTCGGATTATACGAATTTCTACGAATATTTTGATTAGTCAAGCGAATGACTTCATTATTACTGCCACTTTGGCATTATGGAACACGGAATACACGGCACAATCGGATCCAGTCTTTTCTATTATTCTATAGTTCCATTGACAAATTACTAGTCGAAACCCTCAAACCGGGATCATACCCCAGAGCAGACCGGATCAAAATATGAACTCGTTGGCTCCGTACTGCCCGGCCCCTGAGTATGTGTTCCAAGTTGAACGCCCGCCCAGCATGGATATCCAAGTCGGATCTGGGAAGAAACTGTCAACTCGCTTGTGATAGGACAAGATTTGAGGAGCCGGTCAACGAATCTCTTCTCCCAGAGGGTAGTGCTTCGCCGCTTGATTAATAAAACACAGGTCGTATGCTTAGATCAGTGTCCTTACTGGTAGAGAAATGCCCAGGCAGAGCATCCAAGCGATTGTACATGTTCCGAGTCATGCCATTAACAGGACTGTCGACGGCTCGCAATTGGCATAGCTGCGAACTCCAACCAGTTGGACGACCAGGGCGCACTGAATGGTTCACATAGGTCGGTAGTGGGCGAAGATGTGCTCGACAGTCCCACATCTTCCAGAAAAGAGGTAGAGCACGTCCCTCGCGACCCTTCAGTGCTTCTACTGCGCTGTCCTTGATCGGAGGAGGTGCCTGCTGAAGGATCACCAAGGGACGAGCTAGGATTCGACGGTTGACCTAAGTCAGGAAACATTACTTTTGCGAATCTGCTAGGCAATCGCATGAGAGAGAGCTCAAGTCCGCAGCGATGCCTTGAGCCTAATCTTGCATCTCAATACAGGATCTGACCATAGATCTGTATAACTCAATCGTGCAAGTCCCATTGAAAGTAGTACCGTACCTGATTTTGGATGTCTGGTCATGTCCGGCCTCACCCAGGAGCTAGAATTCTGGCCTGGGAGACCGCGACGGGGGTTCTCCGGGGATGTTTGCTTGAAAGTGCCCGGGAGGTACTCGGAGTGTCTGGCCCTGATGCCCTTGCAATACATCAAGAAATCCATCTTGTGTACGGATCTGGCACTGCTAACCGACTTGCAGTAGCTAGATTGAAGGCGAAGACCACTAAGCAGCAACAGGTCAATCGACAAAATACGGTTCGGTTGTTGCCCGGCCCATGGGTGGGCTGAACATCATGCGTATGTTTCATTCGGCTTCCGACCGGGGGGTGAAATGGGTACCAATGCCTACTGGCGCTCCAGTGCTGACCATCTAGGCGTGGTAGTTGCGCTGGCTGGTCTTGGTCTTGGTGTGTTCGCCTGACTCAATCTGCGCGTAGCATGTGAAGAGCCGCGAGCCACATTCATCCCTCTCGCGCAGCCCGGAAGTGTCCTGAAGGTAACAGCGTCTTCAGTGTAGGACACCACCAGGCTACCACTGTCGATTTGAGCGACCAAAGGTTCGGTCGTGGTCAGTAGAACGCCTGAACATCGTCGAAGATCAGGTGCGAATCTTGTTGGCCCCTACGTGGATCCTAGGTTACCACTTTCAGAATTCGAAATGTTTTCCAAGTCGCCAACGCTGAAAATGTTGCTAATGGACCGGCTGAAAGGTTGTGGATCTTGTGTTCGTATCGAATTTCGATCTGCTTACGTGATTCCAGTTGATCTAAAGATCCAGCTATCGTACGTGTACTTTGCCTTTTGGTAACCCAACACGAAACCATCCGAACCAGGCGGTATTGTCACATGGTATGCCAAGCGAATCATACAGTTGTGTGGTATGCAACCAAAATGGTTTGGTGCTCGAAGGATGGATGAGCTCAAAAAGATACTTCTCCACCATACCACCGCATGTATGAGAAGATTGACTCATGGAAGATGTCCCTGAGAAGGTAGCGATATGCGTCTCTGAGATTGAGCTTCAGAATCTGATCACGGACTTCTTGTTCATGAAATTGGCGAAGTCATCCAATGACTGATTTTATGGATTGATAGAGTCGTGCTTGGAGAGCAACATGGCATCGACAAATTTTAGCGTCCCAAGTGCTTGACGATCGAATTGAAGCTTTCTTCGTGAGGCTGAGGAAGCTTGCCCAGAGAAGAAAGTGAGAAGCGCAGCATACAGGTTGGGCTTGTTGGTCGAACTCTCTTTACCCACCAATTGCTTGCTTGTAAGCGGGAATGGCAGCATCTTTGACATGCCGGGTCTGACTTTTCGACTTGTCTCTAGCAGGTTCAGCGACCCCTTGATCTACTCATGCTGATTGCTTGACCTAGTAACATGCCATGGGCGAGCTTGCCAAAAGCCCACTGTAGGTAGGATCCGAACTTCGGAGGTTGTACGGTTTTCGCAGAAAGGGGGCGACGTCGGCGATTGCGATGAGACGCAGAAAACGCTATGTCTGACGGTGGCACTGGAGTCAGCGTACAATCAAGCTCTAAAAAGAATGGAAATCATACCAGGACCTCTGATCGATCATACACCGGGGCTCGACTTAGCTTCACCGTTGCTGGCTACTAGTCCCCAGCACTTCGCAGAAGTGCCGAGCCATGCTGGGGTGAGACTTACATGGTGCCGTCGACATCGCTGACACCAAAGCTCGAATGGATCGAGCAGCGCACTGCAATTATCTGAGCACCGCAACGAGGTTCGCGGTAAAGTTCCGTTGTTCCGGGCCATCATGGTCTACTACGCTGCAAGGTAGAGGTTGAGCCAAGGCACAGCTCCTTCTCATACTGCGGCGACCGCAGGCGGCATACTGGCTTCGCTAGCAATTGAAGACAAAGTCTTCAAGGCAGTTGCGATAAGGCCAGCGCTCCGGTCCAAGGAGACCGCTGCGTGGCGATTGATCGTGCCACTTGACTTGCGCAGGCCCGGCAAAGGGGATTGTCGAAATTGACATATTGTGTCATAAGGTGACGCATTTTGAGTCACCAGGCGACGCGTCAATATCCGATATTGTTGCCATTCAGGTCGACTAATGGAATTAAGATTGATTAGCATTTGGTAAAGAGGAAATTGTCATGGAGGACAGTGCTTGGATGTGACGGTCAAAATAAGACATAGCTTGAAAAAAGAAGAGAACAAAAAGAGAAACGAAGCAGGAAAGGCAATATCCAATGGATATGATCAAGGCTGAGATCTAGAAAGGATCTAGCTTTTCGTCGGCTTCAAAGTATATCGAACACAACATGTCGATATTGCGGTGAGTTCCATTGACGGTAATGATGTAAGATGAAAAAACATACCTTAGGAGAGCATTCATGCAAGATCCACAAACATGAACAAGCTTTGCTAGATGCTCGGGCATGAGCTCTTATTTCAAGTACTAAGGGCTTGTGTCTGTTAGATCTTAAGAAGACACCGAGGATGAGATCCGCGGCTGAGCAAATGATAGGGATAGTGGTGCAGTAGGGGCAAGACTTACTACGAGACTAGGTATGTATGAGTGTGAGGTAGGTCGGTGCGAGGTGTGTTAAAGCTTGGATAGCTAGTTGTGCTTTCAAAATCAAGTCAGCTCCATGTTCGTTACGGTGAGAGAATCGTAGATCTCAAGATCTGTCAAAAAAGGTCCGGTAGAGACCATGTAGTATCGTGACATATGGTGGAAGAAAGAAGGGGATAGAGGAAGGTTGGTGAAGTAGACTGAGCTTGCTTCACCCTCGTGTCTGAACTCAGCTGATTTTGAAACGACAAATACGTATAAGGGAGCTCAGAGAAAGCCAGCCAAGAGTACAAGGTGGTAGCAAAGCCGCATGGTACAAGTATGGGGCAAGATACAATAGTATAGGAGGTTGGTGTTGAGGAAAGAAGGTATTGCCTCATCTTTGAGTAAGGTTCAGTTCAGCTCAGCCAGGCAACTCTTCCAGATAAACTCGAATCGAGCTTCTGGTGAGAGTAGAACGCCTACTAGCCTCCTGCAAATATGGAGTGTAAAGATCTAGGATAGGAGCTTTGTGTTGAGAAAAGGAGAGTAAAATCTCACGGGAGAGTGAGACCAGTGATCCTTCACATACCTTTCGCGGCTGCAGCGACCTCTAGACAACGAGGAATGGTGTTGAAGGGAATGTACTTGTTACAAGAGATAATGATATGGATTAATGATAGAAATAGAGCAAGATAGATGGGGTGATGAGATTAAGTTGGTGGGATGGAGGTGAGTAGAAGAAGAGACGGAAGAGAGTTGAGGTTTTGTATTCAGTCACTTCGCATTGATGACTAACCACCAGCCACGGATCCACGGATGCCTTGGATGCTGCCTCGCACATTATAGAGTAGGAATGTATGCCATCACGATGGTGTGCTACTACATGATCTCAAGATATCACACACTACGCTTCACAACTTTCCAAAAACCTTGACAGTCATTCCTGAACAGCAGCTAGAATTCTAACCTAAATGAAGTCTGGTCTCAGTCTAGCGACGCGATCTTCGTTGGGAAAGGTCTTTTTCTTATAACTGTTGACATTCTATAGGTCCACAACCTCACGAACCTCTATGATGATTTCTTTTAGCGAAACTCCTTTCCTCTGGACGAGAACTGTTCCACCTTTCCTCAAGCCCCTAAGTCGATCCCTGCTGTAGCAGTACCGCTGAGAGAATAGAAAGGGTGAAATCTACGTACTGATGGCATCAACTCCGGCTTCGGGTCATTGATAGCATTACACGAAATTAGGAAAAGATTATTCTCATGATGTATCGATGAGTCACCTTGTATCACGATCAAAACGTAAAGAGACGTATGACCAAGTAGCAGCGGCTGTGTGATAGGAGAAAAAGTAATGACAAGGTCTTGAAGTACATATAGCAATATCATAATTGTTGCTTTATTATCCTTTGCATCTCATATGAGGACGTCTACATGAAATCCTTGTATATTTATACTAAAAGGGTTTTCACCTCTTCTTCATACCTATGAGGGCTATAGCTCTACATAATTGAATATAATTATCTAGGATAATCTCTATTCTGGGAAGTTCTCCCCTCTAGGAGAGAGTTTAGGTAATAAAACTGGTTTGAGTTTAGAGTTTACAGACATTTCGGTGGCTAGGTTGTATAACCCAAATAATATCTTTTTTATGTGATTATGGAGGACCGAGGACTTGGTTTGTTCGCTGATTCTGCTCGCAGAAGTAAGGTATGATGAGGTAGATTAGGCAAGGGAATGTCAGATGAAATGGGCCAGTGGTGAAAACGGCGCCGATTTGACGAAGCTGTCTTTAACTGATGCAAAGACACTTCATCAAAGTCTGTGAGGCCTTTTTGTTGTTTCGGTGCTTGGTAAGCCATCAAGTTAGAATAGCAGGGCCAAACTCCTAGATCTTCTTTCCCGTTGTAGCAGGACCTTACTTTAGGAATCAAAAATGTTTGAATGGATAGTCAGGTCAAAGCCAACACACGCGGCTAAAACTCTGATTCCTGCTCTTGTCTACCAAATTTACCGTATAGATGTATCCTTAGATTAACAATAGTGGGTGTGACATATCTCTTTTGCTTCAGTCCTCTTACTAGCTGGCTTCGTGTAGTAGACATAGATATCACAACCAAAGCTCCTCTCCATCGTTAAAACCAAATGTCTTCATCCTTGGTATTCGTATATTGACTTCGCTACCCCTACATGATAGGCTCTCAACAAAATTTCCATTTATGGCGTCAGTGTACCAGTCATCAAGAACACCTCAAAATCACGCCGGCATTTCAGTTATCCCTTTCCTCCTCAAAGCAGATCACATCTACCGACTCCAGCCCATTTTCTGGCTCCTCAGTGTATAAATCCTCCAACCCAAAGTGCTCGTTGTCCTGTCTATCCATCGACGCCCTCAGCTCCGCCCAGACGATGTTTGCCTCCGATATCAGCGGTTCCATGGGACCGCCAACCTTGAGCTGGAAGCGTAAACATGACGGTGCTTGGTACCACGAGAATATCCCTCGCTTAGGAGATTGTCGAAGTATAGGTTTGGCGGCAGGGACGGGCTCGTGAGATTGGCAGGGGCGGAGGCGGTAGCACTTCTGACACTGCTGGTGTTCAATGCAAGGGGTGATGCGGTTGCAGATTGGGCAGGTGGCACTGGAGGTAGGTGGGCACATTGCGGTGGCCTTTTGTTCAACGATATCTCTGTGGAGAATGTGTCGCGTATGGCGTTCGGGTGTGGTTTTGGTCGTTGGTTGCACAGGGAGCTGGGGACTGTGAGGAAGGAATTATTGTCTTTTTGTCGATAATGTGCGTGCAGTCTCGAATATGGGTCAGGCGTGGGCTCTCTTGTTACTGTTAGTGTGTTCTGAATGGTTTTTCAGAGCGGATGCGTTGTGGGTGGGTGGTGAATATGGCAAACATGGCTGACATAACGTTGTTTATGCTTTTCACAACCGTACCTACGGCACGTCATATTTTACATTTAGGACGATTTACCTGATTTGTACCTGTCTATTGGTATTTGACGCCCAAATTTCGATCGGATGTTTGATTAGGCTCTCCGATAACTCCTTTATAGCACTCGATGTGTTCGCTAAAATCCCAATGATCCAGATTGATCGAGGACTGATTGGGTATTGATGCCCCGGGCACAGATCTATCTTAGTATAGCTCTCCAGAGATCGGAGAAAACACCATGACGTCCTCTCACTATCTGTAGCTATGTATCGCCACATATTATATCACAGTTGTCCGCTAATATCTCCTTTATAGTATCCCAAACCCCCCCAAAAGACCCGATGGCTCGACTCAGCCCTCAGAATTTGACATTTCACCCATGCTTCCTTTAAAACTACTTCATCGACATCCATATAGCATATATTTGACCTCTATAGCTTTTGATAATTATCTCTTAGCCCACCGCGGTTACCATAACTCTACAAGCCTTCTCCAAAATGCATTTCTCCCTCTACTAAAGCTAAATGCTCACTATGCCACGTCAACATCACACATGCACCCAATTCCACGCACATGGATTCACAAATATATTGCCTATACTCGCTGACAAGACTGGGGAGACTTATGAGAATTGCGGCACCTGAGCTTTATTGGTGGCGAGTGAAGTTTCACCGAACAGTCGCAAGGACTATGGTCTGGAAACATACGATCACACAATGAATGCGTTATCACCAAGCTTAACACGTTTGACGAAGTCTCTACTACCTCATGAGTTATTCTTAGGTGTGAAGATACTGTTCGTGGGAGGGTACTAACCAGTGAGAGCGCTGGTAGAGTATGTGAAAATCGGAGCTATAACTTCGCGGAGATAGTCTGGTGAAGAAGAGAGACATATGTAAAAGGACGTATCAGAGGCTTATACATGGCATCGTACTAACTGCTGGATCTATAGGAGTCACCCGAATCAAAATATTGGAATCAAAGACAGCCTTACTATATTATTCCACTTGCCGTCCTACGACTTCCAATTTCGAGGAGCATCTCATTGTCCTAGTAATACAAGTCTATAGACTCATATGCCCTATCTGCGAAGTAGACATACTGGGCGGCAAGTCTTCATCCTTCGTTCCCCAGTCACTCTCAGCGTCCCCTAGGGTGATTTCCAGCGTCCAGCCCTGCGCAAAAAATTCGTGACCAATCCAGCTCTTTTTGTATTGTCCACCGTTCAGCGTCACACTCTGGATGTAGATGTTCTTATATGCTGGATCGAAGTTGACTGTCTTGACTGTTGCCACAGTATCATTACCCATATTGATGCTCCAACTCTCGAAGAATGGCGCAGAGATAAGGTATACGTTCTGCCCAGCATTTGGGAATAGACCCATCATGGAGAAGGCTGAAAAACTTCCCATTGCACCGCTGTCGTCATTTCCGGGTAGTCCGGTGTATGAGGAATTGAAGCGTGAAGGAATGTAGGTGTGAACGCGTTTCGTAGATAGTGCAGGGCGACCTGCGTAATGGTAAGCGTACACAGTCAGGAACACTGGTTCGTTGGAGATGTCGAGGAGGCCAGACTCGAAAGCGTAGTCGAGACGTTTAATCAATGTCTCGGCTCCACCAAGGGTATCGATCAGTGCGGCCATATCTTGTGGTACGTAGCTATTAAGGCTCAGTCAAGGTGAGAAAATCTGGGAGAAAGGACCCACAACTGATATTCCCAGACGCTTGACTCAAACGTTTCCGAGGGATTTGATGTTAAAGAACAGAACGTAGCAAGCGGTGAGCAAGCAATCGGATCTTGGTATCCCCAGGTACCATTCAGGTATTTAGGTTGGAAGAAGCCAACGAAACCAGTGTCGGTCCCGTTGATGAAAGAAGTCTGGTCTGATTTGTAGAGATTTCGCCAGTTGCTTGCACGCTGCAGATAGACCGATGGGTCCTTACCCAGGCCAATAGATAATGTCGCAATGACGAAATCATTGTATGCATACTCGACCGTCCTTGAGATGCTTCTCGAGTTAGTACCAAACCCTAGGTAGTCGTAATCCAGATAAGGAATGTAATTGAGGCGCTTCCAACTCTGCAGCCCGCCGCGGCCTTGGTTTGACCAGTCCAGGGGCTCGACCTCCGCATCCTTAATAACAGCTTCGTATGCTAGACTCCAGTCTATCCCGGTAAGATTCTTGACGTATGCATCTACGAGAACTACGTCGGCGTTGCTTCCTCCTTGGGTCCATCCCCTGCTTAAGCTCATCTGACAATCAGGCAACCAACCCCTGTGCTTGTACGTATCGAGCAGGCTTCGCACCATGCGAGACTGTTCGTTAGGGTCTATGATAGTTAACATAGGATGTTGCGCTCGAAAAGCATCCCATATGCAGTAAAATGAGTCAAAGTATGGTTCATCGCTCTCCCACTGAGGATTTTCGCCCGTGTAGTCTTGTGGATTGATCATGTTCCGGTACAGACCGCTGTAAAATGTGTTTTGGAGATCTTCGCTTGCCCCACCAGGGGTAATTGAGATGTGGTCAAGTTTTTCTATCCACGCATCTTCCGCACGAGCGCGTATGACATCGAAATCCCAATCTGGTATCTCATGCTCAGCATTCTGGCAAGCCTTGTCGCTGCTGATATAGCTAACACCGAATCTTGCGCTGATAGTTCCGTCAGATGGTCGATGAAACCGAACAAAGGATCCTGCCTGTATGTAGAACAAATTAAAACCTCGTGTAACATATAACTCTTTCGGTTCCGTCCCAGCTCGATCGTTGACATACATGCCAGAATCAAAAATAGAGGCACCTGCAAAGTCAACGCAGAAGTGTAATACGTATGATCCTGCTCCAAAAGAGGGTAAGAAAGTCCCGTTGCCACTTATCCTTCCTGTGGCTGCGTCCACGGAGACGGAAGCGTTCTGCCTGCTGAGCCACAAGTCATCAAGGTCCACCAGGATGAGGGGATGGAGTGTAGTCCCATTTTCTGCTTTGGCATCGGGAAAGCTGAATTGATACAGAGCAGCATGTTTCGTGGTTGTCATCTCAGCGCTGATATTGTTGTCCAATGTCAATGCGAAATAGCCAGGTCTCGCGACAACGGTATCATTTTTGTATGGGAGCTTCCTGGAGTCCTTTGGGAATCTGCAATTATTCAAATCATTCCCAGGACAGAACTGTGGAAAAAGAGGAAAATTTCCCAATGAAGGATTCCCACCAGTCCCAGCGTCATGCATGGATGAGAAGCCTGTGACATTGCTATTGTCTGTTGAAAATCCCCCAGTGTTCTGCCCGTCCACATCTGCCACTGCCTTTGCCATGCCATAAGGAAGTGTAGCCCCAGCGAATACGTTCCCTCCACCGTTAGAACCTATGAGTGGATCTATGTAATCTAGCACATGGCATGATGTTCCAGTCGCGAGCGCAAATAGGACCACATGCTTCCACATATTGACTGGTATGAGTTTTGGAGAATAACGGATATTAGAGGTAACATGGGTCTGCAATGTAGAAACTACATGTGCCGTTCAGCGATAGTGACTTCCATCTTTTTGTGGATTTGGGGACGTCATTCGATCCTTAGTTGATCATCTTGTGGTCACCTCCTTCCTGTTTTGTCGATCAGATTGCGGGGTCGTTCCTGTTTGATCAACATGGTGTCAGCGTAACAAGCGCGACCCACAATGGATCATGCCTGGGATATCCCCTTTTGTCTTGGGCATTTGCTTACAAAAAGTGTCTTTATCGTCATTATGGACCAGCGGTCAGATAATGGAAGATCGATGGAATCGCCAGCAGCACGTGACCTACGAGAATTGCATTGCCATGCTCCCCCAGATATTTGACTCTGGTAAGCTGCATGAATAAGATAATAAGAATGTCTGAAAGGTGTCTCCGTGTACCGCAGCCGTAGACTTTATAGGATGCTCGCAGTGCGTCCAGACACCATTCAGTCTGATTTCTCGATTAGTAAGATAGCAGACAACTCAGTAGTGCTTACAAGCAATAGTCTTAAGAGTAGTCAAGTATGTGCCGAGTAAGAGATTACAGGTCGAAAGCAAAGTTTGGATCTTGCCTCCTCATGCAACTTTGCCATCAATATAAGTGAAAATGGCGCTATGCCTTTTGCGGCTACCACCTCAGCCAGCACCTACAGGGGCTCTCCATCCATTCATATCTTCCTTTCTTTCTTTCTAGTGCTTTCAGTTCCTACAGAGTCGTGTAGGCATTGTGAGCTTCTTCCTTGTCTTCGTCGTGTTCTTTCCAGCTCATCTTGTCAAATTCTAAGTATCTTTGTAGTTTGTATATCAGGATATGATTTATATATCGTAATCCGGATTCCGGCATAGTATGACCGACATCCCGATGATCCCAAATGAAACACAATTTCACTATGCACGTTCTTTGGCTATAGGTATGCGCCATCCTTGCTCAACCTTGTCAATACCGAGATTGACGAATTTATCCACCCACAGCCGCGAAGTAAGTCATATCTATCTTTGGATGGTCAGGGGGTACCAGAATCACCATATAAGATCAACTACCTCGCTATGGAGTATTCTTGGCGCGTGAGTGTAAATTTTTCTTCCTCATCGCGATAGCTGATTATATCAAGATGTTCATTCTCAAACTCTCTCTCTTCGCTTTGGCTGCCGTGACGACACTTGCAGCAGACGGCCTAAACATACGAGCCAAAGCAGCTGGCAAGCTCTACTTTGGTAGTGCGACAGACAATGGCGAGCTAAATGACGTTCCTTATACTAAAACGCTCAGTAATACTTCGGACTTTGGACAGATCACCCCTGGCAACTCTATGAAATGGGATGCAACTGAGAAGTCTCGCAATGTCTTCAGCTATGCGAATGGTGACTCGATTGTCTCTCTCGCAGCAGGTAACGGTCAGCTTCTGCGCTGTCATACACTTGTCTGGCACTCCCAGCTTCCCAGCTGGATTTCATCCGGAGACTTCGACAACGCTACCCTCGTAAGCATCATGCGGAACCACGTCACGAATCTGGTCACACATTGGAAGGGCAAGTGCTACGCATGGGACGTCGTCAATGAAGCACTTAATGAGGACGGCACATATCGTACCTCTGTATTCTACAATACCATCGGCCCAGCGTTCATCCCGATTGCCTTCGCAGCTGCCGCTGCCGCCGACCCCTCTGCGAAACTATACTACAACGACTACAACCTCGAGTCCGCAGGTGCAAAGTCCAAAGCAGCAGCAAACATCGTGAAGCAGGTTCAATCATACGGCGCCAAGATTGACGGCGTTGGCGCTCAAGCACACCTTATCGTCGGCAGTGTCGGATCAGCTTCCTCCCTGCAATCCAATATCCAGAGTTTTACAAGCCTCGGCGTCGAATTTGCATACACTGAGCTCGACATTCGTTCTACAACACCCATGTCAGACTCCACAAAGGCGCAACAAGCTTCCGACTATGCCGCTGTCACCACCGCGTGCAAGAACGTTGCAAAATGCGTCGGCATCACAATCTGGGACTATACAGACAAGTACAGTTGGATTCCCTCTGTCTTTGCAGGGCAAGGTGAAGCTCTCCCATGGGATCTCAACTTTGTGAAAAAGGCGGCTTATACTGCAATACTGAATGCGTGGGGCACAGCGCCAAGTGGAGGATCGAGTCCTACTGTCGTGGTCCCATCTAATACAAAGACAAGCGCCATTGGAAGTCCAACTGCAATAGCGGCGCGGTATGCACAATGTGGTGGTAGTGGGTATACTGGACCGACACAGTGTGCAATTCCTTGGACATGTATACAGCAGAATGAGTGGTTTTACCAGTGTTTATGAGACCGACGTTTCGGGATATTAGCTTGAATATTTCTCTCCGATCTGGCCATACTAGCTTTTGTTCGGATGGCTATCGCAAATATAACATCCTCAAGGAGGAGATACTGCGTCACTTGTCATGTTCTACAGCACTGTGCAGGGCTGAACGAATGGCAATATCGCTTTTGTTGCATGGTCGTAAGGTGCTATGTAGAGACATCTGAGCTATATTAACTAATTTGTATGAGCTCTATCAGTACTACTGACTGACTGCATGGGTAAATTAATCTGTCTTGTTCCATGTTCAAGCTTCCCAATGTTCATCCTTGCTTCTAATCGACGGACCTCATGGTATGAACTCGTATATCCACATGGAAAGACCCGTAAATCTGTGATACTGTTCTATTCCCAAGTTCTTTGTCTCTACCTTATCACTGACATATGTTCTGCTTTGTCCTTCCTGTTAAGTAGTCCTTGATCTTACATCACTTTGATCGCCTTTAAGGACAACGTTAAACTAATGTTCCTCTCTTCAAGTGCCATAGAACTGTATGACTGTAGTCTATTCATTCATATTATGAAGTGCTACAGGACGAGAAACTGGTCTAGTATGATATGCGGCACTATTAAATCAGCCGTAGTAGCAGGAAAACCACGTTCATTCCTCCCTTCCCGTTAGCGAAATAGTAACATCTTCTTCACGGCCTGTGCGGCCTTTTTAGGAACACTGTAAGATCTATTAGCTATGCGCATCAAAACTGCAACATGTGTGGAAGAGAATCATGTAAGATGGTGATCTGCAAGCAAAGTAGAGTGCTGGGGCAGAATAGCTCAACCGCTAATAGTAGCTTGAGACAATCAAGTGTTGAAAAGGTGCGATGGTCATGCGAGGAAATGCTTACTCCCGCTTTCCTCCTCTCTTCTTCTCCTTTCCGCTCTCTCCCTCCAGCTCAACCACAGCCCCTTCTTTCACCGTTCCCTTCTCCTGGTCCGGTGTTGCGCCGGGCACAGGAGCTTCGAGCTCCGTGAAAGGAGCGGAGGTGCCCATTCCTAGAGCGTGGGAAGGCTCTGTTGTGGTTTCTGGCTCAATCTCAAGTCTGTGAACAAGCATTGTCAGTTTCACTCCACTGAAAGACAGTCAATTGCGCATTTGTGCGTAATTTGAGTCAGATAGTGTTTCCTTTTGCACATATACTCAATTGCCAGTCATCGATCTCGAGTTGGGCTCATATTAAAATTTTCTTCATATCGTAGCTGCCAGAGTAGGTAAGATCATGGATCTACTCACTTGCGACGCCATGTTGTTATTCCCCTATCTTGCTTCTGTAAGAGTCCCTTCATAAGGAAGCGAGCTGGGCGCTCCCCTAAGGGTGGAGGAGGAGAAGGAACGGTGCTATGGGTTGGAGAGGCAGTAATCTGCCGGACAGTAACTTTTCCAGCGTGTGTTGGTGTATTTTCAACGCTTGGGGTGGTTTCAGAACCAGTGTTCGTGTGTTTGATAGGCATTGTGTGAATATGGGTCTCGGTAACGGGTTTTCAGGGGGTCGAATGATCCCAAGTGGTGACAATTGGGAAGTTTGACGTTCGGCAAGGCCCCGTAGAGCACAGAATTGATCAACAGCTGCCGAATATATCAACAGAGGGGTCCGAGAACTCGTGGTGCTAGTACGCAAGGGGCATATCACGTGTATAGAATCGTTAGTGTGTTGTTATGACTATTTAAGACGACGCTTAATTCTCAAAATCCTCCATTCTTCCTTCATCCTCTTCTGAAAACTCATCCTTTAACATCACTTTTACATTTCTTTCACCCTCGACATTTATACGCTGCGACACTGTCCGACAGGTGCATGTCTTCCTAATCTATACCATGTTTACACCCAATTATGGATCCATAGTATGTCCTCCTTTGCCATCGCCTTCTATTGAGATGAACTGAAACCCACTGACAACTTTCACCAAGGTCTTCCAATAATTGTCCTGGAAACATGAATTGCCAGCTGTTCATTCAAACTTTGACTTCTTCCCCTACCGCGTGACCTGATGTAACTTCCGTCAAACTGAAATGAAACCACTGTAAGTTCAACCTATTCTGTATCGACCACGAAGATGTTCAACTAACTCTTTCATGAATTAGCGAAAATTGCCTCTCCCATCCCCCTCACAAATCCTCCAACCCTCACATGAAATTTTATTTTATTTAACTGACGGCTAGTATCGAACGCTTTAAACCGTACGCAAGTACCTTATGGTTATAAGCGTTACTCGGCCAAGATTGATTGCGCGGGTCAGTGACTTACCGCTCTTTGGTCGTGGTTTTTACCACGTTTCAAGGAAGCGGTTCACGTCGGGCAGACCTTGGTAAAAAATTGGCTTGCAGCTTCATGCTTCTTTCTATTTGGGGACAGAGTAAGTCTGTCCACTTCACGGCGTTGCCGGGTGGATTGTCGCACAACATAGCTGTTAGGAGAATCTATCCAATGTACATCATATGTAGTAGTCTAACTCCGATCTTTCGTTTGTGCTTCACAATCTTCACAACTCAAAAGCAAAAGCCTTGTTTGTGCTTCACAATCTTCACAACTCAAAAGCAAAAGCCTTGTTTGTGACAGCGAAAACTATTTTAGGATACTGTTATCTTTCTCATCAAATATTGTTCGCCAATCTTAATTCTAGTTGAGTACCTTCTTGTAACATGTATAGACGTTGATACCAAAAAGCTTTAGTATTCTACCACTTTGCCTAATCAAGACTAGTGTAAAAAGCGTTCATCTAGCTAGACTAATAGTTTTATTACTTGTATACTTTGAAGATTCTTCTAAGCTCTATATCTATATTAGTGTATATATATATATTAAACTAGATATATGTCCTCTGATGCGATGATAGAAATATTCATTAAATTCCAGGGAGAGGAGAAAGAGATTTAAATCATGCCAAGATTGTTAGGTTTCAGGCAAACCACGGACGGCTCCCTATCTGAACGCGATGTGTAATAACTAATTACCTGCACAGGTGAATTATGGCAAGACCATTAAGCTCACCCTTCACATACATGAACGCACCCATGTTCACTCTATGAAAGAATCCCGTTCACTCGCACAATGCATCAATCCGCTTGCCTGCTTCAGTCCTCTGATTACATAGTCGAGGATGCCACCGCGAGGAAGAGCGCGTGTTGCTGCTCCCAGCAACCGCGTCTGCCAAAGTCCAGACGAGGTATTATATCATAACCTGTACTACTCCCTCTGTACGCAGCCAATTTCTAATGTTCGATCATAGGACTCATCCGATTCTGAGTATCTTGGTCATTTTGAGCCCGCGCCTGTCTCTACAATGTTATCCGCAGATCCGCCAATTCCACGAACTTCAGCCACTATCATGCGCTGCATCACCATAGAAGGAATCCCATACTACTCTGTGGTGATAAAGCCACTTGACGATCCAGCTGTAAACTCCACTAGAGCTTCTTCTTCCGCATCTTCCGCAAGCCGTGCGACAGACAGGCGCAAAATCACTGAGCCAGTGCTAAGAGAAGGCATCACGATGGATGAAATCTATAATCATGTTTCTAGAAGAGAGTACGAGCGATTCGTACATGTTGAATGGGAAGCCGCTGAAGAGGCCAGAGCCGTCGCCGAAGCAGCCGAAGAAGAAGCTGAGAAAGCCTGGGACATGGAAATCCGCCGTCAGAGGCTAGAAGCCCTGGAGCGTGCTGCGTTGCTGAAAAGTCGGGGACCAGGGCAGAGTCGCGGTCGACCTCGTGGGCGGGGTCGTGGAAGAGGACGCTCCAGAGGATACGGACCTGCTGGTACCCAACGAGAAACACTGTCCGCCCAGCAATCTGGAGAGGACACTTCGGAGGAAATAGACATGATTGAAAACACAGCAGAAGATGTGGATGTAATCGCGAGACCTCCACCCATGCCTAGCACCAGGGGGCATGGAATCCGCGGAAGAAGAGGGCGTACGAGAGGATACGGAGGTGAAAGATGGCACGCGGGAATCACAAGGTCCGTTTCTGCACAAAAATCTGGAGAAGAGTCGCCCGCAGATATGACTGAAGATGGGCGAGAAGAATCGGTCATTGACGGATCGTCACGCCTTCCCTACACAAATGGTAGAGCCTACGAGAGCTCTGAGTCGGATACTGCCGCTGCACAGCAACTTAGAAATGACTTCCAGATGTCCCAAATGCGCTCAAGGCGTCTCGTATCGCCAGAAGTCGTCATAATCTCCCCAAAGAGGCCTATCAAGCGGCAGCGCATGACGCCAACAGTTGAGGGAACATCTTTCAGCACGGATCAAGCTCCCTCTAATGCGTCTTCCAAGTCGTCTCAGCCCGAACTATCTGCAAGTTCAAGACTAGGGGTGAACCGTACCTCACTGAAGCCCGTAGCTGGTAGCCTAAGCAATGGACGGACAACCATTGTCGATCTGATAGGTGACATCGAAGACGAAGACAGCGACGATATCGATGATCGCACTCATCCAAACTTGACTATTTCGGACAATGGGGACGTTGAAATGTTGAAAGCCAAGGAACACGCACCGAATCCTATAGTGAAAGGCAACCGGCCAGTGCGGAAGAGGTCCCCTTCACCTGTGAGAATTGAGCAGATCATCGACCATCTAGACATGGATGGAGAAGTGACATACTGTGCCAGGATAGTCGGGCACTCGGAAGATCAGGGTGTGTGGAAGAGCGCGCGAGAAGTCAAGGATGAATGTCCGCACTTACTAGCCGCCTACAAGGCTGCCCATTTAATGCAAACCGGAAAATATCTGATCGACGAAGAGGATAGCGACGCGTACGAGGATCAGGAATGACAATCTAAGTCTGAATACCCAGACCACTATCTTGGTTCAAGGGAGTTGGACAAATGTAAGCTGGGCGTTATCAGCATGGTGGCATATTTAACATTGGTCCCTGCATATGTCGTTATTAGCATGGCGTTCTTGGTAAATATGGTGTGGGATTCTGCTCTCGTTGATATGCCTAGCAGTGTTAACAAAAACATGCATTATGCTCAAAACTAGGCAAGCAGTCAGTCTTTGCACCTTATCTATATCCAATCGAAGCCAATTAAAACACGCGAATATCGACTCTTGCCTACGTCTTAAGACCTTAGAACTCCCCTGGCCCTACACCGGGGCCAACTCCGTATCCCAAATACTGATCAAAAGCCATGTTCCCGATATCAAACGCAAAGTCATCAAACCCAAGATCCGTACCTAGTCCTCCTGTCATCATCATTGGCATATCCCAATTCTGCCCTCCCAACGGCGTCGGCGCCATGATGTCAGATCCCAATGGTCCCATCGACGCACTTTCCACAGTCTTCTCTCGCCCTACTTGCCCGCCAAGTATAGTCCTTAGCGACTCCATTAGCTCATCAAGCGCCTAACCCTTGAACTGCTCCGCCTTGCTCGGCTCGGCCTTCGTTTTCACCAGCGCTTTCGCCGCACTGATAACCCAGGCTTCACGTGCGCCACTGCCAACACGGACCATACACGCCCCAAGGATCTCGAGGGCCTGTGCTATTGCTTTGCTGGCTGGAAGCGTTAGCGAGGTGATGAGGAGATCATCAGCGGGTAGTTTTGCGGCGAGGACGGCATGTGCGAGAGCCATGGGAGCTCTGAACATGTCATCACGAATGAGGACGAGTCCAAACATGCTGTTTGAGGTAAGGGTGTGAAAGAGGGATATGATGTCTGTCGCGGCGCGGATTGTGGCTAGGACGGAGTAGCGTGTATGTGAAGGATTGGTCGATGTGTGGATGAAGGGTGAGTGTATCATGAGAAGAAAAACGAGTAGCTGGATGCGGAGAAGCGAGTTTGCCATTAGCGCGCGACCAGGCGTATCAGAGATGCTGGCACCAGGGCGTGTAGGGTCCGTGAAGTCAGGGAGGGTAGTGAGATGGGCTTGTATCTCACGCTCGTAAGATAGTACTGAAGTGTATGAGAGTTGGGTACGTGGATCGTTGAGACATGCGTTGAGAGAGATTCGAAGTTTGAGTGAGGCATGCGCCAGGTGTTGATATGTTGCGGATGTGAACTGGTCAGGCGAGAGTGGTTTGGGGGTTACTGTCGTACCCTCATTGATATCTTCGTCTTCGACGTTCAGTGGTGCGAGTGTGTCGAAATTGTATGCATTACTGATACTAGGCATACCACGCTCAATGGACGCTTGTAGCTCGATTTCAACGGCTGTGGCCCAGATTCGGCGTCGCATCTCGGACTCAAAGACGGACATGCCAACGATAGTCCGGTTGACATCGCGGTTCAGAGACCCAGACGGAGCGAGGCGCTTTCCGTCTATCTCGGCTGGGTCGCGATGAAACGCGGCGGACATTAAAAATTGAAGGAAAGAACCGGATGATTGCCATGCGCGCTTGCATTTGACTTGATTGACGCCTTTGGCGATCATCAATAAGCAATTTACCTGGAGGAACGTGAGAGTAAAATGTTTGTGGGACTGCTTCTCGAGCCAGCATTCGGAGGCTCTGATTGCAATGATCGACTCGCCGCGGTCAACAGAAGAGTCGTAGTTGTATGTGAAGGGCGCACGGGCGCAATCTGGTCGGACAGCCGCAATCAATAATAAGAGAATCGCAACGAAACCTCGACGGTGTGTTGAGGGCGACTGCCAGAACTCAGAGTATTCTCGACGGAAAGAAGGAACATGTAAGACCCGGTAAGTGGTTTCGAACGTGGCGATATATGCTTCGACATGCTCGTCTACAGTCGATCTTGGTGGGAGTAGATCGAGGAGGTTATCAGAAATATGGCTAACATCTGGGTTCCGATGTTCAGCTTTACTTTGCAAGCGGAGATTCTTGAAATCACTTTGAACTTGCCCATTGCTTTTCCATGTGAAGACAGAGTGCATGAGCTGTTGTAGTTGCGGGAGATGGGCTACGACTGCAGCTGCTTTTGTAGGACCATAGAACTGGGATTTGAAACCTCGGATACGGATGAACGTGGTTTCTGCGAGGGCAACAGCATCTTCTTTGACACTCAGATCCACTGCATTTTCAGGCCCGTTATTTACTGCAGCGGACATCAACATGGATTTGGGTTGTTCGAGGCGCGATAACCGGCGTGACTCAAGCTCTGCAAGTCGGGTTTCGAGATATTTGACTCGATCGGCCAAGGCATTATTTCTGCGAGACCTTTGGTAGTCATTGGCATCATTAGATACATCTTTCGGTGATGTTGAACGTTTATCAATGTCGCGTTGCTTTTCTTGGTCATCTTCATCGAGCCCTTGGAAGTCATATCGACAACTGTCGGCCTTCCCAGATGCAGTGCACCGCCCGCAAGCTGGTGTGATTCTGTCGCATCGCAGCTTACGCCGCTTGCAGTCATAGCACGAAAGGGCCTTTCTTTTCCTTTTCTGTGGCTCTGCCTCAGTACTAACGTGGCCTTGAGAAGTAGTTGAACTGGGCGTAACTGTGGGGTTTTGGCCTGACATCGCGGATGGATATGAGACCTGTGACGAGGACTAGCGCGCCCATCACATCTTATCAGATCAGTCTTGTGATAGGCGAGGATGATCCCAAATCGTGCCTACAGATAGTCAATTGGACTGTAGACGAGATAATCTCGTATAGAGAAAGAAAGAGCAGTGTCTCTCGGGGATGGTAGGATTTCGGCGCTAACCTATGTCCGACGATTGAGTCAGCCCGAGAAGGCTGACGAATCTCTCGTAGTTGTCTAGCTAGCTCTGCATTAGACAAACAACCGAGGGATAGACCAAGACGTCTCCAACGGATGAAAACAACTATGCTGGTCAATGTATATGTTTCGGCGAGAACGACGCGTGAAAGCTGCTCCAAACTATGATAGCTCCAGCTTGCGATCCACCGATTCAACCACTGATGTGCATCCTTCGTATGCTTCTTCTAGCCGGAAGCTTATCATTCCAAGGTTGCTAACTGCGATGACGAGTATGCAACTAGCGCCTGTGAAAGTGGCTCTAGGATGCGATGGCCGTCTCGCTAAGTGGTCGAGAATGAGAAAAGTTATAGCTAATTTCTGTAGGCGTGTCTTGTCCTGGGGATAGACAATAACTAGACCTATCGAGCTGACTGCGTCTTAGTATCTGTATACATGACATAGCTAATCGATCTATGATCGTCTATGATGGATGGTCTCATATACAAAGATCGGGGTTGTAGCATCAGGAGCATTAACATGCATGCGTGGACACTTCTCTTGAACATTACCATGGCTTCCATTCGTGACCAGGGGGCTGTTTGCGCCCAGAGTGGGCTCAATCTATAGAATTACCCCTGAATCCTATCCATCACACTTGAAGCCGTGGTCTGTGCCTCTAGCCGCTTTAGGTAATGTTGCTCCAGTACGGATATTGCAGTAGCATAACGAAAATGATGGAATTGACCTAATGGTCAAGGTACAAGTAAGTTCGAACTAATCTTATCATTGCCAGCTTGCATACGTCATGCTATTGAATCACTATAGCTTCCACGCCGCGAACTTCTCCTTTCGCATCTTAGTGAACCACTCTTGTACATACGTAATACCCACATGAGGACCATATGGATCTTCCTCCCATTGTGGCTTTGGTGCGCGAAAACCCGTCTCTGCCTCACATCGCTCTACCATCTCCTCCAAAGTACCACCTCTGTCATATAGAACAGCCTCTTTGTCGCCAAGCTCTTCCAATTTGATTGTCGTCATTGTTGCTCTAAGTTTCTGAGTAGCAGCCTCGTCGACGGTCTTGTCTAACGATTCATTGATAATAACACCATAATGTTCCTTGGCTCCTTTGACGCTCACGAGTTTTCTTCTTACTTCTAGTGCAACTACTTCTGCTGGTCGTTGCAAGGGGTCACCGAGGCCTCCGCCACCCCAAGTAACCCATTCGAGCAGATCTCCTGGGTTCACAGTGACATGATCGCACTTGCTGGGTAGTTTGATACTAGAAATAATACCATCTTTTTCTGTGCGATGCAATGTTTTGCGACTTCTCATTCCGGGTTTTCCCCCCTTGGCGCCCCATGGCCTGGTGTACCACCGATCATCATGAAGGCTGAATTCGCCTCGACTTAAGAAACGATAGCAAGTTCGTTGCGCATTTCCTCCTCTATAGTAGCCTGCACCACCAGAGTCGGCCACAGCCTCATTTACTTCCAGTCTAACAGGATAGTTGATTTCAATCAGCTCAGTAGGCACACTCTTGATCGCTGGGAACAGACAGTGGCAGTCTAAGCCATCACCTTTTGGCCTTGCAGGCACACCACCAAAGGCAATCTGGTAGAGTTGGAACCATTCGCCAGATGATTTGAAGCCAGAATAGAAGAAGTGCGGAGAATCTGAGAAGCCAGCAGCCGTTAAGTATGCTGGGTCACGCTGGCCGAAGAGAGCTTGCATAACATCCATCACACGACCGAGAAAGTGGGTGCGACATGATAGCGCGGCGGGACGGACAGGTTTCAAAACAGAGCCAAGAGGAATCCTGATGTCGAGTAGATCATGGAAGCCGTCGTTCACAACAGTGTAGGGATCGTACACCGCTAGAAGATAATACCTATGATATGAAAGTCAGACTCGAGGGATTCAATGAGCTGAAATATGTGACGTACCCAACAAACATCTTGAACATGGTTTCACTCAGGTAGAAATTGATACTACTGGCGGCCTGCGGCGATGTGCCGTTCCAGTCGAATATCAACTTCCCAGCCTCTTTCTGTAGCGTGCACACCAAAGCGAAGGGACCGTTACCGTGACCATCATCATCAACAAAGTCTGTGAAAGTGCTTGGTTCATCGCTCATCTTTTCCTCAATGAGCTTTGCAATTGCAACACGATTTCGTTCGAGTAGCACATCCGTAGCCGCTAGGTAAACATCTTTGCCAAAACGATCACACATTTCTTCCACGCGTTTTGCAGCAGTCCGACATGCCGCCAGTAGTGCGCTCAGATCGGAACGAAGCCAATCCGCTTGTCGACAGTTCCTTGCGACAAGGTTGATGATGTCTCTATTATATCGACCTCGATCATAAAGCTTCATGCAAGGGATTTGTAGACCATCCGCGTATATTGAGGTTGCATTGATGCTCATGCTTCCAGGCACCTGCCCTTGCATGTCACTCATATGGGCGAAGTTAGCTGCCCAGCCAACGATCTCGTGCTTGAACCATATTGGCAGAAGGATGATCACGTCATTGAGATGACTCACGGGACCTCTAACTTCGTACACATCGTTAGTAATAAAAACATCTCCCTCTCGGATCTCGTCCGCGTCCCCTGCAGCAACTTTGTCCGCCCATACTTCCAGGAAAGACCCAACAAAGGAGCCAAATTGGCCAACTAGCATCTGACCACGTGGGTTAGTGATAACATTGAACTCGTCTTGTTGTTCTCGAACAGCAGGAGACATGCTGCATCGCAACATTAGCGTGTCCATCTCTGCTCTGATCGCTGCGAGGGATGCTTGGACAAGAGTGGGCAATGTCGGGTTACTTTCGAGGTATCTCAGCGCGTCAGCTCTACTATCAGTGTCGCTCTCCGATGTCTTGTTCTCATCGAAGCCAGTGTCTTTAGCTTTTTCTGAAGGCGAAATGCACAAATTACCGACCAGGTCAACTACCGCTTCATAACCAGGATCTGATCACACATTAGACTCATAAAGCTCTATAGAGAACCAGAACACTAGATAGGAAGTACTCTATAGGATAGGATAAATACTTACGAATGAGTGTATTGGAGTCCATCTCAACAACCACGCATGGTCCTTGAACCTTCCATCCAAACCTTGTGATAGCCGATCGATCCCAGAACGTTGCCTCATGCTCCACACTATCGACAATGATGATCTTCTTCTCAATGATAGCAGTATCGGGTGGGCTTCCACCTTCCCCATGAGCAATTCTTGGCGTCTCGATATCTGGTGACGCATCAGTTGCCACAACACCGAGTCGAGTAATCTCAAGCTTAAACCCAGGCATGGTATAAGAAAAGTTTTGCTCATGTATCTTCTCGAACTTGGTCAGGATTTTGTCACTGATGTCCTTCATACTGCCCTCCAAATCAGAATCAACCAGCGAGATAGTCAAATCAAGCTGCTGGCCATGATAGCGCACATCTGCCTGGTACTTAATCGATAGTACAGGGTCTGGTGTGTCCAGCTGTTTTGACATAATAGCCGTACAGTCCTTTCTGAGTCGCATGAATTCTCCTATCAAAGCTTCTTTCGTGAGATCAGCCAGCAACCGAATGAAAGCGAGAGACATCTCATGGCCCATTTTGGTCGTCGCGTCGCCTTGCGCGCAGAGAATGCCTGGTGATACAGGCACAATCACTGGCCAAGCTCCAATCAACTTCCCCAGAGCATTTGCGTGCAAAGGTCCTGCTCCTCCGAAGGCGACCAGCGCGAAGTCAGCAGGGTTGTAACCCTGTTCAACTGATACTAAACGAAGAGCTCCAAACATGTTCTCATTGGCGAGATTCACGATATCTTCAGCTGTCTTGATCGTAGTCTGGTTCATTGTTTTCGCAAGATTGCCTACTGCTGTCCTCGCGGCTTCAATGTCAAGCTCGAAATCACCACCAAGTAGCTTTTGCGGAAGATAGCCAAGGACGGCGTTCGCATCAGTCACTGTGGCTTGGGTTCCGCCTTTTTTGTAACACGCAGGGCCAGGTCTGGCTCCAGACGATTCTGGTCCGACTCGCAGAGTCGATGTTAGAGGCTGGTAGATTGCCAAACTTCCTCCCCCTGCACCAATCGTTCGAACGTCAATACATGGAGCGCGTACAGTGAGATTCCCAACTTTTGTCTCACGGCGGATCGAAGGATCAGCCGATGCGATGAGTGCAACGTCTGTGGATGTACCACCCATGTCTAGCGTGATCAGGTTCTTATATTCCGTGGCTTGCGATATGACAGACGTAACGCCACGGACTCCTCCTGCGGGTCCAGACATGAGGATATTGACGGGAAGCATCGACGCCCAATCAGGGTGGGTGAGGCCTCCATCGCTCTTGAGAAGACGTGTCGTCTCAATTTCTTGTGAAAGATTCTTCTTGAGACCATCCAAGTAGCGAGAAACTTCAGGTCTGATGACTGTATTTGCCGCTGCGGTAACAGTACGTTCGTATTCGCCAGCCTCGGGAAGTACTTCATGAGACATTATGATGTCGACTGATTCTCCAAACACCTCGCGCACAACACCAGCAACTTCTTTTTCATGGCGCCCATCAACATAGCTGTTGAGTAGGCTGATAGTAACAGCCTTAATCTTGCCTCTGATACTTTCAAGGTCCTGTTTCAGTGCAGACCTATCGACGGGTAAGACAATCTCCCCATCAGCTCCGATTCTTTCCCTGCACTGGATGGTATTCTCCAGAGGAATCAGTGGATCTGGAGGCATGAAGCCAATCCATGCCGCTAGCCCTCCAGGTATTTGGCTTCTCCGCGCTGAGAGCACATCCTTATGTCCAGCTGTGACAATCAGTGCCGCAGGAATGATCTTGTTCTCCAGTATAGCATTGGTTGCCACAGTCGTCCCATGGTGTAAGGAAGTAAAACGACCTACGAATCCATCTTCCCGTCTCACAATATCTTTGATCTTTCGCACAGCCTCTTTGACCCCGATTGACTGATCTTGAGGAGTCGATGGTACCTTTGCCCTGTAGGTGCGACCTTTGGGCGAAAAGCACGCTGCATCTGTGAAAGTCCCACCGACATCTACACCGATGGTGTATACTTTCACTGCAACCGCTGTATCCTTCATCGCCAAAATTAGTAGCTGGATACGATTGAAACTTGAGCAAAGGGTCTTCTGATAGATTTCGAAGTGGTGGTAGTACCAAAGTGGATGTTGGAAGGAGCTAATGATATAGTGGCAAGTGACAAGACAATCATCATGGTAGACTCGTGTTGCCGCTTTGCTACAAATGTCTCAAGGTTCGAGCAGAGCCACATGCATAATGCGGGGAAGGCACGGCCATGACGTCCATCAAGTATGTCGACAGAACAGGGTCATCCAGCAAGGGGTGGATAATTGGGTCGAACTCAGGAATACTGCAGTATGTGGATATGTAACAGCCGTGGTGACTGTTCATCCTAAAGTCCTTATCAACACTCATCGAGCCGGTAAACACGCCGATAGGCTGCCTTATCGAGGCATGCGGAGTACTGATAGTTCGTCGTTGGATCCATAGTCAAGGTAGGGTCATACTAGTGGAGCATGCTACGCAGCAGATAGATAGATAGCCAAACATGTTGGCTGCGTATGATCATTATTCGTGGAGTGCGACTGCTCCGTAGATACAATGCATGCTTTCTTCTGTTCTAAGGAGTGATAAATGTAGCTTACTCAGCAGTACCCCGGTATCATTTTAGAACACCCCCTGAATATTGCCTCAGAGGCTTTGAAGCGTGAGCGCATTCCCATCACCTAGCTATCCAGGACACAGGGTCACACTTCTATGCCTTTGATTCTATAGAGTCGCAATGCTAATGCTTTGACAAAGGTCAATTTCGAAACCGGACATTCGAGAAACGACCCACAAGATACGCCATAATTCTCGATGGAGCTCATAACATCTCACACAGAATGGTACATGATTAGATCTATGCGACGATCAAACATGTGACGCTCATAATACATAGTGGTATGTCTTCAAACGAGACTCGACCGCTACGATTAAATTTGCTTGGTCCCCATTGAATTATGTGAATGTGAACTTCTTCTAAATGTGTTGCCGTAGAGTCAAGGAACACGAAAACCACCAAGGAGACCCATAGATGTTATCTTCCTAGGGAATCTATATGCTCTTGCTAACTTCCAAGTCATACAATATGTGACACCAATGCTTATTCCAAGCTATTTGGATAACTTGCAGCTGCTATAAAATTCGTCATTTGTTTACCCCTTTTCATGTATTCATTCATATACCAAGCCCTATCACATTGCTCGGGTTTGCCTCTTGAGATCTTTCCATTATGCCTAAATCTGATAATTCTTCTTCTAGTAAGAGTGGGAGCACACCCAATACATTCATTACTTCAAGGCGCCGGGTTTCGTGCTTCGTTCGGTATGTAATCGCAAATATTGGACTCATGAGTCATACTCTCTTGACAGACTGCATAATTTGGTAGACAATGTCGGTCTCGTGAAGATCTTTCCGTTGGCTGAGATCGAATGTGAGAAAAGATACGAATGCGTTAAGAGGGAGGGGGCAAGGTAGTGCTTCAAGAACGCTTGTTGGGTGATGGCTCAGCCTGTTTTCTATGAGCATAATTAGCATGAGAGATATGTATGCCATGCTCGTAGCGGTTGGATACACGTACATTCTAAGTTATGATGGCAGCTAATTAAATGCTACAGACAAACTCGAAGGAGGCGAGTAACAAGGCACACTCTGCTTATAATGACATTATCCATGGTCCTACGTATTCGATTCCTTCGATCATTTTGCGGTATCGAAGCTCGTACGTACTACGTGTCAACATCCTTACGTTGATGATTAGCAGGTAGCGTATAGTGTGTCGTGGATGTATTGTTTTAACAGCAACACATAAATTAAGGCCTCCATATATAAACTTCCGGAGATCTCTTACCACTTTCCATATACCCTACTACTCACAATAGCTCTTCGACCTTTTCTTCTATCGATCATTGAGTATAAGTATCCGACTTTTACAAGATCAAATAAGCCCCAGCAACTTGAACCAAACGGTGGCTATGTCTAAGGACGAGAATGAGGCTAGCTCTGAGGATGGAGAAGAGTCTGTCGTAAGTACTTTAGCGGAATTTCCAATAGGCTGAGACCGAATCATTCGGCTCGGGAGGTAAAAAGAGAGCTGTCTGTTAATAGTCGAATAAACAGGAAAATGACGCCGAGGACAGCAAAGAAGAGGATAAGGATGATGATGATGAAGACTGGGTGGTATGGCTGTATGAAAAAAAGGATATTTACCTGTTGATTGACTCGTCACACAGTTTAACCAGGAGGAACTTGATGAGTTTGCTAAGGAGGAAGGTCTTTGATATGGGGTACCGGGGTTGGGTTACAGTCAGCGACTTGTTTGTAGTGATACGACTTCTAGGTAGAATTTGATACTGTAATTAAGGGTCCTATGATTAAAACAAGGCTGTATCATTGTACACTCCAGGCATGCTAATCACCGAGAGAAGCTAGTGCTATCAAAATTCGCTTCACGTCAACAATAGCTGCCCATGTGGTTTGAGTCTTCACTGTAACATCCCCTTTCCTTCACAAAGATCCTCGCTTCCCCTGCCAGACCAAACAATGATCACTAACACCACTCCCGTCTCAAAGCCCACTACACGATATATTGACCCTCGAACCCCCCTCCAGATCTACGCACAACAAGTTATCGACTCCATCATCCTACGCTCATTCGCGGATCTAAACATGGACGAACCAGAGATTAAAACACCTACCATGCAGCCCGCAAAGCCTCATCACAAGAAGACGCCCTCCAAGAAGACCCCTTCCAAGAAGACCCCGTCCAAGAAGCACCATCCTCAGCAGTCCCAGGATGCCAGAGTTCCAGAGTCCAACCTCCAAGACCCGAAGCTTCAGTCTTGGGAGATGTCGAAATGCTGCTGGTGCTTCTGGAAGAAAGATCGCGACTATGGCAAGGACAGCTGTGACCACGCAATCTGCGAAGCATGTGAGGCTTTCTAGCGCAGCACCAAGGCATGGTGTAGCATACTGTCACTACTGCCACAAAGAATAGGTCATTCATCACCCTTTATAACTCTTATGAGACTGTCATGCTAACAGTGATGATGACAGAGACAGATTTCTTTCAGGCTAACAGAAGGCTTCTCTGTTAAGTTACCTTTTGTATAAACAAGTACATGAGAGACACCTTGGAGATTGTACCTTTGCATCATCGAATATCTTCAGTTTCTGTAAAAGATTCAACCAGCATGCAAACAATTCCAGCACTAGCACATCAGAGCCCCTTTATCATTCGTCTCATCAAAACATCGCTTCCTCACAATAACACACCATATCCTTCTTACTAAAGACACCAAATACGCCAAACACACGGTATATCATAGCATATACAGTATGGAAATGCGATGGCTGTAAATGACGCATCATGGGCGAACGCGGTGCATGTGTCACCTATAACACCAAGAAGGCTTTAGAGGACAAGGACGGCGACAAGGTCAACGTCCAAGAGAAAGACAAGGAGAAGGTCAACGAAGAGGACAAGGACAAAGTTGAGGTTAAATAACGCGTATTAAATGATCGGAAGACATACGGTTCGGTGACTTGCCTAATACATCCAATCAAACATTACCAATTCAAATCCAAGCATCAAATCAATTGCCAATCGAGTTAAATGCCTACGACGTAAACTATTTGACAGCCATAGTTCCTACATGTCCTCCGTCACGGACTTGTGAACTAGTTTCTTCCAGTGGAGGGCCCCGACTTTCCATCAAGCCATCATTATGAAACTAGGAGAAGCACCATGTCATAAATACACAATACCACGTATGAACTCGTTCATCCAAGTGGAGCTCCTTCAAAGTATTATCCCTGGCCATGAAATGCTTCTAACACATTCCACTCCGCTGTTGGACCACAACGAACTGCTCTATTCAGTGAAGCATACCTCCTACCCCATACTCCAGTTAGTAAATAAACGCGCAGTATGCCTCCAGAATCGCATTACTATACGTGTAAATCCTACTGTTCAGGGACCAACAGTGCGTCGCTGTCTGTCAGACCCCTTTACCTATCAATTTCTTTTTATATAAATACTTCTCCTGCTAGAGGACTGAAACTGCTTTCATTCTCCACACCAAACATCTCCAATCTACAAGTAATGCAATCAGCTTTCAAATCTAACAACCAAACACTCATACCACTATACCAAACCCCACAATCAACACAACAACCAACACAATTCACGATGGACAAAAGACTCGGAAGCAGGGCTTGGCCGACAAAAGCCTCAGCCGTGTGGCAATGCTGCAGATGCCGGAAATCGAACTCTGGGACCTCCCCAGACTGCGTCAAAGTCGGTTGCGGGCATGCGAGATGCATTCAATGCACGGCCTCGGGTACAAAGTAGCACGGTCCGGATTCTTCGACAAATGAGGACGGGAGGAATGTAAGATATCGGGGCTTTGATAGCTACTTGCCTATGTAGAGGCCTCGATGTTACCATCTCATTCATATTGCCTACAAACTATGTGCAATGTGAACTGCATACTGACCGCCTGACTCCAAAGCCAAAGAAGACCCTTAGTCATCCAAATCAGCAGTCTGTGGCTGCACGCCACCGTCCCTGTTATCCCTCCTCGGTCCTCTTCTCCCACTTGAACCATTAACCTTGTTCTCCGTCTCCCTAGCCTCTGCCTCGCGTTGCTGAATGAAGTTGGCCTTCTCGTTTCGGATGACCTCTAACACACCCGTCAAGCTATTCCGCCACATGTCCAGACGGCTAGCAACCTCGCGCCACTGGTTTTCTGTGAAAACGCGGTATGTGCTGCGGTGAATGAGGAAAGTCTGAGTTAGCTGGGAGAGTTTGCCCTCGACAAGTCCCGCGCGGATAACGTCGATAACCCACATCTCTACATCCTCAAGGGGGATCTGCAGGCCCTTTGCAATGTGAGCGTAGGCTAGTGAGCGGCTCTGTCCAGCGGATGCAGCGAGCGATGCGAGGGTCAGGAGGCGCATTTTGCGGTTCAGGGCCTGAGTATCCAGCTTTTCGGCCTCGAGCCAGCCGTCGTGTTCGTCCTTGAAGTCATTGTAGTCGTCAAGGAGTTCAGCGTTGAAGATTTCAAGGAGTTGGGAGTAAACTGGGTCTGAATTCCGTAGAGCTTGTATGCTATCGAGAGCAATAAGGTCTTGGAAATCGTAGTGCGTCGGGTGGGTAAGAGCGGACTTGAGAGCGCGTAGGGAGAGAGCACGGGCCTCTTCGTCGGATGCTTCATCTGCTGGGATGGTTCGGAGCGCTTTTACAAGGTACTGGTAGGCCTCCTCGTCCTCGCCTGCGTCTTGAGCGATGTCCACGACTGTGAGGTATAGTTTTCGCTGGTCCTCCTCGTCCATCTCCCATTGGTTCAACCATGCCTCGAGGTTCTTTAATTGCGGCTGGACAGTTTCGAAGTTGCCACTGGCACGGATAACTCGGAGAATGGCGAAGAAGACGTGGTATCTGCTATCATTATCGGGCTGTAGGGTGTTGAAGATTGTGGTAAGAACTGAGAGGGCGAGACTTGTGCCATTTGCGGGTGATGACGAGATCGGCGCAGAGGAAAGATTTTGGCAGACTCTGGAAAGGAACATGTTTTGGTTCTCGGATTGTCTGATGACGTGGACGAGCAGGTTGTACGCAGCAATGAATTCTAGACGCGTTAGCTATTAGGTATCGTTCAAGGCCTTATCTGCGATCACATACCCTTCTCTGGCGCCGTGTTGAGTGCCACGCTTGCGCCCACCAGCTTTTTCAATACTTCATCCTGCTTTCCGGCTTCTTTCAGTAACGCCACGCATTCTGATTGTGTTGACGGGCTTTCCTCTCCTGCCGTTCTCTTCAGGGCATCGATGTACTGTGCGAGTTCTTCGACAAGTTCCTCGAAGGAGCCTTCGATCATCAAGGTGTTCGTAATTCCAGGCATGGCGACTGATATGTGCGGGTGATAGGGAGGGCTTCGGTAGTTCGGGACTTGTCGCAGTATGAGATTGTGTCGCGCCGACGGAAGCGACAATTCAACGTGGTGGGTCGTTTTTTTGGTGTAAGTGGGATGAAATCTTGGCGCTGGCCACTAGTTAGAATATATTGTGCCTGAGGCATTAATTAAGATATCAGTATTTTTAAGGCTGTTTGGAAGTGTATATTCGCAGAAAACGTTGCAAAATTGTATTTTCACGTGGAAACGCCGTAGATTTCCTCTGATACATAGTCACTTCTATACAAGTACCGTAAATGTATTAGTATCTACACCATGTCATCTTAGCGTTCACTGATAAGGTCTTCTCGCCGTAAGCGTCTTCCAGATCAAAATACTCTCTAGACGCATCACTGGTTGAAGGGAAGATCTTTGGGATCATAGGATAGAATGCAAGAGCTATCGGCACCAATGTAAAGCCAAAGTACCAGGCTCCGCACCTTGCTTGTTCGACTAATCGTTTAGAAAGACTGTGTTAGAACATGTTGACAACGTATAGCTCGATCAACAGTATCGGGAAAGCAGATGGTGTCTCGAGTTATTCTCAACAGCAGCCCTCAGAAGCGACAAAAATGAACCCATATACATTTGCCCTACCAGTCGTACAGAAAATATGTGAAGAATTGTATACAGAGCGCCTGCCTTAGAAGGCAACACCCGCCTCCTCTCTCTTCGCCCTATTGATGGCCTTCTGTCTATTATACCTGACCTGTTTCCTTCGTCTCTCACCACCATCAACCTTTGATCCTCTCCTGATCTCCCAGAGCCCCTCCTTTGCCTCAATCTTCGCAACACGTCCTCCCGTTCCAGCAACATTGTTGAGATGCGGCCCACTAAGAGTCTGTAGATTCTTCACCTTGAAGCCCTTGACGGTCGTCGCATTGGGGACTGGAATATCCAATCCCAATTGGTCATGCGGCACGTTGGCGGCCACCTTAACCTTGCCGGGCGTATGGGCTCCCGTTGCAATGTCTGTTTCAGCGGACTTGACATTGCGTTCAATGAGGCGGAAGTACGCTACTCCGTCTTTGACATGCTTGATGTCCGATCCTACACCGTGCTCGCCGTTTCGGAAGCGTTCGCGCCATTGTAGGAGGTATCTTCGTGCGCGTGGAGGCTCAATACCGATCTCTTTCATCTGTTTTGAGGTCATGGAGAAGAGAGCTTCCCATGATTCGAATTTGGAGGTGTATTGACTGAGACCGCGTCCGATCACTTTGAGAAATGTCGCAGCGTCTGGAATGAAGGGAGTTGGCTTGGGAATAGAGCGCGTAGGGATAGCATAATGGAGGTTCCGGACGCATTGCTGAGGAACAGAGGGTTTGAAACAAGCCCGGATGGGCAATGTGAAGGTTCGTAATATCATTGTGCGGCTAGATATGGTATTAGTATCTCCATGTAATAGTCAATTGCGAGGATCACATACCGATATAGACCGTGTTACGCGTTGTCGAACGGTCTCGAAAGTCAATCGCGTGAAGGGTCATGGGGAAAGATTTAGGTCCTGCTTGGCGTGCCAAGCCAAACGATGCGGCGATTCGGAGGTGAGTTCCAGAATGATAATAAACCACAGCGGACCCTTCTCCAGGATCATCCTTTGTGTGAGGGCTCAGGCATGCTGTCTGAGACTCCTGAAGCCCGCTCTCAGCTCATATAGCCTCGAATATTTCATGTGAGCGCTCTCAGCAGAAATCCGACCGCGCGCCTCGAACCTACATATTTCTCAGTATGGGTGTGTCCACGAACTCCCCAGTACATCCCAAAAGCGCCTCTACAGAGATACAAGCCGCCAAAGCGAAAGCCTTGACCGTGATCAGAGCCACAGAAACATCAGCCTCATCCCCGATATCGAAACCCTCCAGCCCCGGCGAGGATGGCGGCGAACGAGACCTAGCAGAAGAGCTCAACGCTCAAACACGAGCACGATACAAGAAAGGTGAGCATGCACACCCACTCTCACAGACATCCCTCTAACATAGAAACCCCCCCAGGCAAACTCCTCGGCGAAGGAACCTACGCCAATGTCTTCCTCGGCCACGACACCACCTCACCCAACACGCTCGTAGCCATCAAAAAGACCAAAAAGCTCGACTCCTTCAAAGACGGCATGTCCATCGACACCATCCGCGAGATCCGCTTCCTCCAAGAACTCAAACACCCAAACATCATCAACCTCATGGCCGTCTTCTCCTCCAAGGACCAGAACGTAAACATGGTCATCGAGCTCCTGCCCCGCGGCGACCTCAAAACAATCTACTACCGCGGCGCCGACGCAAAGGGGCCCGAGGTCAGCTACACCGGCGCCGACATCAAGGCCTGGATGGCCATGCTCATGCGCGCCGTCTGGTTCTGCCACGAACACTTCGTCATGCACCGCGACATCAAAGGCGACAACCTCCTCATCGCCGCCGACGGCTCCCTCAAACTCGCCGACTTTGGTCTCGCCCGCAGCTTCGCCGACCCAGGCACCCGCATGACCCCCGAGATGGTCACCTCCTTCTACCGGCCCCCCGAGCTCTTCCTCGGCGCAACACACTACAGCGCCGCAGTCGACATCTGGAGCTGCGGCATCGTCCTCGGCGAACTCGTCAAGCGCGACTACTGGGTCCCCGGCCACACCGACCTCGAAATCTTCACCCGCATCACCGAAGTCTTCGGCTCCCCCTCCGAAGCAAACTGGCCCGGCGTCACCAAACTGCCCAACGCCCCCCTGATCAACCCTTCAGACGACAGCGCCCCGAGACCCCCCGGCATGCCGACCGAGCAATGGAACCGCGAGTTCGGACAGCTCGGCCCCATCGGCATCGACCTGCTGCGCAGCATGACCAGTCTGGACCCGCGCAAGCGACCGACAGCAAAGCAAATCCTCGCACATGACTGGTTCCGCACCGCGCCCGCGCCAACGAAAACGGAATTACTCCCGCAGGCTGGCGGAGGTGGTGGACCCGTAAAGATGGCAGAGGACCTGAAGCGGAAGCCAGGCGAGGCGCCGTCGGATGGCAGGGCAGATAAAGTTGCGCGCAAAATCGATTTTGGCAGCATGAAGAAGTGAATTTCTCTCAGTTGGCTCGGCTGGCTCTGGCTGGAGAGAAGTGATTTGCTTTGGATTGATTCGTGGTCAGAGCTTGAGCTGAGACGGCTTCATGGATGGCATTCATTTGCATTGATGTCGAGGGCTCAGCGGCGCGCATGCGCTCGCTTTGGCTTCACTGTCAGAGCTCGAATAGCTCTGGAAGTATACGCCTTCAATGACCACGAAAGCTGTTGGACAGTATCCAAAACAATTGCCACGACTGACATGTGCATGTCGTAGATTAGATGGTACTAAACAGTGCAGTCTGGGCGTCGGTCGAGGCCTCGAGACTCGGTCATAAAGACCTGCGGAGGAAAGAGATAGGCACTCCTTTATCCGTAAAAGAGGAGTAGACCTCAGCGTACCTAGATGAATACAGAATCACTCTATTGAGTGTATAGATAATTAATGAATCTTTTTGAATTGCTTCTTCATTCATAGATATCCAAACAGAGCACTAAAAATATGGAATTCATAATCCTTGTGGAACGTTGTTCAGACATCAAGATCATCATTCGGAATTTCCCCCCTCCCGACTCCAAACCGCTGCTGCGGGCACACGCAAGACATGACAAGATATAGGTATAAATGAGGTACGAAAGCAAGATATTCTCAATTGCTGCCCTCACTTGACAATCTTGCACACGAGATCCTGTGAGTCTAGCGAGTCACCTTCCTTGACGCTGAGCTCACCGATCTTGCCGGAGTGTGGTGCGGAGATGACCATTTCCTGTCAAACATATTAGTACTTGCATTTGTATAGCAGACTTGCGTGAAAGACTTACCATCTTCATGGCACTAAGTACAGCAATAGGATCACCCTTCTTGACCTCAGCATCGTTGTGCACGCGAACCTCGACGACAACACCAGACATCGGGCAGCCGACTTGGCTGCTATCGCTCGAGTCGGCCTTGACACGAGCAGTGTTCTCGATACCGGCGTGAATATCTTCAACGGCGATTTGGCGCACTTCGCCGTTCATTTCGTAGAAGACCTCACGTTGGCCAGTCTGCTCCGAGAGAGGACCAACAGCAAGGAGCTTGAGGATTAGAACCTTACCCTTCTCGAGCTGAACGTGGAACTCCTCGCCGATTTCAGGCTTGGACAGGAAGAACCGCGTGGGTAGAACAGACAGATCGCCATACTTGTCGGTGAATTTCTTATAGTCCTCGAAAACCTTGGGGTACATTACCCAGGACGCGACGTCAGTCTCGGTGGCACCACCGTATTTTTCCTTGAGGTCAGCCTTGACTTTAGTGAAGTCAATGGGGTCCATGTAAAGACCTGGACGCTTGTCCATCTTCCGGCGATCGCGGAGAGCATGGGTGCGGAGTGGCTCAGGGAATCCGCCGTGAGGTTGACCCATAAGACCCTCGAAGAACTCGAGTACAGAGCTGGGGAAGTCAAGCTGTTCAGCTTTTTTGTGCACATCCTCCTCGGAGAGGCCGTTGGCGACCATGAATTGAGCGAGGTCACCAACAACCTTCGAGGTAGGCGTGACTTTGACAATGTCTCCGAGAAGATCATTGGCCTGCTCATAGGCCTTCTTGGTCTGCGCCCACTTAGCTCCGAGACCTTGCTGGGAAGCCTGGAAGATCAGGTTGGTCAACTGGCCACCAGGGATCTCATGCTCATACACCTCGGGATCGGGACCAGTCAGACCAGCCTCAAAGGGAGAGTAGAGCAGGCGAAGTTGTGCCCAGTAAGCATCAAGATGTCTGACAACGTGAGCATCAAGGCCGGGGTCAAGGTCACCCCCCTCGAGAGATGCGAGGAGAGCACCAATAGCTGGCTGTGAAGTGGTTCCGGACAATGAATCCATCGCAGCATCTACGGCATCAGCACCTGCCTGGGCACAAGCGACCATAGAGGCAACACCAGTACCGGCAGAATCGTGAGTGTGAACATGGATCGGAAGGTCGGGGTACTTCTTGCGAATGCTACCAATCAAGAGTGTGGCAGCACGCGGCTTCAGTACACCAGCCATGTCCTTGATACCCAGAACATGGGCGCCCATCTTGACAATCTTGTCAACCACTGTCATATAGTACTCAAGGTTGTACTTCTTGGCTGGGTTCATCATGTCACCTGAGTAGCAAACAGTGCCCTCAGCGACACCACCAGCCTTGAGAACAGCCTTAATACCGACTTCGAGCTGCTCAGTATCGTTGAGAGCATCAAAGACACGGAAGATATCGACACCGTTCTTCTTGGCCTGTTCACAGAAGTGTACGATGGCATTGTCAGGTAGCGAAGAATAAGCAACGCCGTTGGCGCCTCTCAGTAGCATCTGGAAAGGAATGTTGGGTACAGCCTTCCTCATCTTGCGGAGTCGGTCCCATGGATCTTCGTACAGGAAACGATAGGCAACATCAAATGTAGCACCACCCCAGCACTCCAAAGCCCAAGCGTTGCTGAAAGCATGGCTGGTCTCGCTGGCAATGTTCAACATGTCGATAGTACGGAGACGAGTAGCGAGAAGAGATTGGTGAGCATCTCTCCAGGTGGTATCCATAATGAGACAGCCTTTGTTAGCGCGCACAGCCTTGGCAAACTCGGCAGGGCCTTTCTCGACGATGATGTTCCTCCATCCAGTTGCACATGGCTTAGATGTGTCGATGACTTTCCCGTCCTTGCTAACGAGCTCTGGGATGCGGATCTCGCCCTTGAACTTGGGCTCGCCGATTTGTCCCTTGATCTGGCTGCCATTCACAGCAACATCACCGAGGTATGCCAACAGCTTCTGTGCACGGTTCTGATTTCCAACAAGGGCGAACAATTCAGGAGTGTCATCGATGAAGGTAGTCCAGCACTTGCTAGCGATGAATGTCTCGTGAGTGAGGAGGGATGCCAAGAATGGGATGTTGGTCTTAAGGCCTCGGATTCGGAATTCGACCAAGGCACGCAGCATCTTTCTTCGAGCGATCTCGTAAGTTGATCCCAAGCATGTGCATTTCGTCAGCATACTATCATAGTGCCTGTGGGACGCATTAGCAAGCCTAAGAGCAAGTGTCGAAGGTAGGTCATGAATTCAGATACACGTGAGCGATTGAAAAGCTGTAGAAAAGAGATATCATCGAAGGAGAAGAAAAGCGCGCATTTGAAATGAGAATTGGGCAGAGAAAATAGAATACATGCCACAATGTCAATGATGACAGGCATGTAGATCGCATGGCCATTTACCCCCATCCAGGTCAATGGCTACCCATCAGTCGAGGTCCAAGAAGCCTTGACCAGGGAAGAGGCCAATGATATACACAATTGCCTCTCAGTGTGGATGTCGTCACATGACCCGACCACTACAGGTCCTGGACATGTGATGTCCCCAACAAGGCGCAGAGACGCAAGCATCGCGGCATGTCTTCCATTTGTAGACATACTTTCGACGAAGAAGACAGGCAATGGAGGACGGATAAGAAAAATCGAAGAGACAGAATGAAAGTACAGGATCAACAAAGACGTGTTGAGCCTGCTATGAAAACACAACTGCAATATAAAGAGACACAATCACAAAGATAGACACAAATGGTAATGGAACAATGAAACAAGAAAGCTGGTACAGTAGGACATAAGAGCAGGTACTTACGGAGTGATGATTGAGCCAGCAAAACCATTACCACCATCTAGACGGACACCGTTTCCACCGGCCGAGCGGTAGACCTCAATCTTGCCAGTATCTGGGGAGAAAGCATTTGCCGGGTCTTCGGTGGTGATACGACATTGAATAGCAAATCCTCGGGTAGAGATACGGTCTTGGGTAAGTCCAAGCTGTGCCAGGGAGGCACCTGCAGCAATCTGAATCTGGGCGGCCACAATATCAATGCCGGTGATTTCTTCGGTGATAGTGTGCTCGACTTGGCTATGCAATTGTTAGCGCTTGTGCGATACATCCAGGCCACGAGATACCTACATTCTAGGGTTGATCTCAATGAAGTAATATCTGTTCTGTTGGTCGACCAAAAACTCCGCCGTTCCAGCATTGCGGTAGTTGACCGACTTGGCGAGTTTCACAGCATCAGCCAGGATGGCGTCTCGCGTTTTGGCCGGTAGATCTTTGGCTGGTGCCAACTCGACAACTTTCTGGTGACGACGTTGCACACTGCAGTCACGCTCATAGAGATGGACCACGTTGCCGTGGTTGTCACCCAACAGTTGGACTTCAATGTGCTTGGGTTTGTCGAGGAAGCGCTCGATGAAGACGGTGCCGTTACCGAAAGCTGACTTGGCCTCGGATGTGGCACGCTCGAAGGAGTCCTTCAAGCTCTCCTGGTCGCGCACAACACGCATACCACGACCACCTCCACCAAAGGCGGCCTTGATAATGATTGGGAAGCCATATTCGTCCGTGAAGACCTTTGCGTCTTCGAATTTCGCGACAGGATCTGGGGTACCTGGTACGACAGGAACATCACACTTGATGGCTAATCTTCTGGCAGAAACCTTATCTCCCAAGGATTCAATGGTCTCTGGCGTGGGGCCAACCCACTGGAATGTGTCGTTAGCACATCCCTCTAGACCCAAAAGAAAACTAGACGGATTGCGCACTCCAAGTCATGCTGCAAAGTTGATGTGTCATTGCGACACACAATCCATACAATTGGAATCCTGACGGTCGTACAAAAAGAAATACGGAGGTCCGCTGCCAAGACTTACAATAATGCCAGCTTCCTCAACCTTCTTTGCGAACTCAGCATTCTCTGAGAGGAAGCCATAACCCGGGTGGATCATGTTAACCTCGTGCTCGCGAGCAATCTTGATGATCTCGTCGCCAGCCAGATAGGCGCCGACGGGAGTGTATTGGCCGCGCTTTCCAATGACATAGGCCTCATCAGCCTTCTGACGATGCATGCCCAGTCGGTCCTCATGACTGTAGACAGCAACGGTATGCAGAGACAGCTCGTGAGCTGTGCGGAAAATACGAATAGGAATTTCACCTCGGTTGGCCACTGTACATGGAAATTGGAGGTTAGCTTAGCTCGTATGATTCGCGAGACTACATATGCCAATTGAAATGAGCAGTAAGGGTAGGCAGACGAACCGAGTAGCTTCTTCAGCTGCATGATGGAGCTGTTTGCTCGCAACCGCTGGTGGACCGAGTTACGGTGAATGTGCGCATTATCGTGGTCATCTTCATCAAAGGAATCGTCAGAGATAGCCGTGTTGTTGGCGTCGTCCTTCGTTTGGTCGGTCATGGTGGGCGAGTGAGGGGGAGTTTGATTGAGGGGAGAGATCGGGAGGGGAGATGAGTGGAGAGGAAAGAAATGCGATTGTATGAGCTAGAGAAAAGAGGGCGGGCGCAGGTCTTTATGAAGCCAACAATCTAGTGGAGGAGGGTGAGGGAGGGCTTCAAGCACAACAAAAACGACCGGGGCCGTGTCAGTGAGTTTATGGTGGGCGGTCTGAAAGCTCAATTGCGTTGGAAGCTTGGATTAGGACTAGCGCCGAGCTTCGGGCTTATGATGAATGAGGGGCACATACCTTAGATATATAGACACAGATAGAGTATACTAGGAATAGTTGAGTTCAAGCTCTGACCACCCCACAATCCACAGGGAACAATTGCTTTTTGATGCCTGCAAGGTTGTACGTCAGCTCCAGCAAACAGACACAACCTAAACAACAAGACATTCACAACCACCAGAATCCAGGCATTATCCCGACATTCATCTGAGCCCCTCGATTCCTCGCCGCTGCATATGCACAATCCCTGACCGCTTCCTGAGCACACACAACACTATACCCTCACCATCACTACCGTGCTCGTCACCAATTGATCCGAGCAACCTTGACGCACCGCCAAGCGGGGACAAACGCTTGCCAAGTACCGCATTAAGCACTCTGATGGACGTTTCTTTGTTTGGCATGCTCTGCTAATTATATTCTGTCACCAGTCCAAGCCTTGGGATGTCCGTACGAGACACGCCAATTGTATCACACCATGCATCTATGTCATACATCAGCGACGCATATGACTCAACCTCTCCACAGCCATGGAAATAACTATTATACAGATCAATTATCTCGGGCCTTGGGAAGCACCGGCTACACTCGGCTGTTCGGGCTGGTTCGACGAGCGATTGCGCATAAGATACTAACTGACACACTCAGCAGCTCTTAACATCCGTGGCTGGCTGGTAGGGTTGGAGATAACGACGACTCCTTGATTACCTGGACAGTTGTGAAGGTGTAAACGGTACTACGAGATAGTCCACACGCTATCACGATAAATAGTGATGCAGCGCTCCAAGCGACAGTCGTCAGGGCGTAGGCCAGTCCAAGCTTGTTCCAGTCTGTTTACCCCCGATTCAGTAAGTCGACGCAGCTCCCCCTCGCTCTTTCCCCCACGGGCTTGAGCTCTGACCTCCATCCAGTAGCTCTTTCTCTCTCCCCTCCCCGCCGCACCTTTATGTTGTTACTTGAAGAAACGCTCCTTACTGGTAATGGCATTCCCATGAAGTTACGTGTAGAGCTTAATATACTGCCCTCTTATTCAATTATCCGTCTACGTCCCTTTCTTATCCTTTCTTCAGCATGTCCAAGCGATCGTCGTCTTGTCACTCCCCAAAGGCTCGGCTGCCTTGGCCATATACATACTCGTTCTTGGTATCCCACCGGATTGCGGACGTCCCGCCCAACCCATCCCGCCCGTGTTTCAGGACAAACAGGCGGACGGCGTCATGCGAATTGGACCATATCTTGCGCCAGCTAATATGACGCCCCAAGGCTTGACCAAAAGCCTCCCAGGACGGACCGTCGTCATCATCTGACGACCACAGCGTTTACACAGACTGCATTGGACGTGCCATAGTTGATGCCCATCCAATACACACACACTATATGATTGATGATCATCTGGCCAAAACACACACGACAGAACGAGTCCCCTCTCAGTCCATCTCAGCTCATCTCATCTCATCTCACCCCCGCAGCTCCTCCACACTCAGATCTACCCTCATGCCCATCTCCATCTCTCCTCAGCCTGCAAAAATCTCCAGTAATGTAATCCCATCTCAACCCAGCCAGCTCAACCCCACTTAACAAATCCCCCGATGCCCCGAATCCCCTCCGCCCATCTCCAACCGCCAAGCTTCCACAGACAGGGGCACACACATTATATATACCTATACCTATACCCGGAAACCACCACGGAAGCCCGCCCCGCCCAATCACAAACTCCCCACCCCTCCCTTGCCTCCTTCCTGCACCTGTTGCACAACACCCACCTGATGCATCCACTCAACAAATCCACTCCACTCCACTCCTCCCCTAAACCCTCTTCGATTCGTTTCCCGAGACACACGTCTACCACACATGCACACACGTGTACACACGTACACACACATACACACACGCCTACCTCACGAGAACACTTCCGGAGATCCAAAATCGGACCATTGTCGTGACGGATTGCGGAGGCCACTCCTCTCTCAGAAGGGGTGGGAGTGAGTGAGAGGGTGAGCCTCGCCAAGCGAGAGTCCCAAGGTCCCAAGGAATGTATGAATGCATGCTAATTAGACAACTGACGTCGCACCACTACCATGGTAGCAAGTCACATGTGGAAAGAGCATCGTACAACCCATATAGAATTAAACCCCAAAAAATCAAGCCCCCACCATTCATTTTTCTTTAAGAAACTACAAAAAAAGGGTAGAACTAAAGTTACACGGTATATCGGTGAATGTGTGTTAAAAAAGAAACCTCAAGAAGACAAGTTAAAAAAAGCCTTGTCTTCAATAAAGTTCTCCTAACGGCAATTACCCCCCGCTAATACCTTATCCATTTCATGTTTCTCCGCGCTCATTCATCTTGTCTCTTCGTGCAGATCTCATGTCAAGAGATGACAGCAATGTGATGCCGGACCTCTGTCTACTCATATCATCTGATTAGCCCCATCATAGCCACTACGTCACGCGGTTTAGAAAGCCCTGTAGCCTGTGGGTTGCGGCGCAATGCCGTTCGCTTGTCCATATGGGCCTGGGCTTGGTGCGCTCGACATTGATCCAGGTCCAGCAGTAAGCATGAGCCTCGAGCCCAAGATGGGCTTCTCCTCTTCGGTCTTTTGCTGCGATGCCTCGCGAGCCTTGCGCTCCTCGTTGTCCTTCTTGAGTGTCTCAATGGCAGCATGTTGCTGTGCGAGCATGTTGATCATGAATGGCATGGTGAAATCATGAAGGCCATGACGCCATGAGATCTCGAGTACGAGATCTGGGCGGATGAGGTCATAACACGCGTAAAGCATACCCACATAACACTCACGACTGCCAATGTCGACAAACTAGGAACTGTTAGTGAACTGGTCTATCTGACGAACAGGCGGAGAAACTTACGTAGCGAAGAAGATCCTCGACAACCTCTCCTTTCCCAGAGATGGCCGCTGTCTCGATCGCATCCTTGAAGAGCTTGTCTTGCTTCGATAGCGCGATCGACTTGTCCCATCTCTTGTTCTTGCGATATATGTTGGCGGCAATCTGGCGGAAGAAAACAAGTTCATGCTTTTCTAGTCGCTGGGCAAGATCCACGGGATCGTAGTTATCGTAGTTTTCCGTCGAGTCACGCAACGTCTTGTAATCTTCCTCCTCGATCAAGAGGTCATTAATGGCATCGTTGACTGTCCTCTTGTTTTGCGATTGAACGTTGAGCAGAAATGGCTTGATGAGAGGAATGTTGTCTGACTTTTGGAACATCTTCACAACACGGTTGACATCGATACGGGGTGTGAGGGCTTGGAGGAGATCGGTGAGAAGATCTGGTTGCTGCTCAAGGTAGTGTGCGAGTGCGCGGTAGTAAATTTCAAGGTTAGTAACCTTGACAATCGTGTCCTTGAATGAGTGGTGTTCCCATGCATCAGAGGCACGCTCCATCATGGCAAGCGAAGCATTGTCCCACTCATCATAATGAGCGTACAGAAAGACAAGTTCTGGCCCTGCAGTAATGATTAGCAAAATACTATATAACCTGAAGTCTTTGGATATAGCCTACAGAGATGAGCCTCTTCCACAGCCCGAATCATCTTAGGGATATTTATGCGGGACCAAAACAGGCGAAGGTGCTCCATGACACGTTCCGGGTGGTACTTGGATAACGCAACACCTAAACTCGTGAACATTCCCATATGTCTAGAAGGTCATTAGCTCAAGACTTTCTTAAGAAAGTAGTTTTACTTACGCTCTTTCGAGCCCAAGGCCCGCCTCGAGAAGTGAAATGAGCTCATCAAAGTATCCGTTACGCTCGTATTGGCGCTCCAAGTCTGACAGTTCTTCAGCGTGGACGATGAGGTTCAGACCACAGATCTGTGCAAGACGGAACTCCTTTTTGTCCACACAAGCTTCGTTGACTTGTCTCCACACCTTAGTGCTATTGGCTTTGCGTGCACATTCAACAGCAGATTGGTAATCCTCGAGATGAACCAACGTAGTAGCAAGCTTAGCCCAGTTCGAAATACTGGTAAAGAAAATCTTCGCAGCCTCGTGGAAGCCTTCTTCGTATGCCTTATCACCAGACTCTTCAATGTTCGCAACGTTGGCTCCTCGCAAGAAATCTTCAAGCTCGGGCAATTGATTCGTTCGTGCGAAACAAAAAGCAAGCGCAGTATCGACAGGAGGTTCGCGAAGAGTCTTACGAGCCATCTTCAGGTATTTTATCAGGTCTTCATCCTTGCCAGCATGTGTTGCAATTTCAATGACTTCGCTGTAGTTGGAAGGGTCCTTGGCCCGGATGTACGACTCAATCGAATCTGGTATGCGCAGACCATCGAGCTGGGCTTTGCCAACCTTGCTCCATACCTCCGGTAGGTCCACTTTGTCAGCATATTCTTGTGCTCGATCAATGCTAACGACGTGGTCAACTAGAACGTTGGCGGCCTCGGCATGGTTGTTGTCCTTCTTGTGGATTTCAAAGGCTTCCTCATACATGCCAAGGTCGATACAGGTGTTGGCGATGTCCTCAGGGGTATAATTTTCGAGCTGATGAATGTAGCCCATGAGACGACCACGGTCTGATTTGGCTGCGGTGAGCATGAGAAGATTCTGAAGGTTGGTGTTGTCGCTGAACGTTGATGGCTCGAGAATAATCTTTTCAAGTAGCTCAATGAGCTCCGTGGGCATGTCTCCCTGGATGAAAGCCTTGACGGCTAAGCTCACACGGTCAGGATCCTGGCTTTCTGGGACAGCTGTTGAGATGACCTGGTCGACCAAAGATCTCCGGTGCATATTGTTGCCACTGAGAACAAAATTCCAGATATCAATGTCAGATCGCTCGAGAAGATAACGTGCTTGTGCCCTGAACATGCCGTTTTCGTTCGTGACATTGATGAGCTCCAAGTCATTCTGTCCCTTTTGGTACGCAATGAAGGCAAGATTGGGATCGCGTTTCTCACAATATTTACCGACAACAAGGGTATCATATAGATCGTTAGACTTCAAGAAAGCTTCGGGGTTGTTGTTCGAGTCAATGTAGATCTTAGCCAACGCATTGTACACAGCCTGTTGAGTGTTGCCACTAGCCAAAGTTGCTTCTAGGAACGGTAGAAGGAGCTTCAACCGATTGCGCGACTCTACTTCTGCAACAAGCTCGTCTATGGGAACAGACGCAGCGTTCACCGAGGTCAGCAGATTTTTAATGATGCTCTCATCACAATCCACATCCAAGAGACCACCGATAACAGCTGGTGTCCTAGAGGGATTGACACGTTGAACGTATACCTCGATCGACTTGAATTGTTGCTTCTTGTACAAGTGCAAAACGAGATCGTGGATGAAGTTGAATCGGTCGCAAACGATGATCAGTGGCAACTGCTCGGTGAGCTCGGCTTCTTTGAGGAAGTTCTTCACTTTTTCACCATTGATGTATTGACTCTCGCGACAGATGCGCTCCACTTCGTTGAGCTGACCAATCCTCGTAGCAGCCTCAATGTACTTGAACGTCACATCTTCGTCCTCGCTAAGATTCACAATGGCACCAAGGTAGAAGTACAAGCCCTCGGCAGTCTTATACTTCTCGAGCATGTTGATGATGTTCTGGGGTCCCAGAATATCGGAATACTTTTGGGCGATTCGAACTACAGCCTGCAAGGTTTGGCGGATGTTGACTTTCAACATCTCATCCATACACTCCAAAGAAAGCTCTGGAGTAAGTTTGCTGAAGTAGTTGATAAGCCACTCCTCGGGAATCTGATCGGTTCGAACGATGATGCGCTTAATGACGGCCGGGTCCTCAGTATGCTCCAAAGCACGAGTGAGTAGTCCCGCATTCTCACACAATTGTGCGATTCTTGGCTTATCATAGTAGCTAAACATCTCATTGCCCAAGATGGCATCGGCGACTTGCGGTGCGTTCAACAGATTCATCTCCAGCAATTTAGTCTGGAGATTTGCTTGCTCAGGCTGATTGTTCGAGAGGACATCGAGCAAGAAACCTGTAGCGCCCTGAATCATGCCCTGGGATTGGAAAATGTCTACCACACGGTCGAGATCGACTAGTGGGCCATTGGGGTTCTTTGCTAGGCCAGTCGCAAACTCCACAGCCTTGTCAGGGTTGAGGCGGACGATATTTTGCAGCAGGACTGTGAAATCGGCTTGATATCCTGTTTCGCCACAATACGCCAGAATTTGATCGAATTGTCCAAGTTCCGTCATAGCAGCCACAACCTTGTTTTGTACACCAGCCTTCTGATAGATTTGCAGAGCAATACTGAGGTCGTGAAGTCGCACAATATCACCCAGCTCCTCTGAGCAGTCCAGCTTGTTTTCTTTGAGCCATTTCTCGATCAAATGCTTACGATTTTGTGCAAGGACAGGCTTTGCCAATTCCAGTGTCTCATATTTATTCAAAGAACCTTTGTCTAATAGCATACCAAAGTATTGCAGGATGACAGAGAGCTGGCCGCCTTGCGCAGGAATAGACTTGAACCGTTCGATAGTCTGAGCAGTGCGAAGAAATCCCCTCGGGGAATTGGCGGCTACCTTCGCTGCCTCGCCGAACTGTTGCTGGTTCAACAGGTTTTGGAAACGCTCTTCATATAGGTTGTCTGCGCCTGGAAGTCCTCCTCTTGAAGCAAGTTTGTACGCTAATTCGGAATTCGCAGGGTTCTGTCGCAGGTATGGGATTATATTGGCCTCGTCCACGCTAACCTGGAGGACTTGACCCTTGCGGTTCACACCCACAATTCCTGTTGACTCCTCGTCGGGAGATGTGACGAAGATCGTGTCGCTCGAAATGCGGTTCATGAAGATGCATGTACCGGTCTCCAGGTCGTACAGGTGGATAAATCCATACTTTGTCACTAAGTAGATGATGCTGTATTTTTGCGAAACCTGCATTGCGACTGGGAAGTCATTTGTAGCCTCAGGAGGGAAATAGACATCCACATTGCGTTTGGTGAATTGGGGGTTTGAGGCATTGTGGTCGACCTCAACAATGTGTAACTTGGCGCCGGTGGCCGTTCGCACGCCGAAGGTGAAAAGTTTTGTGTCTGCGGGAGCGCCCTCCAGACGGAGAGTACCGAATGCCGCAGCGTGACCCTCGATAGCCTGGCTGATTCCTCGCGCTCTTGAGTATAGCTGCATAGCACCCACCACTCGTCCCTGCTGTTGCGAAATACCAACGACCACCATCCATTCGCCGTCATCGCTGACACGGTAGTTGATAATTTGACAACCGCTGAGGTTTTGATTGCGCTCGAAGACTTTCTGTGGCGCAGCTTGGTTGGCATCAAAAATATCCCAATGGTATACACTAGTATCCGTAACCAAGCCTAAGCTACTGGGGCTGAACCATTTCCAAAAGACCACGTCTTCAGTCATGGTAGCAGATTTCAGCTTTTGCTTCGCGTCCAGATCGAATATTTGAAGCGTCCGCTGCTGGGCTTTCAGGGCGATGATCTTGCGATTCCAGTGCATGATGGCACTGTCAGCCTTGATGGGCCTTCGGACGATATTGTTGCCATTTTTCAGTTCGATAATGACGACTTCGGGAGAGGCACTCGCATCGGCCTGTTGTCGCACACAAATGAAGTGATCCGATTCTAATGTCTATCGGAGTGTTTAGAGACTCCTCCTGATGCGAGATGTGATGTTTGTTGACTTACGCAAGAATTGAAACCTATGGCACTTTGCTGTTGACGTGTTAGCTTTCCATCAGGCAGACGCAGCGCAACTTTTTTCGAGCTCGCCCGGTGAGAAATAACGTACAGGGACATCAAGACTAGGTAGCTACAGGTATACCAAGTTAGCATACATCAATTGAAGAGCCGCGACCAAATATGCTCACCGACAGGAGCTCAGTAAACTTTATGGGTAGCCGTTGAGCCATGGTTGCGCAGCTGCGGCCGGGTCGGCATCAATCAGAGGACAGAATTCAAGGTATTAGAGGTTGAAGAAGAACTGCGTCCACGTATTAGAAGAAGTAAAAGGACCAACGCCAACAAAAGCGGAGGGAGATGGAGATGTTTGTGGAGGATGCAGAGTTGAATGCGAGACGCCGAGACACAGTATAGGAGTATCGTGTTGAACGGGACACACGTCGCAGCAGCTGTCTTAGCCCCCACTAACTCTCTAGAGCCTAGCATGCCCACTCCATCAAGTAAAGGCTGCACGTGAGAGAGAATTTTAGGCGTGAAGCTCGCTGCAGCAATCCTGCCGGGAACCCCAGCATAAGGTTCTTGAATTAGATCAGCCCTAGATTAGATTTGGAGCTTCGATGCAGGAGTTGTTCAGAACTGTCGGCGTACAAAGCATCACACCCAAAAAAGAGCTACATTATTTTTAATATTAACTTAGTATACACTTGCGACGTAGACTTCCAGCTTTCATGCCGATCAGCCCTGCGCGCTCTCACAAGCCATCCAATTCCATCATGCACTAGCCAAGAAGCTCGCTGCGGGTTTCCAACGTCCGAATAGCCGCTGGTTGTATCGCCTGAGAGGTCTCGCTGCTGCTAATCATGCTGGATCAGAGGTTACAACTGCAGGTACCGATCAACAAGAAAGTTGAACAACACTCGAAGAGAATCGCTATTCCCACGAGGTCCGAGGCTTCCGCTTTGGCAAAGCATGGAGACTGGGCCAGCTGTGGTGAAAGTGCTCACACAGGACTTAGTCGGCAAGACTGCCGTCGTCACGTACGCACAACACTGTCACCTACGCCGCATAGCATGTAAAGCTTTCATACTGACCTTCAACCCAGTGGAGCCTCACGAGGCATTGGCCGTGCCATCGCGCTTAATCTTGCTTTGCGTGGGTGCCATGTGCTTGGTACATGCTCGTGCGACGTGACCTACAATGCGCATATCATCTCCCTACAAGACTCGATATTCAACGCTTATCGCGCAACCGGTAATCTCAAGCCGCCACTCCTCGAAGCATGCGTCGCGCACCTCACGGATCCAGAGCGCTTCTGCCACACTCTCACAGGCCTCCTCGAGGTCTCGTTCAACAATCGCGTTGATATACTAGTTCTAAATGCTTCACTGGCGGAGCGCAAGACGATCGAAGACATGGACGAGGACCACATCTACCGCAACCTCGTCGCGAACGTGGAGACACCCCTACGCATCGTACAGAGTCTACTTCCCTTCTTCCAGCCCTCCAGTCGCATCATATTCATGTCGTCGGAAGCCGCCCGTCTGTCGCGGCCAGGCGGGTTGATGTACAGCGCGTCCAAGGCAGCAATGGAGTCGGCTGTGCGTACACTTGCGGAGGAACTAGGGCTTCGCAGGGGTATGGAGGGTACGACGGTAAACAGCGTGAGCACAGGTCTGACAGACACGGGGCTGGTAAAAAACATGGATAAACGTCTACGCGACTCAATACTGTCGCGCGAGTCAGCGAAGATCAACGTAGCACGGAGGATTGGTGAACCCGACGATATAGCGAACGTGGTGGGGTTCCTAGCCAGTGAAGCTAGTCGGTGGATCACAGGCAGCGTAATCTCTGCGAGCGGAGGTTCGACAAAAATATTATGATGTGTTGATAGCAATGACTGAAACAACCAATAAGGACAAGATAAACCTCCTCTTTTGATGTGCCTGGCACGAAGAATTTACACAGTTCACGTATGAACACCAAAATGTTCAATTCAAGGAAGCACAGAATGCTTAACAGGCTTTGATACTGTCACGATTTGCTTGTCTCAACACATTCTTGGGCTATCACATTCAAAGTAGTCAGGATGTAGTCATACCACTCTATCTCGTCTCAATTGTCATCACTGCAACACTGCAACGATGTCTATCACGCTTGTATATAGACGCTAACCAACGATGACCTCTACGACTGAGGACATTTACTCATTCTCGTCAAAAAGCGCGAATTGGTCTTCCCAGGCGGCAAGCCATGACCTAGCCTTCATTCCATTTCATTAAGCGCGCTCTCCAGCTTCTTCTGACAGATATTAAGGCTGTTTCGTAGGCCAAAAACGAATGCAATTCTTCTGCATCTTTGTCAACTCAACTCTAAAGGTCCATGTGGGAGAGGTTCCCGTGAATTAGCTCCTTTGGCTTTGACGAGCCATGCAGAGTAGGCCGTCAAGGCTTTTTTCGACGATTTCATACTCAATCTAGCCCGGAGATTGAGAAGTCTGGTTAGTGGTGCAAAATAATGACTGAGGAGAGCATCTCAAACGCATATGATCTTACAGATGACATAAACGGCCTTTTTTTAAGGTGTAGTTTTCTGGAAGGTGTCAGATTCTTGTGTAATTATAGTAAACCGTGGAAACAATGTGTTGATAATCAGGCGTGTGTACGGTGATTCGATCGTAGTATGAGTTCTATGTACACAAATAGTCATGCTCTCCGCAGGGGTTAATAGTGGTGGAGGAAACTTACTCATCCAGTAGTTGTATATCTAGGGCATAGGCGATCCATAAGACTCTGAGGTATATGATGTCTTTTATGTTGATTGGAGGCAGAAGGACATAGGTATGTCCATATGTTTACAGAGTCCCAGCGATACCGATCAATAGTTGTACTGCTAAGCCTTTAGGGACTCATGGTTTCCATCACTGAGGTCAGACCTTTATCAACTTCAGGGAGAAGCCTTGCATAGTTACGACACTCTCTACTGAGACAGGCAGCATATAGTCCACTCAATAGAACTCGCCTATGAAGCCCTGACAATCTGATTCAGAGACTTACCCTAAAACAGGGAGCATTGCTCGGTCTTGGAAACTTGCAGCTATATGAGGCAGAGATCATGATTCTGGAGGCTCTCCAGATTGATTTCATGGTCTTCTATGACGGATTCCTGAACTTTATCAACCACGACATATCCGTGTTAGAGGACCTAATACTGCTTAATTGCACCGCTGCTGCGCAAGTTTCATCTCCGCGTAGCGGTGGATATCACGCCCGACATGGTCAATGCTGTTCCAACAGCTCTTATTCAGAGATTGTCGTCCCTTGACGTAACTTTGGAACAGAATGCTCTTGATAGCTGGTTAGTTTTATTCATCCTTCTTCTGCTTGAGCCCAATTGTCGAGGCCAATTTCGCCCACTGGGATAATCAGACTTACCATCTGCTTCAAACAGTCCATGAGGTCTACTGTTACAACATTCTGAGTGGATGAATAGCTCTTGCCATCTGGGTGTGCACATTTAAATACGACCATGGGAGCATTTCAGAATTATTTCTGCTTTCAGATCTTGCATACTGAATGGGAACAGCACTTCTGTGTGGATACTTACTTAGCAGAGCATATTTCAACGTTCCGAATTCATGTGTAATATGTGTCTTGAAAGCACTCAGATGAGAAAGTCAGCTCGGAAACCATTACTTGGTGTACCAGTTGAGATATATTCAAGGTATTCTACTGTTCCTGGTATGTCTTGAATGCATTGATATACTCGAAAAAGCTGGCTTTGAAGTATCGTTCCTGTGTCGTGAGATTCACGTACTTTATATCGATCAGCGGTCTGACAAGCTCTCAGTAAGCCCATACTCACTTGCACCCCAAACTTCACAGAGTAACCTTGGTTCCATTCCAAGTTATCGACAATACTCCATGCTAAGCTCCCAACCACATTCACTCCCTCACTAATGGCAATTAAAATAGCCTGCATGTAGTCCCGATAGTAACTGCTCCGTACTGGGTCACTTAGGATATCTGCTCGAATCGTCTTCAGACTCTCAAATGGCTCCGCCATGCCAAATTCCGACACTGCGATCCCACCGCGCGGCTTCCATGTATCTTGGATGTAGTGCAGAAATGTGGGTACCCAATCCGTCGCTTTGTGCAGCCACGGTGCACCAGGATCAGCTGCCGGGCCAATGTTCCATCCACCAGCGTCTGTGGCGTATGTGTTGGAGCTGTTGAAGCAGCCAGGATACAGTGGGTTGGAACTGTTTGCTAGGCAGCCGTCGATGCCAGCGTCAGGCGCGAAGTAGAATGACGATGTGTAAGCGTCATGCGCGAAAATGTCGCATGAGTCGTTGATCAACGCAGACTGTTCAGGTGTGAAATCCGGGAGAAAAGCCGAGACATAGTCTTTGTACGACTGTGGATAGTCGCCATTGATAAACAGGGGGTTGGCAAACCAGCCTTCGTTGAAGTCCCACGCGCGCTGCACAGCCTCTGCATCGGCGGAAGAATTTGTGAGTGGGACCTTGTAGCCACCGTTTGTCTTGATGCTGATGGAGATGTTCGGATACAAGGCTTTCCCGACGTGATATGCGCTTGCGTGGGATAGAAGCACATTGTGGCCACAAAAGTACTTCTGTTGCCATGTGGGAATGCTTGTATTTTTGAAGTAGCCATTGGGTAAGGGGTACGTTCCACAGAAAACAAGGGGCTCGTTCATAGTGAACCATGTTCGTACTTTGCCGCCCCAGCGTGAGAAGGCGATGCGGGCGTATTCGGTGAAGTCAGGGACTATTTTGTCACTGAGCCAGCCTCCATAACTGTTTTGAAGGATCATGGGAAGATCCCAGTGGTATAATGTGACGATTGGCTCAACGCCATAGTCATGACATGTCTGTATCAAATCGTCGTAGTGGCGTAAGCCGGCTTCGTTGACGGCGCCCGATCCAAATGGGAAAATACGCGACCAGGATATAGAGAAGGAGTAAGCTTTGGTTCCAGCAGCTGCAATTCGGGCGATGTCCTGCTTGTAAAGATAGTACTGGTTGTTTGCAATATCTCCCGTATCATTATTAACCACAAAATTTGTGGCACGATGGGTCAAGACGTCCCAGATGCTAGGGCCCCTGCCTTCATCCTTGACCGCGCCCTCAACTTGATATGCAGCACTAGCGAATCCCCACCAGAAATCCCTCGGGAAAGACCAACTCTCGTTCTTTGTTTGCAAAGGTACCTGCTGGCCTCTTGGAAAAGGAGCGAAGTATAGTGGTGGTGGAGGGACTAATTCTGAAGAGGGTACCGGCGTTGGGGCAACTGTGGTGTTGACCTCGGCCACAGATACTGGCCCAACGAAAACATTCCAAACATCTGTATGCATACATCAACGCGATATACAGGTATGTATGTTCTCGCTCTTGAGGCGTCGTCTCCCCATTATATGAGACTTACCTTCGAGGGAAAGTTCCACATTTGTGGTAATGGATGCTCCAATGTTAGTCGAAGATGGTACGATCGTGGTTTGTGATGAAGTCAATGAGTTTATAGTTGCGTTTGACAGTAGAGAAAGTGCTAAACCGACAAATATCAAAGCCGCTACGGCGTTTGGCAGTAACATAGTCGTTGTTAGGTTTCTAGAACAAAGAGCGAAAGGAGTACACGAAATATCCAGGATGTATGTGCTAACTTGTTGCCTGTATATATATGATGTCGACCTCTGTGGAACAGCCTGCTTTACTATCCCGATCCCTGGTACTAGTCCATCAGATTGCGGGGAAATGGTGCATTCATGCGCAGCATTGTCATGCGGGGTAACATCGTCGGGAGAACGAGAAGCGGTCGTATTCATTATCGTTCAGAACATAAACACAGATCAATTCAAAGCTCTACTGTTGTGCAGCTAGGTTCGGTCTACAGGTATTGGTATGAGGTTCGTTGTAAGGGGCATTTCAGGGGCTACGGGTCTTTTGAAACTGGTTGAACATTGGCAAGTGAGGGCCGTATGGAATGCATAGTGGATAGCTGGTGAAATATCGTAGTGTCGCAACTGAGTACCTACAACAGGTACAAGTAAGTATCTACCCAATTCTCCGCCCCAGAGCGATGCGAAAGACTGCGAACGAGGGAAGTGGAAGTGAATAGCAGCGTTTAGCCTTAAACGCGGGGCTCGAGCAAGTGACGTATCCCCTGAAGCCAGGCTGCCCAATCAGATACCCCACCTTTTCTCCCGCTAAACTGTAAACAGGCTAGGTATGGAAACCTCGGGAGGGTGAGTCTCTGAACAAAATCACGAATAATGTTCATTTCTTGAGTGTGGATCGCATCGTAGTCACTCTCATCCAAGGCAATGGAATAAGTCTTGAAGCTTTATGCTCTGCTAGATCTCTCAACGAAGGTACATGCCTTGTGTTATGCAGAGCGGTGTTCCAGAACCTTCCCGACATAGCTAGAACCTTCTACCTTGCACGAGCAGGGAGTAGCAGCCTCACCAAGTTTCTTGCTTTGTTGTCCCGGAAAGTATATATTCACACGCGCACTGCACGTTTGCATTCTTGCGTTTTGGTTCTAGATATACTACACATATTCACGCTCCAAAGTTCGTGTTGCAATATTGTCTTGCGATCATGACTTCTGGCATGCAATTCACAGACAGGGCTTCGAAAGCCCTGGCTGATGCCCAAGATTTAGCTACTCAATATGCCCACTCACAACTGGTCCCTTTACACCTCGCCGTATCCCTTATAGATCCTCCTCCCGACCAGTCAAAAGATCAGCAAACGAAGACACACGACTCGCATGCTGCAGCGGCAGCGCCGCTATTCAGACAAGTGGTTGAGCGCGCCCATGGCGACCCGCAACTACTCGACCGAGCATTGAAGAAATCATTAGTTCGGTTACCCGCCCAAGAACCTCCTCCAGATCATGTCTCAATATCACCTGGATTCTCAAAGCTTCTGCGTTCTGCAAACGACCTCTCTAAGACTCAGAAAGACAGCTACATAGCTATAGATCATCTCATCCAAGCGCTCATTCATGATTCCACCGTAGAACGATGTCTGGCTGAAGCAAATGTACCGAAATCTAAGCTTATCGATGAAGCTATCACACAGATTCGGGGTACAAAGCGCGTAGATTCCAAGACCGCAGACGATGAAGCAGAGAACGAAAACCTCAAGAAATTCACAATAGACATGACTGCCATGGCAAGAGAAGGAAAGATTGACCCGGTCATAGGTCGGGAGGAAGAGATGCGCAGAGTCATTCGAATTCTTTCGCGACGGACAAAGAACAATCCCGTCCTCATTGGTGAGCCTGGTGTTGGCAAAACCACAGTCATCGAAGGCCTCGCCTTACGGATTGTCAACGCAGACGTCCCAGCCAATCTTGCCGCATGTCGACTCTTATCTCTCGATGTTGGTGGTCTTGTTGCTGGCAGCAAATACCGAGGAGAATTCGAGGAAAGAATGAAAGGGGTCCTGAAAGAAATAGAGGACGCCAAGGAAATGATTGTACTTTTTATCGACGAAGTGCACTTACTCATGGGAGCTGGTACATCTGGTGAGGGTGGTATGGATGCCGCAAATCTGCTCAAGCCCATGCTTGCCCGGGGTCAACTGCACTGTATTGGTGCCACCACACTCTCGGAATACCGTAAGTACATCGAGAAGGATGCTGCATTCGAACGTCGATTTCAACAGGTCATTGTGAAAGAGCCTTCGATCCCGGAAACCGTCTCCATTCTTCGTGGTCTCAAGGAGCGGTACGAGACCCACCATGGTGTTACCATTCAGGACGGTGCTATAGTAGCAGCAGCCACACTTGCAGCCAGGTATCTCACTCAAAGACGGCTCCCTGACTCTGCCGTGGACCTGATAGATGAAGCTGCTGCAGCTGTGCGTGTCACACGAGAATCACAGCCAGAAATTATCGATAATCTAGAGAGGCGTCTTCAACAACTACAAATTGAAATTCATGCTCTTTCGAATGAGAAGGACGAGGCTGCCAAAACCCGACTGCGCGAAGCCAAGGCTGAGGCTGCCAACTGTGAAGAAGAGCTAAAGCCTCTTCGAGAAAAGTACGAGAGCGAGAAGGCACGTGGTCATGATATCCAAGAAGCCAAGATCAAGCTCGATCAACTCAAAGTCAAACTCGCGGAAGCAGAGCGTGTTCGCGATATTCAAACTGCTTCAGACCTGAAGTACTACGCCATACCGGACGTCGAAACTCGTATAGCAACGCTTGAACTCGAGAAAGCCAGATCAGACGAGGAGATGTACAACCGTCGCGGGTCACAACCTGGCGATGCACTTATTACTGATGCAGTTGGTCCAGACCAGATCAATGAGATCGTTGCTCGGTGGACAGGTATCCCTGTCACGCGGCTAAGGACAACAGAGAAAGACAAGCTCTTGAAGATGGAGAGACATCTCGGAGAAATCGTTGTTGGCCAGAAAGAAGCTGTTGTATCTGTGTCGAACGCAATCCGACTACAACGTTCTGGCCTTGCGAATCCAAACCAACCCCCAAGTTTTCTCTTCTGTGGTCCTTCCGGAACTGGTAAGACGTTACTCACGAAAGCCTTGGCCGAGTTCCTGTTCGATGACGCTAAAGCTATGATTCGGTTCGATATGTCCGAATACCAAGAACGTCATTCACTCAGCCGTATGATTGGTGCACCCCCTGGCTACGTAGGCCACGATGCCGGTGGTCAACTTACTGAGGCTCTGCGCCGGCGTCCCTTCTCTATTCTGCTATTTGACGAGGTCGAGAAAGCTGCAAAAGAAGTTCTCACTGTTCTTCTACAACTCATGGACGACGGTCGAATTACTGACGGTCAAGGTCGTGTGGTCGATGCGAAAAATTGCATTGTCGTAATGACGTCCAACCTCGGTGCCGAATATCTCTCAAGGCCGAACGCAGCTGACGGAAAGATCGATCCTACCACGAAGGACATGGTAATGGGCGCACTCCGAAACTACTTTCTGCCCGAGTTCCTCAATCGAATTTCTTCGATAGTCATCTTCAATCGTCTTACGAAACGCGAGATTCGCAAGATCGTCGACGTGCGCATGAGCGAGATACAGAAGCGGCTTTACTCCAATGGCCGCAATGTCAAGATCGATCTCACAGACGAAGTGCGAGACTACCTTGGTTCTGCTGGTTACTCGCCTGCCTATGGTGCTCGTCCGCTTGCGCGACTGATCGAGAAGGAAGTCCTCAACAGAATGGCCGTACTCATTTTGAGAGGCAGTATAAAGGATGGTGAAACAGCGAGAGTCAGATTGGATGACGGACATATCTACGTCGAGCCAAACCATGGAGACTCAGACAGTGAGGATAGTGAGATGTGGGACGAGGAAGATGCGATTCATGAGATTGAGGATGTGGATGACGCGCCGATGGATCTCTACGAATGAGAAGGTTAAAGCAGAGGATTTGCATTTATTGTTCAGCATTGTAGCTATGTATGCATCATGAGCATGGCGTTAGGTTTTTTGGACTGAGTATGAGTGTACTCTCGGTATTAGGATATGATGCATCAATGAAAAACGGATAGGTGGAGGTATAGCATATCATTTATTATGATAGAGTCGAGGTATCAACTCTGTTGAAACTCAATTATTTATGCGAATCTCGCTGTGACTCGTGATTAAACTCGACAGTAAGTGAAAGCTGTTCAGAGTGGTACATGGAGACATTGATGCCTCAGGCATCAGTGTAGTTCTTCGCTACCTCGAACCTCGGTGCGGTAGGATAGCTCCGCATTCATCACCAGCAAGCAGCACTGGATCATGTCGAGCTTCAATCTTCATCAACAATATGACAGCGTGGGAGAAGATAGGTCTGCGCAAGCGGGCTGAGCGCGCTGCAAAGATCCCACATCAATGGCGCCTCCCTGATAACGTGATCCCAAAGTCGAGCGACGGCCGGCATTCCGTGCTCCACGTACCTCGCGAATGCGGGCTGTTGACAGACCATGAATTGGATATTACGGAGAATTATGATGCGACGGCATTGAGTGTAGCTATTAAGGAGAGGAGGCTGAAGTGTGTGGATGTCACGAGAGCGTTCTGTAAAAGAGCCGCAATTGCGCAGCAGCTCGTAAGAGAGTCCCCGCAGTACAAACTATATAGATACATGGCTGACCTAGACAGACGAATTGCCTCACAGAGATACTCTTCTCTGAAGCTCTTGTGCGAGCGAAAGCTCTTGATGCCCATCTTGACGAGGGCAAGCCGCCGCTTAGTGCCCTTCATGGCATTCCCATATCGCTCAAAGACTCTTTCAAGATTCCAGGCGTAGATGCCTCCATTGGTATAGCAGCACTCTGCTTTGAAGCCTCCTCCAAGCCGTCATCTCTGGTTGAGATACTGCTCAAAGCAGGTGCTGTGTTATACTGCAAGACTAACGTCCCACAGACTCTCGGCGCCTTAGACTCATTCAATAACGTCTTCGGTCGGACCCTCAACCCACATAATGCAGCAGTAACGGCAGGAGGCAGTACTGGAGGCGAAGGTGCACTCATTGCCTTGCGTGGCAGTGTCTTGGGAGTCGGTACAGATGCTGGAGGAAGCATCCGTATTCCAGCTATGGTAAACGGCATATACGGCGTAAAGCCTAGCTGGCAGCGTATACCATACTACGGCCAAGAAAGCGGCAATCTTGACGGGCATGTCAAAGTCGGCATGGCTGCTAGCGCTGGGCCTCTTGCTGTATCCTTTCGCGATTGCGAGCTCTTCTTGCACACTGTCGTAGATCTTGAGCCGTGGCTCGTTGACTCAGACGTCATTCCTGGGCCATGGTCCAGCCTCATTCCTCTCTCATCGCCCAAGATTACTGTCGGTCTCATCATGACAGACGGTTTGATCACACCTCACCCGCCGGTGACCCGTACTCTTCGAGAAGCAGCATCTGCTCTCACCACGTCCGGAATACACGTCGTTGAGCTCGATGTCGCACCCCTATTTTCTAAGTGTCAGGCACTTGCCAACAGACTCATGGGTGTCGGTGGAAACAATCACATGTTTGATCTGCTCGAGCGCACAAAAGAGCCTCTTCATCCATGGCTTGTGTCGCGCATGAAACGGCACCCAGCGATTCCCACAGACAAAGCGGTCGCGCTACATGGAGCACGAGAGGCGATGCAGCGGGCATGGTTGCAGGTCTGGGCAGGAGAGCAACCTGGCAAGCCCAAGATCGATGTGCTGCTATGTCCAGTAGCACCTCACGCACCACCAGAGATCGACCGCTGGAACGCGACGAGTTATTGCAGCACGTTCAACATGTTGGACTACCCGGCAGGAACGATTCCAGTTCGGATCTTCGAGCCAGAGGATGTGCAGGGAGAACTGCCGACGACTCAGCCCATTGGAAGCTGGGACAAGGCAAATAGGGCACTTTGTAAGTCTCCTCTTAGGAAATCTTGGAGTTGCATGCTGACAACATGGTAGGGAATGAGACGGATCGATCAGTGTATATAGGTACACCGTTGTGCGTGCAGGTAGTAGCACCTAATCTACAGGAAAGGAGGCTGTGTGAAGCGATGAGAATCATTGATGATGCAGTACGAACGAAGTATGGGCCTCTCCATAAGGCAAAGAGGCCCACGAAGTTATAAGAAGGTAATGAAATACATAGTTCTAGCTCTGAATGGATTCAAAAATGATACCCTACACAACTGTAGTGACTTAACCTAACCGTCTACCTCTCATTCATGATTTACCCGCCTTGGCTTACCGCTATAGGACAAATCAGATCTCATTCTTCTTCATGTTACCGTTCTCCGTTCGACTTTGCGATGACTCGATGACGATCGTTATTGGATATGGGTATTTTGTCCCTACCCCAACATCTCCACACTTTCCATTCGCGGGGTAATTAATGCGACCGTGCATGAACGTTCGGCGAGATGACCGACGGTTAACAGATAAGAGGATAAAAATAAATTAATGCTTCTCTTGAACGGACTATAAACTCTACGTCATGACTATCACTCGACTGGTGTACATGCCTAGCAAGAGTTAGCATCCCACATAAGCTTTCCAATAATCAAAACAGAATGCGCTTCCTCTCGCAACTCACCGGCAGCAGTAGTAAACATGCAGAGATATATGCCTCAACATCATCCTCGCAAACATCGCCATCTAACACAGACAAGCCAGCCAGCCCAGATACGATCCAGCAAGAGCATGTTACAAACGACTCATCCAGTACAGAGTGGAAACTCTCCAAAACCGGCGATGGCGACACCGCCATGGCCGTTTTCAAGTCTCCGCTCGACCTACACACCCCGTACACTGCCGCTGAAGAGAAAGCACTCATTCGTAAAATTGACCTCATGATCCTCCCCTACCTTGCTGTCTGCTACGCGTTCTTCTACATGTAAGTTCTATGCAATACTCTCGAAATCCCAAACCCCTTTATTATAAAACATTGACACTTGACTAACCACAACAGTGACAAAACCACCCTTTCCTACGCCGCAATCTTCGGCATCAGAGAAGACCTCAATCTAGTCGGGAACAAATATAACTGGCTGAGCAGCATCTTCTACTTCGGTTTTCTAGCATGGGCGTTTCCGACAAACTTCCTGATGCAACGCCTACCAGTTGGCAAGTACCTTGGGGCCAACATCTTCATGTGGGGCGTATTCTTGATGATGCAGGCTGCTGCAAAGGTACTCCCTTCCCGTCCCCCTCCTACCTACATTTGAAAGCACACTGACAAGTCATGCTAGAACTTCGCCGGCCTCGCCGCTCTTCGCGCCATTTCCGGTGCCGCAGAAGCATGCTCTGACCCGGCGTTCATGTTGATCACATCCATGTGGTACACGCGGCGCGAGCAGCCAGTGCGGATCGGGCTATGGTACACGGCGAATGGGTTTGGGATCGCACTTGGTGGGCTACTAGGGTATGCGATTGGGCATATCCGGGGAGCGCTGGCAAGCTGGAAGTACGAGTTTCTGATCATTGGAGGTGAGTAGGCTGTGCGACACGTAACTGACCAGCACCCAACCGCTTGAAGTCTCTAATGGACTGACGGGTCTGATAGCACTCTGTTCTACCTGGGGCATTGTTATGATTATCTTCCTTCCCGACACCCCGGTTACGGCTCCGGGTCTCACGCCCCGCCAACGACTCGTTGCAGTCGAGCGTTTGCGCTCAAATCAGACTGGTATCGAGAACAAGACGCTTAAACCATATCAAATCTGGGAAGCTGTACTCGATCCCAAGACGTGGTTCTTCTTCATCCTGGGCGCAGTTCATAATACGCCCAATGGCGGTATATCAAACTTTGGCACGCTGATCATCAAGGGGTTTGGATACTCGACGCTCGTGACGACTCTGTTGCAAGTCCCGTATGGCGTGCTGATTGCGCTGTTCATTCTGAGCTGTGTGTATCTGAACGATTGGACTGCGACACGCAAGGGCTGGAACACGCGGTGCTGGTTTATACTGCTATACACTATGCCGAATATTGCTGGGACTTTTGGGCTGCGATACATACCTCAGCAGCATCACGTCGCGCGGCTGATGTGTTATTACCTTACCGGCTCGTACAATGCATCTTTCGTACTCGTACTCAGTTTGACGATTGCGAACACGTCTGGACACACGAAGAAGGTTGTTACCAATAGCTTCCTGTTTCTTGGATACTGTGTTGGAAATATCGCGGGACCGTTCTTCTATCGTACAAATCAGGCGCCAGGGTATGAACTAGGAATTTGGAGTATGATCTTCTGTCATCTGGCAGAAGTGGTTATTGTATTAACATTCAGGGCCATGATGAGCTGGGAGAATGCGAGGAGAGATCGTTTGGGCGGCGGGCGTACAGATACGGACCGGACGGCATTTGGCGATTTGACGGATCGAGAGAATATGAACTTTCGGTATGTGTACTAAAGTAGTTATAGCACGAGATATGAATAGCGTGATGAATAGGATTAGTCCCGTATATCAGGCTACCAGGAAAGTGCATTGGGGCTGCTGCATACGAACTACCTTGATAGCACGAGCCGATGTACAATACCGTAAACGCCAGGCCCGTTTTACACCATTCCCGAACAAAAAATGCCATAATAAACCCAAAAGAGAAACTAGATACGTCGCTTTTACGAGGAAGATCTTTGGTAGATACCGCAGACCATGGCGTGGTCTCTCTCGAAAGGCTCTAGAGTGAGCTGCTCCAATGGCTTTATCCTCTCTTCCCTCATCTTCGCGACCTCCTTCGCGAAAACAGCCTCCGGAGCGGCTGTGGAATCGATACAGTTTGCCTTGATACTGACAATGACACCCCCACCGACCTTCAAGAATAGATGTGCGTTCAAACCGACGATACGGGCCTGGTCAGGCTGGGCAACATCGGCAAAAATGCAGTCGACCATGGAAACAAGCATGCGGTACTTGAGAGGATGGCGGGCGTCCTCAACGATAGGAATGACATTAGTACGATGGGTGGCCATGTTGATCAGGTCACGGCCTGAGCGGTGAGAAAACTCGACAGCGAAAACAGTGCCTTCGGGGCCAACAATATCCGCGACGTGAGATACAGAGGTACCAGAGGCGGCACCCAAGTATAGAACCTTCGAACCGGGGCGCATAAAAATGTCGTTGATACCACCGAGGATACCAGCAGCCAGCTTACTGCGGAAAGGATTCCACACACGGTATTCGACTTGTGTCACAGGAGCATCTGGGTCAGTGGCGCCATTGACGCCAGAAAGCTCTGAGCTGGGAACTGAAATGCGCTTCTCCCCGTAGACAGATTCGCCAGGTGTCAGATTGCGAGTCACGAGGAGATCTTCTTTTCCACGGGCGACGAAAACACCTGCGTGACGATGGGGCTCCTACGATGCTATTAGTGAAATGATGGCGCAGCTTCATGCAGGGCACATACGATCACGACTCTCTGGCCACCTTTGGCACCAGCACCACCTCGTCCACCTCCACGAGGGGCACCGCGACCGCGAGCACCTCCTCTTGGAGCTCCACGGCCGCCTCCACGGCCACCACCTCGGCCGCCACGGTCGCCTCCAAAGCCTGTGAAACTGTTAGCGGAGTTCTTCTTATGAGGCACGCTTGCTTCGGCGCATGCATAATTGCGTCCTCTCCGAGCGCATTGGTAGAATTTCGATTACCTCCACGGCTTCCTCCTCGGGCTCCTCCACGGCCTCCAAATCCACCGCGTCCGCCGCGATCACCACCTCCTCTTCCGCCTCTTGGTGTAAATGCCATTTTTTCCTAGTGTACGCTAGTGTCGATTTCGAAGATTGCGTGCTTAGTCGATGAACCAAAGTATAACTTTGCGTAGGGTGTCGTATATCAAGTCTGCAGACTTTTAGTTGAATTGTGTTGAGTGCGAGGGCGTAGACGGAGCACACTGAGCTACGGAAGCTCTGAAGTTTCTCACTCGAAAAACTATTTTGTCGGCGTTTTCGGCGTAGTTTTGCCGGTCGCTTGCTCAACCAATCACACGACAGCCACACCACCTCTGCACATTTTCGATCTCGAACTTCAACCTCAGCGACCGACCGTACTAACGACAACATTACCACAGGACTCATCACCCACAGCCGCCACGATGGTGAGTTGCCCCGAATCTTTGAGCTCGGATTCTTCGCCATGCACTCGATGCATCGACCGAACTGTCTTTGCGATGCAATGGAGTGCTAACAAAAGTCTGCACCGCAGGTCCGCTACGCTGCGACTGAAATCGACAACGCAAAGAGCGCTCGCGCTCGCGGCTCTTACCTCCGTGTCTCCTACAAGAACACTCGTGAGACTGCCCAGGCCATCAATGGCTTGAAGCTTCAGCGCGCCCTCGCCTACCTGGGCAACGTCACCGAGCAGAAGGAGGCTATCCCAATGAGACGCTATGCCGGCGGTACTGGACGTTGTGCTCAGGGTACGTTACAGGACGGAATCTCTTCAAGAAGGCAGAAAAGCTGTTTTGCGGCTGAATACTTTTCTCTGGGTAGAAATGCTTGGATTTGGAATGATATGGCTTGGCATATGTTACAAGGACGGATAGCTGACGTTATGGTTCTACAGGAAAGCAATTCGGTGTTTCCAGGGCTCGCTGGCCCGTTAAGTCTGCCGAGTTCCTTCTTGGACTTCTTAAGAACGCTGAGGCCAACGCCGATACCAAGGGTCTGGACACCAGCAATCTCGTCGTGAAGCACATCCAGGTCAACCAGGCACCTAAGCAGAGGAGACGCACATACCGTGCACACGGTCGTGTATGTTGAATATCAATCAGACTCGTGGGTGTGTTGCACGATTAACACGGTCAATAGATTAACCCCTACATGTCGAACCCTTGCCACATCGAGCTGATCCTTACGGAGGGCGAGGAAGTTATCCAAAAGGCACCGAATGTCGTTGCCCGTGAGCAAGCACATCTTAGCTCCCGCCAGCGCGGTGTTCGTACCCGAAGGGCTCTCACCCAGGGTTAGATGAAATTGGGATCAGGGGATGAATTAAGGTGTAGAAAAACTCATTGGCGAACATGGGCTTAAGGGCACGGAAGCGACTTCCTTATTTTGCATGTTCCTGCATCGGGTCTACGTTACTAAGGTCATAAATAACGACCAATACCATGACGTTCATCATCGCGCCTCGTGATTTGCAATACAGTCCAATCGTGAAATGTATACTGGGTATCATTGCCTGAGTGTTCTATCTTTAAAGCATGCCTCTATAGTCTTGAAGCTCCCGTTGCCTTTTCTTTTTCCTGGTTCATCTTCTCGTTATACGCATTAGGATCCTTCAGAAAACTCTCGTCCCCTGAAAACCTCCATGTCTTCTCCTCGCCCCCTTGTAAGAAACTACAATCTCCATTTGCAACACAATTCCACCCTCCACCGACTCCTTTACCTCTCTGCCAGTCCAACTCCGGCACAGCCTCCGGTCGACTCTCATCCCACGTTTCGACCCCTTCCTGTCCCTGCCCTGCCCGTCGCTCATAAACACTCAAGCTACAAGTTCCCACCCGAAAGTCCTCCTCATTCGGATCCTCCGGCATACGCCCCGTCAGCACCCGCCCCATCGCAATCATACTCGCGGCATGGCTACAAATCAGCAGCGTGCGCGGCGCACCTTGCTCAGCATCGAGCATCTCAATCAGCCTATGCAAGGTATACGCCAGCCGCGCATGCAGCGCCTCTATGCTCTCGCCATACACACTACTCTCAATGAACTTCGTGTGCCCATGGTCGATGAAGTCGAAGTGTGTGCTCAAGACGTCGAGTGCCGCGGGTCGTGGATGGGTGAAGTGGGCGCGGCCGAAGAATTCTGCGAGACCATGCTCGATGCGCACGCGAACGTCTTGTTGCCTTGATTTGCGAAGAGATGTGACTGTGGGCGAGAGCGTCTGGAGACACCGGTAGTATGGCGAGGAGAATATCACGTCGACGGGAGGTTGGATGCTGGTGAGGTGCGTGGCAAGCTCGCGGGCTTGGATCTCGCCGTAGCCGGCGAGAGGTGGGTCGGCGGCAATGCCCGTGGGTGTGCGTACACTGGAGGTGTATTCGCCAGTAGTCGAGTTGACGACCCAGTTGGAGCGATACTGCAGTAGCATTAATTACTGAGATGATTACAAGATTGACGGACACGGAAAGCGCCAGAATACGGAGGACTTACTCCATGTCGAACGACATAGATCTTTTCTAACATAGTACCGTGAGCGCGAATGAAGTCAAAGGGCTGGATGATGGTGTTGAGGGCGAGCGGAACGATTTTGCATTTGAAGCTCTTGGGTGCAGACGTCGATGAGGTACCATGTACGAGGGGTTCATATACACCGAACCGAGGCTGTTTATAGGGACAAGCTAGTAACGAATACGAGTCGACATGCAGATATGTTATGGCAGTTCACAGGCACATTGCATGGGTAAGATTAGAAAAGAAGCTCTTCTTTTTGAGCATGGATATCTTCGGCAAAATTGGTTTGTCTCGGATGTGTAAGACTTTTTGATTTTGAGAACGCCGTTCATACGCGTTCGGCACTCTGTCACTCCAACCAGCTCTATCAACATAGCATATTTTCACATTTCCTAGCGACAGATACTCTAGTAGAAGAAAGCCAAGATCTTGCCGGCGACGTGCTTTCTCCTGGCCTCCTCGTGGTCCATGATACCCGCGGAAGTCGTGAGGACGATGTATCCGAATTGACGGGACGGAAGGAGCTTGACAACCCACTTCTCGAGGTCACCTAGCTGTACGTTGTAGCGGGGGCTGATAACACCAGTCTTGTTCAGACGTCCAAGAAGCTGGACGACGATCTTGCCGTTGCGGTGGTCGTCGATTTCCTCAAATTCACCAATGTATCCTGGAAGTGATGTCAGTATATTGTGACAATTTAAACACTGAACGCAGCAAGTAATGAACGACAGAGTGTAAGATCATCACAGAAAGTTTATTCTTTCGGGCACTTAAAGGGCAAAGATCGTAGGAGAACGAAACCGTTGCCTAGTTATCAGCCCGATTGAGGAAGGGGGAAGGGATGATGAGAAAGTGTGCCCATACCGTGCTTTTGCATGACAGTCAAAGTCTTCACAATGACCTTGGAGGATGGGCGGATCAGGACCTGGCGCTTGCCGGCCTTCTCGGCGTTGTTGATGGATTTGAGCGCATCGTTGAGCACACTTGTCTTGACCATTTTGGCGATGTGATGAGATTCTCAGTGGCGAGTTGCGAGTGAGGTATCTGGTGATATTACGTTAGCCTCCAGAAGCCTAGAGCACAAAGAGTGCCCTTCAGTCGAGAAGGGTTCTTCAGCTCTTGTCGCATAGGGAGATGCGTATCAACTGGACATGCAATATGAATTGCTGGACAGTTGATTGCCCTCCCAGGCTACCTGAAGGGCACTCGGTAATCGAAGGTAAACATACCTCGAAGGCGGGGAGTATGAACGTACTGTTGAGGGTCGTTGTGATCGTTGTCGGTTAGATATTTCGAGACTGCTGCGAAGCAAATTTGGTGGTGTTCGCTTAAGCGAGGTGGGCCCACTTCGGCCAGAAGTCTTGGCATCACCAGGTAGGTGCGGACTCTCCACATCCAAACGCCGACCAGCCGACGCATCGTTTCAATGACATAAACGAAGTGATGATCAGGGCTTATGGCGTCCGAAGTGCAGATGCTCTCTACCTTCCTATATTACTCTGCCCCTAGTACTTACTCCCACTCAAATCCTCAGCAAGACTTTCAACATGAATCCAGAAGTCTGCTGCACCTGCGCGTCCTTGCTGTCAACTATCCCGCCAAGTTATGATGAGAAGACGGAGAAGCCCGCTCAGTTCGAACGGCGATTACAGTGCTGCACGCGTATCATTTGCGTGCGATGCATAACGGATAACCCAAGATTCGCATCGTACTGTCCTTTCTGTCAAGTTACTACCGGTCCATCTATTCTCCCACAAGGCCTGCGCGATCCACCTGCCTACTCGCCACCATCACTCCCCAACCCAAGATATGATTCTGAAGAACAGCCACCTCCGTATTCGGAAGGGGAGAATGTCATGGATGTATCTGGAAAGAAGGTCTGGAAGGGCGATAGTCCTGCAGATGATGTGTTACATTTTGTAGACCACGATAGAGATACCATAGCGTCGTTATCGCTCAGATATGGAGTCCCAGCTGAGGCTCTGAGGAGGAAGAACAGCGTTTTCACTGATCATCTACTACCAGCCCGAAGAGCTGTCCTCATACCTGGTGAATTCTACAAAGGTGGGGTGAGCCTGAGTCCGCGCCCCATTCATGGCGAAGAAGAGGAACTACGAAAGAGCAAAGTTCGGAAATGGATGGTTGCCTGTAAGGTCGCCGAATACGATGTCGCTCTTCTGTATCTACAACAGGCTGAATATGATCTCGAAATTGCAATCGACGCATATAAGGCAGACGAAAGATGGGAAAGAGAGCACCCTCTCCAGGTAGCCAAGAGAAGAAAAGGTAAAGAGTCCTTGAAGGAGAAGAGATGGATTTCAACCGGGGGCCTGGCGAATCAGTTGTGCTAAAGGTGACCTGCAAGATTATCGTATAATGGTATGGGCCACTACACATACGCTCAGGTGGTCTTTCATTTTGTATGCCAGAGTTTGAGGACTGCATCAAGAGTACCAAGTTTTCACGAGCGCCAATATCCTTCTGCTACTTGCACCGATCGTAGAACGAAGATGTTCTCCGTGTAGCCATGGCGACGCTCGCCAGGGATGACCGCTGTGATGCATAAGCGAAGGTCATCAGAAGAAGTCGAAGTGAATCGTGAGATCCACTCGGCGACGGCATAGAGTCACGATTTGATTTTTCCCGCGAATGGTTCGACAGGATTTGAGTGGTTCATGTGCATCTCGAAGGCCAGATTTCGAGAGGAGTCGTTTGAAGCATCGCGGCCTTAGCGCGTTCTGGGCGCTTAGAGCTCATGAACCTATCACTGCGCCGCAAACCAGCTTTGCAAGTACCTGCAGCCCTGCAGCGTTTCGGCAAGCATGCGGGACAAGGATTCTAAAAACAGCCAGCGGTTGAATCTACCTCCGTATTCGTCTGCCTTTGTGTGTCATGCTGCAAGGCTCGAGCCGTCACCCGTTTCTCGACCACCTGTCGTGGAGAGTACATCTTCTGATTCGAAGTTGCGCTGTTCTATCCGCAGGCCCTCTCGCAGGCCTTGAGGCATCTATGCAGGACTACGGAAATTAGCGCCTTGATCCTGCTTCTCGTGTGTGGGAATCATGGACTTTCGTATGGCGCTGTGCCTGGCAGCTACTTGACGGCGGATAGATCCTGGCATCTGCTAAAGGGATCGTCGGGTTTTTCGATACCTCTACGCGCTCATAAGATAGGTATCGACAGGGACTGGGAGGTATTTTTGGAGAGTGGGTGTGGTCACTGCTGCTATGCTACTTCAAATATCCGGAAACCATGGGCTGCTTGGTGTTTAAAGTCACAGTTGCCGCAGTTGTATTCAAACTTCGTTCGTTGTAAGAATAGACGTGGACTATTAAACTGGTGTTTGGTCTCTATCTTCCCCTTCTCCCTCGAACAGCTCTCTTCAAGGGTCTAACTTCATTCATTCAATATACATATTTGATATTTATCTCTCCTTCAGCATTCTCTGATCGTCTATCTCCAACATCAATCATGATGAACACATCGTATTTTCGCATTGCACAGCTGGTTCTGACTGGCCTCACACTCGTCTTTGCAATCGCTGTTCTCGGCACTTCCGCACACACTCTCAGCGTATTCAACAAGCAACATGAGTTCAATCCATGGTGGGCGCCACTATGGAGCGACCACTTCGACGTCAATGGCACAAAGATGCTTCTCGGATCCGCCGTGGTCGTTATGCTCCTGAACGCCGTCTATCTGGTCATTTCCTTTCTTCCAAACGTACGTCTTGGAGACATAAAACAAAGGGGAGAATATATGCTCACATGGCACCAGTTCAACCTCGCCACTCGCCCAACATTCCGCGCTTTCATCACACTCTGCACCGTCCTGCCCTCCGCATTCCTCACTATCAGCGCCGTCGCCCTTGCCCACGTGCTCAACCACAATTCCCCCGACGTCGACACCATCCAGACATGGACATGCAAATTCGGCGCCCGAGACGACAGCGTCAGCGTCAAGGCGCCAAGCGACATCAGCAACGCCGCTTTCCCGAAGTTGTGCACTGAAAGCGTATGTAGCCCTCCCGGCCCCCCTGCTTCCGCCTTCTCGTGCTCAATGACTAAAATTCTTGCAGAAATTCGCCCTGTATACTACGCTCGTGATCTTCTTGCTCCAGGGGATCACGGTCGCTCTGACTGTCGTCGGCTGGATCGCCGAACAGCTGGCTAAGCGTAAGCAGACTAAGGATGCGGAGTGGCAGGATGCGAGTAGTGTCGAGATGGCCGCGCCGCAGTTTCCGAGGACGAGTGGGCCGATTCCGCAGCCGCCGCCTTATTAGGTGGCTGGAACTTGTTGGCTGGGCTTGGTGTGAGTGTGGATAGTGTGAGGGGGCTGACTTGTGAGGTGGTGATTTGGGGATATTTTGCATTGCTGTGCGTTATGGTTGTACGGATAGTTGGGGTTCTGGCGTGTAGAGAGTCTCTTACGATGTATGGTTGTGTAGCTTATTTTGAAGATCTTATGAATGTCATCGTGTCTCATCCACTCTTCAGCTTCATGATACGGAGTCATCAAACTGCATACCAGGCCCGAACTGGTTGATCCTGGACTAGATACTGATACTTCAACTTAGCCAACATCGTATAACCACTTTATCTCTACGTGGATATTTCTATCGAACGTTGCCCACCGGTTCGGAACTGCTTGTTGTCAAACATGAGATGAATACTCACGCTTGTCCCACGGGCCAAAATGGCTAGACTTCCAATACTAGACGAAGATAATGATATGACGAGGTCAACTCGTATAATGTTTAATCCGTACGGTATCGAATCTGAAGCTGTCGAAGTGGAAAGCGATGGCGAGATACGAGAATGGGTGACAGAATCAAGGTAATCTGACAGGTTAAGACGCCGAAACGCCAACCTTATACGAATATTTATGCCTACTTATCAGCCTAGAAATACCTCAACTCGAACGAGAAATTAGGATTATTTGAGGATTGACTTGTTGTGAATTTTTCACTGCAGCACGAACAGTGACCATTTCACAATATCAGGATAGCGGAGATACTTTTTGGGCAGCACGAACGTAAATTTTCATTTCTGCTACCAGTGGTGCCCCCGCGGCGGTGATATCCCAACTGGGATCTTGATGATACAGCTGAAGGTGGGCTGTAGAGGCACTACCTAGAGGCCTCTACACCCACCTGGCAGCGCCCCAATCCGCCTTCCTCGCTACATGCCCAATAATTTACCTTCTGGTCGTTGGAGGAGCGTCGGTTAAGTTCGTTCGGGGGTGTGACGTGTTGAGGTGGTGGTGGTGGGTTGTGGGCTCAATCGTCGTCATCCTCCTGCGCGAAGGGATTCTGTATCTCCTCACTACCATCACAGGGACTGATGATGGTGAGGAGAGTGCCGCGCGCCACCAGGAGGCCGAGGAAGCGCTTGGCTGGTTTTCCCTGCTCGTCTAGTGCGGTGTCAGAGAATATAGTAGATCTATGAAGATTGCGTGTGCGTGTATGGGCATGAAACAATGGGAGCATGACTTGGAGTGAGTGGAGGGTGTGATACTCAGGGACATGCCGCTCATGGCGGCATCTACAGAATGGTTCGCCGTACCTTGAAGTGTCTCCCAAACATCGTCAAGAACTAGGTTCATGAGACCGTCGAAACCTCGGAGCTTTCCCTTGACTGTGAACACACAAATTAGCTCCTGTGCTCCTGTTTGGGACAATCTTCACTCAAGGGTTCACATACTCTCGCGTCCGCCATTGAACTTTACATTGATATCCTTGTCAATGTACTTCGATAGGTCCAAGATGTTCTCTTTCTTGGGGCGTTCTTTCTCTTCGTAATTGTGTGCGCCGCCGCCGCGCCCGCCTCGATAACTGCCGCGCGAACCACGGTCACCGCGATCACCGCGATCGCCGCCTCCACGATGACCACGCGAGGAACCACGAAATGCGGTACGTTCAGACATGATTGGACAGCAGATGTGTAGAGGTTTGGGAGTATAGAAGCGAGGTAGAGATTCAGAGATATTTGCAAGTGCTTTGGAAAACGTGAAGTTTCTTGCGGGGTGTTGTTGGTTGTTAATGTGAGGGAGCTTGGAGCTCGAGGTGGGGAGTTTAAAAAGTGGGGCAGTGCTCTTCGTGCGCTAGTGAAGATCAAGATGTTTACGCCTGGCCTGTTTGCGACGTGGAATAAGGTGAAATCTCTTTGAGTTGTGTATAAACATGAATTATGTATGTTCATCACTTATGAATCATTAAAGCATTGCTCTTTTCCCGCGCGCCATTGTGCCTGTACCAAGTCAACAATACAATGCGAACTATTCACCACAATCCGCCCATTCCTGTTTTTTCAGTTACATCTCCTGCTCCCAGCCCAGCTAAGCCAGTCTTACTGCCCTTCTCCAGTTCGTCCAGCTGTTGCTTCACCAGGTCCACCCTGAATCTCCTGAATGCCTCCTCAACCCGCTGTCTAGTCTCTGGATCCTTTGTTATCGTTTTCGACCCTGCATAGGAGCCCGTTAAGAATCCCGTCTCCCCGCCCACGAAAATTCCTCCAGCTGAGAAGAACAAGTACGTTGCAATGTCTCCGAGAGGTGTAGGTTTCAATAGTGGCGTAAGATCAGGTACTGGTTCTACAGAGCCGTCAATTTGTTGTCCAACACAGAAACTGAGACATGGCACTTACCTGTCCGACCACCCTCAAAGACAATCTGAACAGGCTTCTCGGCTGCTCTGAATGACTTGAACAAAGCCAACCTGTTCTGGCGCAAACGAATCGCAGCAAAGAGGCCCAGGCCTAGACCAACCACCGAGCCAACTGTCGCGTGTGTGGATACCTTTTTAGCAGCATTGGTCAACACATCGCGGTCTTGCTGGCTGAGGTCGTTCTCGAGGTGCTTTGTGGCTGTGTCGGCCAGGGAGTGATTGGGATGACGACGCAGGGCGGCGAATGTGTCGATGGACATGATTGCGGTTTGTTATACGACCGGAGATGTCAGTGGAGAGTATGTATGAGCTATGTCGTGACTGAGATTGAAGAGCTGCGACGGTTGGCTTCAAGACAGTATGGAGAGAAACTTGACAGTATATGAACGCTTGTCGTAGTCTGGAAGCTACTATTACCCAGCTACGGAGAGTCGCGGTACTACGTCATAGAGAAAACAGCCTGCTGGACCGTGCTACGAACCAACAGTTCAGGGCAAGGTCTGCTGCTTTTGAAGGGGATGGAGCACGAACTACACAAGACCTCGCAGTATGTTCATTGTCTGCCGTGCATGGTGACTTGCTTATCGAATCCAAATGTATGATCACTGTAGGTGAGACACCCTGTGCATCAAAGCTCAAGCAGCAGTTCACAGCTTTATCTTGCTCCATAGTGAATTATAAGGAGCCGGCAACATTACGGACAGTCGCGTTCTAGGTCTCCCGGCGCGTAATTATCTTCTCTTGAAGGTTAGCTATTAATCTACATGGCAGGCGACGAAAAGCTGAGTGGAGCACTTGATGCTGCTCAAGGCGAAGATGAATATGACTCCGCTTCCGATGAAGACTTCAATCCGGATAGCGCACCTCAAGATGATGTCTCGAGCTCTTCCGAGGACGAAGCTGCTGCGAATCAACCGTCTGCAAAAAGCAAGAAGCGGAAAAATGATGCCGAACTAGACTCTGGCGACGAGGCCACCATACAAGCTAGACGCAAGGCAACAAAGAAGAGGAAGAAGGGTTCTAAAGAAGCCGGGGGGGATGACGACGACATTGTGGTCTTCTCCGACGATGAAGGCGGCGAAGGAGGCTTGATCAAAACACGGGCTCAGAGACGGACTGAACAGAAAGAGCATCGGAAATTGGCAAAGGTTGACGGTGCTACTATTGATCTCGAATCCGTCTGGGCACGATTGTCGAGTGCGCCTGTGGGTCGAGCCGTCGAGCAGGTCGCTTCGGAGAACGAGGATGGCAAGGCTCATGATAAACCGGTGAATGTCGAGGATAGTGATGACTATATGACTGTCAAGCGGACGTATAGGTTTGCCGGGGAAGTTCACACGGAAGAGAAGCGAGTACTGAAATCTTCAAAAGAAGCGAAGCTATACCTATCTCAGCAAGAGGATAAGAAGGATGACTCGGAAAAGGAGAATGCTGACTCCAATGGTCCGGATGAAGTCGTAGAAGGGCCACCACCTGTTGTTCGGCCCCCGAAGCGTCCATCTCGCTTTGAACCGAACCCGACTGGCTACGTAAAAAATCTGGATCCCAAGTACCAGCGATTCTGGCCACGAAGAGCACCCGTTGCTGGAACCGATCAAGCAGGCATTGTTCCGCAGCCACCACAGCAAGTCAGAGTTCTCGATCCTAAAGCGCAGAAAGTCAACACGGTCGACAAGTCGCGACTCGATTGGGCTGGGTTCGTGGACAAAGAAGGAATTGCAGATGAATTGGACGAGTATGGAAAATCCAAGCAAGGCTACCTTGCGCGTATGGATTTCCTACAAAACGTCGACGCAAAGCAAGAAGATTCAAGGAGAGAGGCGAGGCTGGCCACCCAGACCAAGCCACAGCCAGCAGTCGTGGAATAAAGATTTCTGGAGACTACCTCTACCCTACCATACATACCGAAAGTATGGGTTCTGCTTGTCTGTCAAGTCCTGAAAAGCGAGCTTATCACGCTCGTCATCATTGTAAGACTGCCCAGCTCTCTGTGCGTGCGCATCTCTCGTTCTGTTCTCCTTCCACATTACGAACCAAAGAGCGAGAGTAGCAGCAACAGTAATGCAGTAGCATATTATCAGTCCAGTCCACAGCTCAGGGTAGTGCTGAGCCTTTGTCTCGCTCTTGATCAGCTGAGGTCCGACAATATTCCCAACGCAGTATGCTACGAATATGGCGGCCGCCATGATACTCTTCTTAGTTTGGCCTGCCACATTTGACATGCCCAGCACGATTATTTGGCTTACTACGGCGCCAAACGTCCCGATGAGCGTGTAGCCGATTACTGGACCTACTGGCCGTGGCGGCTCCCACGAGGATTTCCAGATGGTTATACACCCAGCGATGACCGGTCCGGTATTGAGCAGAAGGATCGGAATCATGACGTTCTTGAACCGAGTGCTCAGGTACCCAGACACCAGAATGCTGATGAAACACAATGTCCCCAAGGGAAACTGAAGTAGTATCGACTCCAGCGGCGTATACCCAAAAGTCGAAACAATCAACGGCCCAAAGCCCGCAACTGCCCCATTAATCGTGTACCTACGCAACAGTCAGCACATCCCATCCACCATCATCTCCAAAAACCACGCGCTTACGCAGAAGCCATCATAACAACAACCAACCACACCTTCACATCCAACACCGCCTCCCTCACCTGCACCCCCTTAATCCGCCGACACCCCACCCCCATCATCCCCCTCCTCAACCTCTCCACCCCCGTCCTCCTCTCCTCCACACTCAAAAACCAAGCCCGCCCCGGTCCCTCCGGCACACCCAAACACCACCCCGCAAACAAAACCGTCACCCCACCAGCCATCAAATACACCCCCTGCCACCCCCTCACCCCGCCCTCCTGTCCCTTCCCCCCTACCTGCGCAAACCCATAACTCATCCCGCCCCCCAAAACAGTAAACAACCCCGTACTACTCACCCACAAACTCTGCCGCACAGCCTGCTCCCGCCGCGTGTAGAACCCCGCTATCACGCCCATAAACCCCGTCGGCACGCCGCTCTCCACGAACCCGAGCGCGAATCGCTGCGCGTAGAGACCCTGGTACGTCGTCACGGCGGCGGTCAGCATGCATGTTGTGCCCCAGAGGACGACGAGGAGGCACAGTACGTGTGCGCGTCGGAAGTGTTGCTGCGCGAGCGTGGTCGGGTATAGGCCTGCTAGCATGCCGATGTAGAAGAGCGAGGTTGCCCAGGAGAGGCGTGTGGTGGAGGTTGTTGTTGCGGGTGCGGTGGTGGTGGTGGTGGTGCTGGGGGTGGTGGTTGTGGTTGTGAGGTGTAGGTCTGTTGTCATGCCGAAGAGGACGGCGGAGCCGAGGATGGCCTGGGAGTTGTGGATGTGGCTTTGTTAATGATGATGATGATGATGATGATGATGATGATGATGCTAGGGGAGGTTTACGTGTGTATACAATACCCAGACACAGTCGGCTTCAAGGAGGGTCTTGAAAAAAGGGGAATTAAAGGGGAAAGAAGGAAAAGGGCATATTCACCTTATCGTAATACACAAGTCCATACCCCATCATCATGGCCGGGATGAGAAACAAGTCGATCTTGCGAACAACGCGCCTTTCGACGTCCGGGTCAATGGCCTGTGCATGGTCGCCGACGACTTGGAGGGCAATGTCCTTGCTGTCGTCGTCGTCGTCGTCGTTTGCATATTGTGCTTCCTCTTCTTGTGATGCGGTTCTTGGATCTAGGCTGTGCGGCGGCGGCGCTTCGTGCGACGACTCTGCAGAGATTGGCATCCTTGAGTGTCTCGGTGTCGCGCACACGATCCGAGTATTTCTACACGGGAATAAACTAGTACGACAGTGCAGCATGCATGACGGTCGTTGTTTTTGATCAGCAAAGAGAGTTAAATTGCTCGTGATTTAAGACCGCTTCCTGACTTATATGGTAAAAGCCTGAGACATAAAAATCGCGGTGGTCGATCATTTCCGCTTTGGTATCGGGTGGGCATACTATCACTTTTGTACCAAGACTGCAAAGTGAACCGTCAAGGATTTCGAAATGCTACATGTCGCATTACAAGATCGCTGAGCTTTGTTATAGTGAACGCGTTGTTGATTATTGTTCATAGTACGTAAATATAAGTTGAGCGTGTATGGTGCGACTCGTTAGTCCGATCTCAAGTACAAATGCAATTAATCTTTCGCATCCTCGCCTTTCGTTACCTTCTCACCTCATCCAGGTATTTAGGGATATCAATTCGTCGCAGTTGTCCAAACCCAAGCCAAAAAACCCAGACACAGACCGCTCTCCGTAAGATCATACTATCCCAGGACACACGCCTCAGCCCACAAAGCAAATTCTTGATATCGGATGAGACCCCAAACGCACGCTAAAAGTTATGATGATCGTAAATGATAGTGAAGGATGCAATGAAAGATTTATCGTGTACTACTCCGGCCACGATTGCTTTGGTTTGATTGTGCGACCGCAGCGTCGTAGCTCGGGATCGGTGGAAGTAATCGCTGCCTATCATCCTCCCGAGGCTTTGAGCGTCGATTTTGGCCAAACGGTATCTGACGTTCTCGATCAGGAGTGCTGTCTGGACTTTCATACTCCGGAGGTGCTTCGCCGGCTGGTAATCGTGATGGCGAGAAATTTGTTTGTAGACCGAGTCCAACCTCCGTTTGGTCGTAGCCAGAGAATTCACTCGTTCCTTCGCCAGCCTCACTGCCACCTTCTTGTTCGTCCACGATGCTGAAACGAGTAAGTGAGATATCCGTTGGACTGCGCTGTGGGCCAGGTGAGGTGGGATGGCGTGATCCAAGACGCATTTGTGCACTGGCGCTGCGGCCATGGGTATAGTTGAATCCAGATAAGCCCATCCCTTCCCTGACTCCTTCTCGTCCGCCTTCTAGGAGGATGCTGCCTTGCTCACTACCATATGGAGGTGGCGGAGCAAGACTACCGGTCATTGGCGCAAGGCCCCACTTCTTGACGTTTGCTTCGATAAAAACGAAACCCATCTGACCAAAGTTGACATGGACTTGGCATGGACCATTGGCCCCGACAGTTGGGAAAAAGTTCTGCGTCTTGAGTCCGTGCGTGACATCATCAAGCTTTTTACCATTGCGAGTGAAGAAGACGGTGCCAGTCCGAGGACGGTAACCTACACCAATAACATCGCCCTGGACGAATGCGGGGCCGTACGCGGTAGGGGTAAAAGGCTGATTATATCGACGAGATCCAGGAGAAGTATATGCAACAGACTGCTTGTGAGAGCCTAAAAATGGTTAAGGTCTGCTGAATAGCGATAAATTGAAGGAATTACTGACCTGGCAACCTGAACAATGGATACGGCTTGGTGGTCAAGCCAATGCTTATAGTGGTCGATTCAGGCTTATCGTATATCTTGGACTCCCAATAGTATACCTCGTTCTGCTTGGGGATCGGCAGGTTACTTTGAACGCAGCATTCCGAGTCGAAGAACTCAATCTCGGTTCGACCCTCAACAAAACAATTTGCGATTTCTAGTTCTGGCTCGAATTCCCACGCAGAGACTCCCTTCTCCTGTATTGCCAAAAATTGTGATAAAGAGATGTCGGTCTGGACAGATTCGGGAGGATTCGCTTGTATAAATGCTGCAGTGAAAGAAATATCAGTGTCTGTTTCGCCTTGAATCTTCTGTGAGCAACATACCTTTCGCCCTCAGGTACTCTGTTCGTTGCATATCATCCATTTCTTCCAAAGCTTCCGCCTCTTCTTTGGCAAAAGCCTGCTCGTCATCGTATTCACCGGGTCTGCCTATTCGGTCTAAGAAGATACGGCCCGGACGAGTGTAGCGGAAGAAGTAGACAAGAGCGATGAAGATGCCGGCCAAAGTCGCAGTCCCAAAGGCGGTCAGCATGCCAATAAGGATGCCTTTGCCAGTAGAACTGATGGATTCATGCCCTATCCTGATCGGTTCGTTATATGTGTTTTGCATATTTTCCGGACTCGAGAACATCGTTGGAGGAGAGGATGGTTCATGTTGAGCTGGTCGGTAGGACCGCACGAGAGTTGTGTGTGTTGAGAAGCGCATATTGTTATGCGACAGTGTTATCAGAGGTTCCGGCAGAGGCCCAACTGCCGCCTGAAGCGGATCGTCCTCGTGTGATGATCCAGTCCTAGTTGCTTGGTATGAGCGATCGTGGCACTATCTTGGTATTCACAGAGCTTCGGAATCGTTAAAGGTCGAGTGTACGGATAGCGCTCCCTTGGGTTGCAGACAGGCTTGATGATATCTAAGCAAGAGGGGAAGGAAAGAGAGAGAGGCACAGCGGCCTGCGCGCACGAGTGGAGTAGATTGAGACGGAGAAAGAAGATGGAAATGGGTGAGGTATTGAGGCGAAGAATGTAAAGGGAAAAGGGCGGCGTAAGGGCCAGACAGACGATATTGGGGGTTGAAGCTGGAAGGTGTTTCAAGCGTGACGAAGGGCTGGAGGGAGGAGTCTCAAGTGTCAAGTCTCATGGATCAGAGCACACAAGCGCCCGAGGGCTCAAGCAAGTCTGGTGGCTGATTAGCGGGCCGCGAGTAGTCAAGCGCCCCTTCGCCACCCGCTTGGCATTCGTCTACTAACTAGTACTCACCTCCAGTATCATAGAGATATCATTTAATAGTGTGTCCTATATCTCCGTTGTCTGAACGACCATACAAATTATATATAGTCAGAACTCAGATGCACGTGTCTTTGTGCGAGCGCGTAGCTTTGTGCACATGCTCCTCCGCTGTGCATTGCCGTGCTGTGCATCCACCGTACTCCGTGTAATTGCAAGACAAAGCTATGACATCAGCATCCGCCCGTCTCCATACATTGGATGTTGGGTATTATGATTACATCAACAAAGCATGCATCAATGCTCGATGCAAATTCAATTCAGTTCGGCGACAGAGCTAAACATTACGCATGCTATGTCATTTCGTGGCTTGGCAGCCGATACTTCTTCAGTCATCACAGAGCTTGTTGCTCGTCTTCATCTCGTTTTGCTATAATTACATCGTGATATCACACTACCACGCGTGTCTCGTACGCATGTCCTGTATCTTCCTCTCAACCTCCCGGACCGTACGCTCAAGCTCACCAGCTATCCTCTCTTTGACTTCCCGCTTGAGGATCGAGAATCGCTCACACAGATCTCCGTCAATTACCCCCTTGACAGGAACATAGTAGGATCGATATATAAGATGATCGCGACCTGTCAACGGCGAATCCACACTTCTCATCTCCATCTCCAACTTTTGAAAGAAATCGACGTCGTCGCGTGATGCGAATGGAATAAGTAGGCCTATGGTACCCTGAAATCCAGCCCATAGAATGATGTCTCGTCCGCCCGCGACCAACGAAACTTTTTGTATTGACGTTGGAATATCCTGTGTAAAGTTGTGCACAAGCTGGTCCAGTCTGTGGGATGTACCGCCAAGGTAGCCTTTTTCATGAACCAAATGTGCTCCGCTGCCCTCTTCATCTGCCACCTCTGACACTTTGGATGGGCATCGTACAAGCCATACGTTGCCGAACTTGTCACCACCGGCCACTGTCTCGTAATCCACCATGGTAGTGCAAGTGGTCCACCTGGCGAAAGCATCGTCGCAGAACGATATCAGCCGGTTGTCCGCATATTTGTACACCACGTACGTCACGCTCTCCTGAATGTCAGAGCATATGATTCGTGAGCCTTGGGTCGTGAGCCCAACTAATTTCCGCGGCACAGCTTTGGGTAGTTGTGATTTGCGAAGCAGCTGTTTCATTCCCAGTTCGTAGATTCGCAGCGTATTTCCAACACCTGCCAGAAGGCGACCTTGAAAGCCAAGAAGTGTAAGGGGTGGCTCTTCAACTTTAGTCTTGTGGATGAATTCCAGAGACCTTCCTTCATCAAGGAAGCGATAAATATGAATATAACCACCCTTTGATGAGGGCGGTAAGACTTTCACGTCCACACCGGTACCGACTACCAGAAATGATTCGTCGTCCTGACTTGAAAACGCCGCGACAGTGATGCTACAGATGTTTTCGTTGCCCTCCAAGTGGATCGTTTCCAATACTGCTTTTTTCTCTATCGGATCCACAATTTCAATGCAAGATGCCCAGTGGTCCGTTGCTCGCGGGTAGCCGAACTCCTCAGCTGGTAGCCGATCTTGGTCGGACATTTCGTCTGCCAGAAGCTTCGCTCTGGACGCTTTCGACAGTGTGTTATAGTCGGCCTCGCCAACGTAAAACAAGGCTTGTTCAGGATTCTGTACAAATGCGCGTGGGGTATGTGCCAGCGAGATGGCCTCTCGTATCATGTTTTCCTCTAGTCGGTCGACAGTAAAGATCCTAGCCGCAGCGTTAACATGGGATCATCAAAGAGAGAGGATGTTAAAGGCGATGACGACGACCAACGTCAGAAGGAACAATTGGAATTTTTTCTTCTTTATCCCCATTTGCGACAGAGCAGTAGGTTCAGAGTTCTCATCATGTTGGTTAGCAAAGAGACAAGAGATAATAACTTACCGGACACTCTGACCCTCGATACCAACTATCCCCTCGGTGCAAACTTCACTGCTGAAATTCCAACCAAATTCCAACGGGGTATAGCTCAAAGGCGTCATTTGGAAGGCTTTACTTTGATTGTCAGAATAGCCCAGCCATGATCGAGAGGCTAATGCCAGTATCGCAGGCTGCTCTTGTACTGTTACAGAGAATAGCTTGACAGGCTTGGCACCTAAGAAGCGGGTTCTGGTATCCGAAAGGTCTCCAGTCACTTCATCGACAACGGTGCGCAGATAAACGCCAGAGTAAAGACCGATGTGAAGATACAAGGTCATAGCACCAGACGATGAATCTTCCATGGCCATTATCATCAGCGCAGTTGGTGAAGCTGATACAGCTTGAATCGATTTGCTTTCCAGGCACGTCTCAGGTTCCACGCTTAAGATACGAACAGTGGAATCGTCGCAGCCTACAGCTAGGAATGGACTCCTCATTTTCCCTTGAGGAACGTCACCTAGACTCAGCGAAGTGACAGTGCCGCTCATCTGAGGCCTTTCCTCGTATTCTCCTAGACCGCCAGAATCGGTGTCGACTTCGAAATAGATCAACTCTCCAGAGCTAAGCGCGACTACAACCTGTTTCTCATTGCTCGTAGCGCAGACGATAGTACGATGTTGCGGTACTTCCCATTCTTCCAGAGATCCGCTTGCGCGAATTTGACGAATACCACGAGGATGTATCTGGATGATTGAATCTTCCGCTACCTGAACACCAATAGTGGGAGCTGACGTCAAGAATCCAGTGTCTGTGGCTTCTTCAACAGTCTCTCCGACAGCAAGAACAAGCGTAGCGTTAGAAAAAGAGAGTACAATATATGCATCGTACTGATCAGCGACAGTCTTCTTTGTTGTCCAAACAGCAGAGGGGTAGTTGGGCAGATCTGATGCGACTATTTCCGATACTTCTAGACCGTGTCGGAGGGTCTTGAATTGACTGCGGGCGCCGAGTCCAGAGACGGTATAAATTTGAGGTGCATCTTCGCCTGTCAAATTCGTGACCCTGCATCCAGTCATCGGATTCATGCAAGAGACTGACTCAAATGGTGTGATGTTCTCGTACGCCCGAGGCTGGAAGTATACAGGCTTCATAGGTTCATCTGAGTCCGCTGAGAATTGGTCGCTTGTCCATTCCGTCTCATTATCATCGTCACCAAGTTTCTCAAACTGATACACTCGGTGGTCCCCTGTCTCACTCGCCACAAAGAGGAATCCACTTCGGAGGATTATGAGAGCGGTGGCCAAAGGGACAGTGTCAAAGTATTTGATGGACAATGATTTCTTCGACGGGTCCTCTTCGTCCGTTATGAGCTTGACTTTGAAAAGATCACCATCTTCCGTCTGGAGAAGGAAGAAGAAGTCACCCCGCATCTTGTGCATGACACCAGCAGTGATGTAGCGTTTCCGTCTACTATCTTCAGTAGCACCACCTCGTCGAGGGATCGGGATGCGTAAAGCCTCTTCATCCATGTGGCGATATGAGATGGACTCCTCTGCACAGACCAAGACACCACTGGGTCCATCCTCGCCGCCAGGAACCTGGAATAGCATGTTTGCTGTACGATCAACAGTGTCTGTCCATTTCCTAACGACGTGGTTCAAACCAAGGTCGAGCTGGTAGTAGACAAGGTGCTTCTCTAGTTCTTCGAATGCGCGACCTGAAGGATCCTGATCTGATTCTTCGTAGTCAATCTCTAGAGCGGCAAAGATTGGGTTCTCGTATCCGACATCGACACCTATGAGTGCAAACACTAGTGCGTAGTGTTTGTGTGCCTCGAGTGGCGACGAAATTGTAAGCTCGGCATTAACATTGCGATTTAAGACGTATACGAGCTTGTTCTTCTCTGCTGAAGCAATCATGAGAGCCCTTCCTTTAGGGTCAGCCGCGAGATACTGGCCCGGTATGACACGTCGAACACCTGATTTGCCATATGTCTCGAGGTGTATTCGTTTGAAAAAGTTCCCTTTCTGGATATACTCCAGGATTGTTATTCGCCCTGAGTCACTGGTTACGACTATGTAGTCAAGCAGACTTCCTGCTAGACGTACCGTCGAGATTGATCGTATGACGCTAAAGGTATCAGTAGAAAGTACAGTGACGAGCTTCCCGGTGCTGGCGTTTAACCGCGACAATATGAGACGTGATCCGCTTGCTGACAAAATGAATTGTTCTTTAGTGCCCGCAAAAAGTCCAACAATGGCTTGCGTGATCGCTGACGAAGGCACCAGACTCAGCGAGTACATGAACATGGATGATGTGGTCGCCATTGTGAATTCCGTGAGCTACGCGTCGCGAAAGATCTTGAACCGGAGAATGTCAACAAAGAAAGAGTGGGAATTTAGCCCAAGCCCAACCGTACGCCTGGCTCAAACATATGACGGAGAGATGGAAAAAGATGAGAAAGCACAAAGAAAGCTGTTGTTTTGGTTTCCTGAGGTACGATAAACCCTTAAGTTTTCGCACAGGTGGTCCGAGCTCCACCGGCACGGCAGAATGATGGGCCGCGTCGCGTTTATTCCAGGCTCATTTTCTGTCAACCACCGTGCTATCGACCCAATTGCGCTGAAGGTTTGCCTTCACTGTTGCATCTTCAAGGGTCATGAGCGTGCCTTACACTTGCTCGCGCTGTCTCGTACGGCTCCGGGTATCTGCGCAGAGCTCTCGCGGTCTTTCTAATCCGATCCGCAAGTCCTCCACTCGATCAGTGTCAAAGGGTGACACGCGCTCTATAGGTATTCGTGGCTTCAAGACATCGTCCAGTACTTCCAATGATGGCATATACACCGGCCATGCCAATACCAGCTTTACCAGTGCTCAAGTTGAAACTTTTCCTTCCAAGCTGCCACCGGAGCGCAGACCACAGATGAACCCGCTACTTCGCCCAGACAATTTATTCCACCCATTCTCGAGCTCTCCATCTCCCGATATCCGACGCCGAGCGGCATTTATGAAGCAGCATGCATACTGTCCTCACTCAAGCCACAACGCAACTAGAATGGCGGAGAATCCTGGTGACCCGGAAGCCTCAAAGCCGCGATCGGGTGGAGCTCTTCCAGCTCACGTCCGATACGAGTGTCCAGATTGTGGCATCCCCATTGCCTGTTGTGAAGAGCACTTTATTGATGAATATGAAAAACATTTGGACATCTGCGATACACTGAGGGAGATCAACGAGGATGATCATGACTTACGATCGGAGAGGTACTTCCCTGAGTTCGAGTACCCCGGTCCGACGATGGAAGAACAGTTAGTCAATCTGACTAGTTGGGACACGATGCTTTACACTAGGGATTTCAAGGCTATCGATGACATGCGATCAATGCGACAGACCACCAAATTATTAACATACCCAGTCACAATTGGTAGTGTCCTGCATGAATTCAGTCCCTATAACATAAGGAAAGGAGGTAGACTGACTCCAGAAGGGCTGAAGAGCTTTAGCGGTATGCTACAATCTCACATTGTTAGGAAAGAGGAACTAATCAAGGTCTAGCGTTGCGTTATACTCTTCATCCGCCCCGGGACGGCAGCGGTCCGGGTATCAAAGGTATCCGACCAAAACCTCCACCCGTCCGCATATTCGTTCTGGGTGCAAGAGCAGAGTCGTCACTCCCTCGCGATACCTGGGTGCAACTTGCATACCTATTTCCGCGCGTCACCTTTCACATCATCTTCATTGGCCCGGAGGCAATGGCCAACCGCGATGCCGAATATCCCTTACCGGATCGTACACCCCACAATCCATTTGGCGCTATAATCGAGGATCGTGTCTCTCAGGACATGAAATTCTCGACATATGTTGATTACTACCACACATTACACGAAGCCAACCACTTCTATCCATACGATCCATACTTTGATTGTTTTATGCTGTTCCATCCAGGCATAGGGCATCCAGCTAGCTCGCATGAATGGGAAGACACAATACCTCAGCTCTTAGCTACCAAGGTTCCTATAATCGTCACTGGCTACACTGCGTGGGACATGGAGCGAGATCTGACATGGATTAAATCGAAATGTGGGAATGAGATGGACATCCTTCTCGAACCTGGTGAGAACCGGTTCAGGAGTCTGAGGTGGGATATCAACGATTTGGATCCGCAAGATATTAGTTGTGGGAATTGGGGCGTGTGGGCATTCCGGGGCAAAAGATATGAGACCACTATGAAGGATTGATCCGTCTCAACTCTTGAATGAATGTATATGTAGTGTACATGCAGATTTCAATCATGTATTAGTACTGTACCAGCACTTAGATTCAGTGCGAGCCCATGAAACGAATAGACAACAGACGCAAATAAACTGAGATCACGTGAGTTATATGACGACAGATCATGCAGCTCTGATAGGTGCAAGCGAGCATAATAAGCGCGGTCAGCCCATGTCTACTGCGATACAGTAGCAGGAAGGCAAAAGTGACGTGGTCAGGTATATAGCATTCGGATATAGCTGGCAAATTAGGACATGGGTATTGATACTAGACCAGCGCGGGCGCGTCGGACCCAAAAAAAAGATTCCACAAAAGGAGCCCCACGCTACGGTTGCATCTAAGCCTTGAAAGCTCCGGCATCCGTAACTTTCCAGCAAACTTCCAACAATCATTTCGCTCGTCCATGTTTATCCCGCGCGCCGCCCTAGACGTCCGATATTGCTGATGTCCGGCCGTCGCGAGATGCTCGGCCCGTGATCCGGATGTCCGTCCGTTACGTCAAGAAGCCACGTGAAATGGATGGCAGCGCCCCAGCCTCTGCTTCTGGGCAGTCCGCCAATAATGTAGACGCTGCTGGGATGGCAGCGAATCCGGCCAGTGGGCCACCCACTCGCGTCGATAAGGCGTGCGTACGATGCAGACGCAAAAAGATGAGTTGCAGACCGAGTTCTGAAGAATCGAATCGTTGCCAACGGTAAGCTCCACCAGTCACTACCGGTCGTTGTACATGCGGCACGGTACGCCAGGCGTATCACGTCGATTCACTTTCGCCGTGTTTCGTGCGCTAACGGTTGTTTACTCAGATGTGTGAGATCAAATGAAGAGTGTGTCTTTCCAGAAACCACGGAGAGGCCGAAGAAGCGACGCCGTAAGTTGGATTGTCCATGCCAGTGGTTTCTTCCTATGAAAGACTGCTTAACCACAGCATCGGCTGTAATATGCAGTCCTCGTTTCAAGCTAATGCCTTTCATGATGCAGTACTCAATAGTCGCGTGGGAGCTTTGGAGCAGAACATGGAAGGCATCATGACTTTGCTAGCGAACGCCCAAGCCGCGAATGCGAAACATGATGGAGATGAACCGGCTCCAAGTAGGCAGATCCATGGCTCTGCTAATCCACCACTGCCCCCTGTTCGAGATCATCCGTATCCGGCCCCTACCACTCCCTCATGTAGGCCCGACATGATCGACAAGCTTCTTCTCTCGGAGCAGGCGGCTCTGAAATTGCTTGACAAGTACAAAGATATGTCGGTGCGATTCCCGTACGTCCTGCTACCCCCTAATGTAACACTCGCCGAGCTTCGAGAAACGAGTCCTCTGTTATTACGATCAATGTTTGTTGCTGCTACGTGCTCGACATCACCATCCCAAGATCCTCTGGAGCGAGAGTACTTGTACACACTTACTGTTCATGCAGTCGTGGACGGACAAAAGAGCTTCGATGCTCTTCAGAGTTTGATGGTCTATTTGTCGTGGTATGTACTCAGCTACAGCTATTATACATTCCTTTGACCTTATATAGGTGTCATTGGCATGTAAAGCCTGACCGTCAAAGTCTGTACCGATTAGCATCGATAGCGGTAGGAATGTGTCTTGACCTTGGTCTGAACCGGAAACCTCAAGTCACGGAGGCGCAGGAGATGAATGTCGAGACTCATTGGGCGAAGCAGCCGGCTCTCGCACCCCAAAATAATGAACTTTGGTCTCCTGAAGCTCGACGGATTGTGTTGGGATTGTACAATCTGACAGCAACGTGAGTAGCACGTGAGGCCACTGTGATAGTACGCTCGGTTGCTTATTTTCTTCAGGTGGGCTGTGCTACGAAGAAAAGCCCCTCTCATGAATTATTCAGCATACTACAGTACGTGTGCTCAGTCGTTAGCCGACGAAAAACATGCTCGTACCGACCCAGAGATCGTCATGCGCCTCGAGATTGTAAGGATGTTGTCAACTGTCGCAGAGGAATACGGCTACTATGACCAGTACCAGAGTCCTATCCTAAGCGATGAGAACTTGGAGCTATACACTGCCTCACTGATGACTCGGCTAGACCAGTGGAAAAGTTTTCTACCTCCAGATCCCAAAACTGGCGTCCGTACGTTCGAATTGCTATGGTTCATGCGAAAGTTATGATGCTGATCAGTTATAGCAAAACTCACTTTCGAGTACTACCTCTTCCAGGCTTACGCTCGGGAGATAGCCGTTCACTTTCCGTCAAAACTTCACGAGCTCTCCATCAATCGCGCCCGGATGCTTTCAGAATGCCTAAAGTATTGTGGCGAAAGTCTAGATCACATCCTGGCAACACCGCCCTCAGCATTGGTAGACTTCACCACTACCCAGTGGTGCGGTGCCATATACGTCATTATCCTAGCCAGCAAAGTGGCAACTTGTCACCATTCACCCTCATATAACATTGGCACCACCAGAAACATCATCAGACTCGAGCGCTATCTGGATCTGATAACCACCAAACTCGAAGAGGTTAACAAAGTCAGCACTCCCACCGGCGCACATGTATTCTGGTGGCAGCATTTATTACGCATCATGGACTCCATCAAAGCACAATACCTCCACGCTGTAGCACAACACGAAGAGGCAATGTCTGCTGTACAAAGACAACAACAGCAGCAGCAGCAGCAACAACAACATAATCATCAGCACCATCAGCAGCAGCAGCTTGACCATGCCCAACGACACACATATGACCGCATGCCGTATAACCCGGTCCAGGCAGTCCAAAATCATCCGCCTCACCCAGAAGATGATCCGCGGATGCAGCATATGTCAGCATTGCAATACAGCATTCCCACAACGACTGCACCCGTGTTTCAAACCCTTGGAAACTACACATACAGCACCCAAGGGGGCATTTCTGGCGGCTGGGTGCCACCGGCAGGAGCGAACGAGTATATTTCCTGGGAAATGGGGAACTCATTTTTGGGCGCGCTCTGACGTGCTTTAGAAGCTCGTCTTGATGACTTTGTAGGATCTCTTCTCTTTTCTTATCATTACTTTGCATCCCTCCTTGGAAAGAAGGAGAGTTGGCGATTTTTTTCGGGCTTCAGTGGCTGGTTCATGAAGCGTTTCGGTGGCAGGGTGTCTGGAGCATCTAGATGAGTATGTAACAGTTCGGTTCCATAGTAGGGTATCTGAATAGAATGAATAAGATCAGGCGTAGGTATGGAGTCGAGTGGCTTGGTATGCCATCGACTACTATGTACACACTATATCATATCGAATTTGGGCTCATGGTCCGGCTTTTTCCATCTTTCTATGCTTTACGTCACGGCCTTTAGACTCTGGGTTAGAGGTAAAAGGGCAACATTCTTACCCTTAATTCAAGACACGTCTATGATGACTTCCATGGTAGTCGCTAACACAACTCAGACGGTTTGGCACCAAATTACACCTTATATTGCTCTTTTTCGCCTTTCTCCAACGCACACCACCCACTACGCCGTCTCTGCGCTCTCCTTCCCAAGACTGTCCTCTGCATCTAGTCTCCCGTTCCCTGAAGTTCCCATGGTTGCCGGCTGACTCGCCACCGCCTCCAACACCTCGATCCCGTCGTCCATGCGCGGGCCAGTGTAGTTCTTGCGACCATCCACGAACCACTGCACAGTACTGATGATGAGCACAATGCCAAACGCCACGACGCAGTAGTTCATGCTGCTTGCGTCGACAGGGAGCTCGGGCGGAAAGAGGAAGAGCACGGTCGTGAGGAGTACATACGAGATGCCCAGCTGCGGCCGTTATCAGCAGAGCAACACACCTACCTAATAAAAGGGGCAAAAGGCCAAAAGACAAAAACAAAACGGGTAAGAAACAGCAAGACTCACCAGATTCGCAAACCACGCAAACCACGCCGGCAACACGAATTTGCGCTGGGGCAGCATGGCGCGGCCGCGCAGACAGTTGATGGCTATGGGGATGGCGTAGCTGACGCCGAGCGCGACGACGCTGGCGCTGATGATGGCGTTGAACGCGCTGTTGCTGCCGAGGAAGATGCAGCCGAACACGACGACGAGGGCGGTGGTCAGGATGAGGGCGTTCAGGGGCAGTCCGAGCACCGGGTGCACGCGCGCGAAGACGCGGCTGGCGGGCAGGCCGCGGTCGCGGGCAAAGGCGTATGTCATGCGGCTGCTTGTAGTCATGATGCTTGTCGTGGCGAAGAGCAGGCAGATCAAGGGGAACATGAGCAGACACACGGTGGCGGGTCTGCTGCGGGTAGCGTTGAAGAGGATCTGGCCGAGAGGACCGGCGGCAGAGGAGATGATTGTGTGGGCGTCGGCGCCGGCGACGAAGAGGAGGACGCTGAGGAAGATGAAGCCGGTGAAGAGGCCGATGGCGACGCAGGCGATCATGATCTTGGGGCCTTCGGTGGAGGGGTTTGGGATCTCCTCGATCATGTGGGCGACGGCGTCGAAGCCTGTGAGGCCGAGGCCGCCTTGGAGGAGGCCGAGGAGCCAGGCGATGCCGTCGGGCCAGCCTGTTTCGTTGATGAAGAGGCGGTAGACGAAGGCGCCGGAGGAGAAGTTTGGGGATGCGGTGGAGAGGACGGTGATGCAGATGACGACGAAGCCGGTGATGGACCAGGTTATGGCTGCTTTGTTGACGTAGGGGAGGGAGGAGTTTGCAAAGGCGTTGATGAGGAACGCAGCGATGTTGTAGCCGATGTATATCAGGAACTGATGCCACCGTTGAGGCTCGTAGGATGGAGAGTAGAGCGAGATGATTCCTATGATGAGTTGGGAACCTAGAAGCCCGCCGGATGCAACGAGAGCGATCCAGCCAGAGACATTGATCCAGCCAGTAATCCAAGAGAGGAGTGGCACCCATTTCTTCCAGGATATCACAGCAACCCAGTGGTATCTGTAATGACATTAGCTTTACGTACACACGTTTTCCACTCTCAATCCTTCAAACTGCACTTTATAGCAGCATGATTATAGGCAAAACAAAATTCACATACTGTCCTCCCGCAGTAGGATACGCGCTCAAGAACTCTGCCAGACTCGCCGCCAGACATAGATTACATATGCCCGCTGTAACCAGTCCCCATATCACACTTGTACTCCCTCCACTGGGCAATGCCAAGCTCAGCGATGCACTCAGCGCAGTCCAGCTGTTCAGAATGGCAAACGCAAGTCCCAGCATAGCCAACGGCGAGAATGAACGCTTCAACTCAGCTTTATGCCCGAGCTGCGCCAGCGTCTCATCATCATGAGCAGCATTCGTGGCCATAGTGAGCCCCGGCTGTGACGATACTCACGACCTTCTATGTCCAGTCAGTGAACGGTGAATGAATTGATGGACGTTGTCCTAGTCGGAGATCGTCGAGGGATGAACGGTGGCCAAGGAACAGACGCCGTCCCGCAAGAGAGCCAGCAAGCGTTTTTGAAAACCTCGAGGAGAAAACCGGGTATCAAATGGACCCCGGACATCAGCTATAACGGGACAGTGATATGTGTCGAGTCGTGTTAGTCCGAGATAAGCCTGCCGTGTGCGCGGCCCCAGGGCCCCCAGCGGATCCGGCCGTGGGGTATCCACCGACGTCAAGAATGCTGGTCGCGTGCCGTCGTCTCGGGGAGTTGTGGAACTGCTCCTTGGGTGTTTAATTGGACGTGTCGTATTACCAGGAGCTTTTGGCCCTGCACGACCGCTTGAGGCCTTCTCTCCTTCAAACTTTACCCTCTCCCTTCATCCCTCAACCCTTGATATATAGCTTGAGACTACCAAGGCCGCGCAAGGCCCCACCAGCCTTACGATGCAGATCCGTACAATCAGGAGTTAGACCCGTAATCGGGACCAGCTCCCGTGCATTCATGTGGGACCCTGGAGCTGAAGCTGGTTTGCGTAGAGAACCAGTAAGCTTTGTCTTGGCAGATCTGCACGAAGCTTATTCAATCCCGAGACCTCCGTCAGCATACACCAGCCAATCTTACTAAGAGCAGAGAAAACATCATTTGTCATATCGTATAGATCCGCGATGGATGAGTTCGTGATGGCATCAGAATTTCGTAGTTGGCTATGTGAAAATATTGATGATATGGCGAAGTAGCGGACTAGCATTTGGTAATAACATTTTTGGTTTTCGAAAGGGCTGGAAACTGCGTAACTGCCAGATGGAAGAACATTGTGGAAGACTTGGAAAGGGTTGGTTCAGGAGTAGTTGGGATTGATATAACGAGATGAGGCGCCAGGGCAGTACAGAACTGAGTATCGAGAGGCCGGACAGCGGAAATTGCACTTGCTGAGGCTGTGGAAACTTGGTTATTCTCTACTGCGTATGCGAGGAATTGACTCTAAGTGACGATGTAGCCCTCAAAAACTACGTTTATGGTAGACATTGTTGTCACTTTTTTGCAGAGGAACTCATGAACTGGCAAAGTAGGTCTAAGATCCTGCTTGGACAAAGGATACGGTATGATGAAAAAGCAGTTTGCTTCTAATATTATGTCAAGGTAAGGAGGTGAAACCATCTGTTGCTAGGGTTTGTATACATATACAGGCATCCTCTCGACGTAGGAACTGCTAAATAGTGGTCTTGGTACAATGTTGATCACGAACTAAAGGAAGAAGAATTGTAATATCCGAAGCGTCTTGCACTTACATTATCCATGCTACGATGTTGAAATTCTCGTCATAACAGAGCCCTGCAATTCGCATCACATGCTTTGAGAACACCCATATTGAATATTTGGTCTCTTCAAGTATTTTCTCCCTATCCTGCATACTCTTATTTCCGATTATCTTACACCAACATCCCACTCGTAGTCCTCCGACATCTAGTCTACCCTCAGTTCATACGTCCAGAACCTGCTCGGCGCCTTCTTCGGCACCGTTGCATCTCTTTGAGCCCTCTTCGTCTCCGGAACAGGGGCTGTCTTAATGCCCCTTCCCTTTGCGAAGTTCGGCTTGACTTTTCTCTTTGGCTTCTGGGCCTCCGACTGAGCCTTCAAACCCGCCGCCTGATCAAACTTCTCCCTTGATCTGTCCGCCTTCTTAATCTTCGCTTCCTCTTCATCCTTCTCACGCTGCTGTCGTCCAATCTGAGCCTCATACTCTTTCACCATCTTCGGTATCAACTGCTCTTCGTCGATGATCTTCTCAATCCGGTCATGTAGATGTTCACGCACGATATCCTCGATTATCTCATAGATGCGGTCGAATAAGTGCCTGCGGACCATCGATCTCATGTAGCTCTCCATGGTCCGGCCTGCTGGTCGTCCGTCGAGGTAGCTGCGGAATTCGCTTCTGACGAGATCGGCCTGGGCATCTTGAACTGTGGGTGACTTGCATAACTGGGATTCAGGTATGTTGGATGTGGTGCTGATAACACGGCTGTGGGATTTCTTGTTCAACGCGTGAATGGTCGGTGCGGACAATCGCCTCTGATTTCTGGTATCATCAGAGGAGGTAGACACATTAGTGTCTGGGCTGTGACCGCGTGAGAGTCGAGTGTATTCGTCAAGTTTGTTGTCTGGTGGAGGGTTGTGCGATTCACGGATGTACCCTGGCGAGGAGACGTCTGTAGTGGAGCCACAGTGGGTAGAACGAGGTCCAGATTTTGGTACAGTCCGTTCTGCTCTGGCGTGTTTGAGTGATTTGTCCCCTTTGTGGACGCTGTTCTTCTTGACTCCAGTACCCTTATAAGTTGACATAGCTTTGGAGCGTGGAACCAGGGGATTGGCATGTGAAGTCTTTGTTTTCTTTGCTATGGCTTGTGCGAGTCCGTCCAAGGCTTCATCATCTTCGTCATCAGTGTCTGACAAGAAATTTACTCTTGGTCTTTTCCCCAACTTAGATTTGGTGCTGGTATTGGGTGCGGGCACCTCCTCGATGTTTTGGCTGTGGGGATTAAGGATGCGAGATGAGGAAGAATACTGTTTGAGCGTCCTTGGTACTAAATTTGTTGGCTTCTTGGAAGAATTGGCCGGTTCTCCAACTTATCTTTACGAGCAGACTCTCTACTCTGGAGTAGTGCAGTCTCTGGTCCAGTCCGTTTTTCAAGAGAAGATACAGCTCTGTACATTGGCGAATGAGGGTTGACATGACTCTTCTTCTCATGTGCCTTGGTTCTAGATCGTGCATCAGTAGCCTGCTTCGTTGCAGCAGCCGCTTGGGTTGGCTTTTTTGCCATCTGGAAAGAATCAGGCGCCTTTTTAGACTTGGAAGTCACATGCTTGGTCTTGGTTTGATCATTTGACATCTGCTTGGGGTTCAGTCCTGCAACCACGCCGGTAGCAGTCAGATCAATCTGCTCAATAAGTCGTACAGGCTGGCGCTTGGCTCGGGGTGGGCGCTCCATATCATATAAGTGAGATAGAAAGTCAAAGAAAAGTTTATGACTGATGGAAGAAGTACTATTTTGCCTAGTAGTTCGTTGAGATGTCTGCAGACGAAATTCTGATTGGGGTTGGCAAATTTCAAGACAGCATGGAAATGAGATTTCGAAAGACTGAAACAAGGGACCCGATGTCATCACTGTAAAATAAGGTGGCAAAAAGAGTTTCTATTGATAACGACAGGGTGTCCTTTGATAGAACAGCGAAGCTTTTGGTAAACAGTACGAAGGTGCACGGGAACTCCCGCTATAATTTAGCGAATGGGATGCTGTGAACACTGTTTGAAAGAGTAGAACAAGGGAAATTGTCGTGCTGTTTCTTACGGTGGTGGGTTCAAGTCCAACCCCTCGACGTGTAACTTGAAGGCATCATTGCGTGAGTAGTGTCCCGCTACATCCAGATCAAGGCGGCCCCTTTCACAATCTTCGAAATCCGCCTCGACGATAAGCAGACCGGCATCCTCAACTTCCCATTGTGGTCCAGCGAGCACTTCACCAAGAGGAGATATGATGCAGGAACCGCCCCTTGAAACGAAGTCATCACCATCAGAGGACTCGCCTGTGAACGTTGCGGAAGGTATGCTGGTACCATCAGGGACTGGCCAGCAAATCTCATGCCGTTCTTGCGTTTCAGAGATAAATGACTTGCGGCGCTGTCGGGAACCTGTTGCGCTATCGTTTGCGGCCGCAGCAGATTTGGCACCTATAGTAGACCAACTCTCTCCATCGGCTGACTCTGTTGGCTCCTCTGGAACCGGCCAGCAGACCTCATGGCTGCCCTCAGCTGTGATCATAGATTTACGACGAATGCGTGGCTGTGAACCTTGAATAGAAGTCGACTCGATATGCTTGCCGTCTTCCTTTTCATTGCTCTCCCCTGTAACCCAGGAAGGCAAGTGCCTGCGACGTACACATTGATTCGAGCTCAAAACAAAGGCTCTAGATTCACATCCAACAGTTCGCATCAGCGATAGCCAACTATCCCGAGCGTCTGCAGTTGGTGCAAGATAGAGATTGACATTTTGCGAATAAAGACTTTGCCTGAGGAGGGGCATGTAGTTCTCCCAGCATATTGCAGCTGCTAGGGTAAGCTTTACGCCATGGATGACTGTAGTGACAGCTTTCAGAGTGCTGGGGCTACCCTGTGCCCATATTAATCGTTCAGTACCAGTCGGCATCACCTTTCTTCTTTTCCCCAATACTCCTTCGCGTGGACAAACGTAAACAACGGCGCAGTAAAGGCTCCCAGCCGCTTTTTCCACCAGGCCGGTGACGACGAACACTCCTGTCCTCTTCGCGATTTTTTCCAGCTCTTCTCTGGTCCCATCTCCTCTGAACTTTGAGCCTTTTGCTAGCGGAAGCTTTCGTAGGACCCAGTCTTCGCCAGCTCCCAATGGCGTGTCGCCGAGATCAACGGCCGAGTGAAAGTATTGCAGAAACTGCTCACGGCCATTAGGATCGCGTGCACCGACTGACGCTCCAAAGCTACAGGTCCGTGGATAGCCTCCTAGATATGCCTCGGGAAATAGTATCAAATCAACTCCAGACTGTGCTGCCGTCTGCGTAGTTTTCTCAAGATCTGCAAGCGTTTCCGTGGTATCGGACCTGGTATAGCATTGAGCCGTGGCTAGCTTGAGCTTCTGTGGCATTATTGATATGTTTGTTACTTAGGTTACTCAGTATGACTTTGAGTATCGTGATGAACAGACTTGAGTTCAGGGTGGTGATAGTTGAGGAGTTCATGGATGTGTAGTGCGGGGTCAATCCATGAAACTACGGTTCTTTTATCCCGGACACCTTTGGAGGTCTTAGCGAACTCCTAAGAAACACGCGATACTGACGTTTGACCTCAAGCGGAGGTGAATTGCTGGCTCATCGTCACATATGTTCCTATATGAAACCCTGTTACCTCATACTGTACAGAGACAGAATTAAGACCACATGATGTCATCGGTAGCGCAATGAATGTGCTACTAAACTGCTATGAACAGCGGGCATTGGATGTCATACTCCATTCAACAAATATCCAAGTGTTTAATGTCATGTCGCAACCGTGAACAAATCTCATAGGAGTAGTCTTGGACCACGAATTAAAAACGTCGTTGTCGCATTTCCATGCCCCACTTTTCCGATATCGGGAGCCGGCGCGCTAAGCACACAGCTCCGGCTGCTGTAAAGAGCTTCACCGCTAGGTTCTCTTGTCGCATTCCAAGAACATCTCTCTAAAAGCTCAATTGAGAGTCGCTATTCATGTCGGCATCTCTCCCAGGTAGCCGCGAGCTTCCAGCGTCCCAGTATGATCTCAGCACGTACTGGGGTCGCGTGAGGCATTCTGCGGATATCTCAGACCCTAGGTGAGGTTGCTTCGCGCTGGTTATGCTCTACACACAACGTGTGGTGAGTACCATTGCTGATACTCCTTGATTCCTTTTTGGTCGCTCTGAGATCCATTTGGCTAACAGATGTATGGCAGGACGCTCTTTACATCAGCACACGGTCTTCAACATGCTAAAAACCTCGTTTCCGCATACAAAACTGGCCAGATACGGGAGATGAACCAGGATCTATGGCAAGCAAAGAAGATAATAGACTCTACACTACACCCGGGTATGGTGTTCATATGGCCTCAGTAAACACGATTCTGACCCCTATAGATACTGGCCAGCCAGTCTTTCTACCGTTTCGCATGTCCTGTTTTGTTCTCTCAAACTTGGTAGTCACTGCAGGCATGCTCACGCCTGGAATGGGGGTAGGTTTAACTCTGAGCGATGCGTCTTTTACCCAGTTCTAACTCTCTCTTCTTAGACTGCTGGTATATTAGGGTGGCAGATAACTAATCAGTCTCTGAACGTTGCCATCAACAGCGCAAATGCGAATAAGTCGACACCCCTGTCCACCTCGACCATGGTCAAATCATATTTTCTAGCCGTAGGAGCATCATGCAGTGTGGCTCTAGGATTGAATTCGCTAGTCCCACGGCTCAAAAAATTGTCGCCGGCAGCCAGAGTGACTCTTGGGCGACTAGTACCATTTGCGGCCGTAGCCAGCGCGGGTGCCCTCAATGTCTTCCTCATGAGAGGCGAAGAAATTCGTACAGGCATCGACGTGTTTCCCGTTCTTAGCGACGAGGAGAAACAGAAGCTGGAGGAGAACAACGAGACTGTCAAATCACTCGGGAAAAGTAAGAAGGCTGCGACCATCGCCGTGGCGGAAACTGCAGCGAGCAGAGTCTTCAACTCGACGCCTATCATGGTCCTGCCTCCTTTGATTCTAGTTAGGCTCCAACAAAGGGATTGGCTCAAGCAGAGACCGAGGCTTGTGTTGCCAGTCAATATTGGTAAGTCATTCCTATTGCCATTTGGAAAGGTCGCTGACATTATGGGGTAGGGTTAATATTTGCAACATCTATATTTGCACTACCCTTGGCTCTGGCCGCATTTCCTCAAAGGCAAGCGATATCAGCCAAGAGTCTGGAAAGCGAGTTTTGGGGCAGCGGTGGGAAGGATGGTATGGTGGAGTTTAACCGCGGTATCTAGTAGTGAATGCGGCAATATCCTGGGCAGTGATAGAATGGATTTTCCTTGTGAGCATGTAACGCCGTCTAGGACAGGTGGACAGTACTTTCTTGTGTGGATAGCTGCGCTACAGATCAAGGGTCCGAATAGTAGCGCCATGGGTAATACTGCTTCAAAGGGCAGCAGTGGCAGTCTATAGGGATATCTGCATGAAATTCGACAATAAGAAAGCTATAGATTGTATAGATACTTGCTAATCCCGCTACTGTGACATACATGTATCTAATAATATTTGGCCTAAGCTTCGGGCGTGGGTTCTTGGCGTGTAAAGTGTCCTCAAAGAAAGTGATGAAGCCAGCGTGGCCTGACGACCGAACAACTACAACTTTGGCGCTCCCCTCTGCCCACCTACATCAGATGGCCCATAGCTTGCACCCAGTCCCATAAGAAGCATCATCTCCCCCACTCCTACCCTCAATTCTTCGCTGGGACAATTCTCTCATCTGTGAAGCTCATCCAAGCTTTCTCTACACCTCCGAGATCTCCGCAACCTCCGCGTAAACACACGTAATGGCCCCTCCAGGGCGGCGGCGCGGCCTACCATCGACATGTACCCTTTTAGTAGGGCTTCTGTTCTTCTTCGCCAGCACCGCCTCAGCTGCTTCTGCTGTCCTAGGTATTGATTTCGGTACTGAATACATCAAGGCAGCTATAGTCAAACCCGGAATACCCCTCGAGATTGTCCTCACGAAGGACTCGAAAAGGAAAGAAGCCTCCGCAATCGCGTTCAAGCCCTCCAAGTCTACTGGCCAAGGCGTCGTGTATCCGGAACGAGCGTATGGTGGTGATGCTCTTGCATTGGCCGCGCGCTTTTCTGGCGATGTCTACCCCAATCTGAAGCCTCTCCTAGGCAAGCCGCTACAAGACCAATCGGTTGTAGATGACTACCAAAAGCTTCATCCAGCGCTTCAGCTAGTGGAAAGAGACGGTCGTCAGACCATAGCATTCAAAAGTAAGAGCTTTGGTGATGATGGACAGGCCTTCTCTGTGGAGGAACTTTTGGCCATGGAGCTTCAGAATATCAGAGATAATGCGAAGACTATGGCCGGAAAAGGCACAGACGTTTCCGAAGTTGTTTTCACTATTCCCCCTTTCTTCACGGCCGATGAGAAGCGTGCCTTGGAGACTGCTGCCAACCTGGCAGGCTTCAAAGTTATTGGGCTCATAACGGATGGTCTGGCCGTCGGCATGAATTATGCGACAACGCGAACATTCCCAGACATCACGAAAGACGACAACAAGCCTGAATATCATCTGGTCTTCGACATGGGGGCTGGCTCGACTAGTGCGACAGTTCTTCGCTTCCAAGGCAAGACTGTCAAGGATATCGGAAGGTTCAACAAAACCGTTCAAGAGGTGGCAGTACTAGGATCGGGCTGGGACCGGACACTTGGTGGTGATGCCCTCAACGCTGTCATTCTCGATGATATGGTCACCAAGTTCAAAGAAAGCCCAGGAGGCAAGGCTCTTAGTGCAACCACAGAAGACATCAAGAAGCATGGTAGAACAATGGCGAAGTTGTGGGCTCAATCTGAGAAGTCACGCCAGATTCTGAGCGCCAACTCTGACACGAGTGCCTCCTTCGAAAGCCTCTATGAGGACGTCGACTTCCGCTACAAATTGTCTAGAACGCAATATGAGGCAATGACGACTGAATTCGCTGCGAGAGTTGATGGTCCAATCACTCAAGCTTTAGCGCAAGCAGAACTAAAGTGGTCTGACTTGGACTCCGTCATTCTGCATGGAGGAGCGGTGCGGACACCTTTTGTTCAAAAGCGTCTTGAAAGCATTGCCGATGATAAGTCTAAATTGAGAAGCAATGTCAACGCTGATGAAGCTGCCGTTTTTGGCGCTGCGTTCAAAGCGGCTGGCCTGAGCCCCAGCTTCAGAGTTAAGGAAATTCGCGACTCTGATACGAATGGCTACGCCTCCGGTGTACAGTACATTTGGAACCTCAAGGATCGAGTTCAGAAACTGTTCACTCCCACCTCCCCGACTGGAATTGTAAAGGAAATTCCGTTCAAAACGACGGACGAATTCGAATTTACTCTTTGGCAAGAGATTCCGACCGCCACTGATCAGACGGTTCGGTCTCCGGTTGTTCAGGGCCGTACGGAGAACATGACAGCAACGGTGTCTAAGCTAGTTGAGGATGGCTGCGACCGCGAGGAGATCGAGACCAAGTGGTTGGTTCGTATCAATCCCGTGGACAATCTTCCGGAGATTCTAAAGGGCTCGGTAAGCTGTGAAGTTGAGGACACTGATAAGGGTGGAGTTCTCGGTGGCGTGAAGGACTTCTTAGGCTTCGGTTCGAAGAAGGGTGACCAGGAACCGCTCAAAGAAGGCGAGGAAGCACCGGCCGAAAACGTGTCTGCATCGTCTTCAGCTGAAGAGCCAGCCCCTTCTGCTGACACTAAAGTCGACAGCAAAGTGAAAGAGCCAAAGAAGAAACGTGTTTCCTCCGGCATCGCGGTGACGACCACGGCGCAAGGCTATGAAAAGTTCACAAAACCCGAATTTTCTGCTATGAAAGACAGGTAACATATGCCTTTAGAGTGTTATGAAAGCAACCTAACGTACGCAGGCTCTCCGCATTTGACAAATCTGACAAAGGTCGTCGGGATCGAGCGGAATTGCAAAATTCACTCGAAGCATATACCTACCGCACTCGCGACCTACTTGAGGACGAAAGCTTCATCGCTGCGTCTACCGCAGAAGTTCGGGACAAGCTATCGAGCTCACTCTCTGATATCAGTGACTGGCTATACGGCGAGGGCTCTGATGCTACCAAAGAGATCTTGAAGGAGAAAATGAAGAGTCTGACCGATGTTGTTGATCCGATAATCAAACGACGAGACGAATCTGTTAAGCGGCCTGAAATTATCAAGACTATGGAGGAGTCACTTCGGCAAACTAAGTCCATGATTGACGCGATAAGAAACAGTATCGCGGAGGCCGCAGCATCAGCAGCCTCGGCTGCGGAAGAAGCAGTGGTTGGCACGCCTAGCGCTGATCCTCTGGCTGAGCTCGATGAGGACGAGACACCCAAGACCAAGCCCTCGAAGATGGACATGGGTCTGGCATACACCGAGGATGATCTGGGTGTCATCGAGAAAGCGTACGAATCTGTTGAGAGTTGGCTTGCTGAGAAAATGGCAGCACAGGACAAGCTGGCTTCCCATGAAGACGCCGCTTTCTCAGTCAGAGATGTCGAGGGCAAGGCCAAAGAGTTGACTGAGGCTACTATGAGCATCTTGCAGAAGAAGATCCGGGATCAACAGCAGCAGGAGAAAGCCAAGAAGTCGAAATCGAAGTCGAAATCTAAATCGAAAACCAAGAAACCGACATCGACATCGACGTCTTCCGATGCTGAACAAGCAACTCCACCAGTCATTGAACTCAATGTTGATCAGAATGGTGAGCCTCCATCGGCAGAGAAGATCCAGAAGATAGTGGATGAAGCCGTGAAAGGCCAAGAGGCAGAGAAACAGCATGTTGTGGACGAACTATGATGATCTCCATGTAGATAGACTAGACGACGTTGTATACTTAGATGATATTCGCAAACATTACTTGAATGATAGCAGGATAGTTGGAGCGCCGCGTAGAATACCTAGCCCACTAAGTGACAATCCATGCCATTTGTGCATGTTTACGCGACTTGCACCGCGAAAAACTGCCCCGCCCGAGCTCCGCAGAACTCTTGCCTAGTTTGGAGATTTCATAGCGCAGGGCTTGATTCACAACACAACCTCAATTCACCCACATCCAGAGTCTGACCGTGCAGCTTCTGTTTGTGCGCGCGACTTCCATATATGATGTCATCGTCGCCCCGCGAAGATCACGGTCCTCCCTCAAAGCGAGCTCGCCTTTCTCCCTCTGCACCTTCCCTTCATCCATCGCAACCTGACGCTATGGAGCTCGACAACGCTCCTCCAGCTGTAGCCACAAAAGATACGGCTCAATTGGACGGCCCGGAGCCTCGTCTCGTGCTCGACACCCAAGATAATGCACCTCAACCAACTGCTGAATCACAAGTCTCGAACCGTGCTCAGCTAGAGAAGGCCTCGGAGCAGCGACTTGTCACTACGCATACTACTGCCGCCATTGTCTCGAAGGAAAGCCGTGTTGGGATTACCCAGTATGTTGTACCAGATACCCGGGGATTCGAAGGTGTGCTCAAGCAGCGTTATACGGATTTCTTGGTCAATGAGATTCTGCCCGATGGAGAGGTCTGCCATTTGACGAGTCTCGGAGATGAGAAGCTTCGCGACCGTATCGAGGGTTTGATGGCTGAGAAGGTCAGAGAGGAGTCTGCGCAGAGGGAACGGCACCTGCTCGAAATTGAAGAGAAAAAGAGGCAAGAGGCGAAGAAGCAGGAACAGGAAGCTAAGGCAGCTGAGGAGTTGAAGCAGGCTGAGACGAAAGAGTCTGAGGTTCTAGAGGAAACGCAAGCTACAGATGAAGCTGTTGCTACAAATGGCTCGAATGAAGGACCAGACAGCAATGGCGATACTGATGCTAAGCACGAGCAAGGAACGAACGACGAAAAGCCTGACGAAGCTTCGGTAGTTCATGATTCCAAACAAATTTCTGCAGACAACATTCTCATCCTGAATGATCTTTTCGGCGATCGAACTGCTGGAATCCTGAAGCTTAACAACAGCGTGCTCAAACATCCCGACTGGAAAGCACGCGATTTCTCACAAGTCAAAGTCGGAAAGCTTGCTGATAAGGCGCAACGTACCAGAGCTCATCAAGCTATCCGCGACATCTTCTCCGGTCGGCTTGAAAGTCTGACAGAGAACGATGGCAGCATGGTAGTCAAAGCCATGCCTCCTAGCCAGCGTGGCAACGACACTTTTCATGGAGGTAGGGGCGGTAGAGGAGGTAGGGGCAATAGAGGTGGAAGGGGAGGTCGAGGTGGGAATTCGCGCAGCGATGGTCGCCCTGAGAAACCACGGGGCAAACTTGGATGGGCAGAGCTTGGAGGAGAATACCTGCACTTCACATTGTACAAGGAGAACAAAGACACGATGGAGTCAATAGCATACTTGGCGAGTCAGATGAAAGTACCGGCCAAGAGCTTTCAATTCGCCGGCACGAAGGACAGGAGAGGAGTCACGGTTCAGAGAGTTTGCGTACGAAGAGCTTATGCAGACCAACTGAGTAAACACGGGAAGCTCCTGAGGCAAGCAAAGATAGGAGATTTCGAATATCAGCCCAATGGACTCGACCTTGGCGACCTCACAGGCAATGAGTTTGTCATCACACTGCGAGACTGCTCGTTCTCTGGTGCTGCAGATCTGCCTCACGATGAGAAAGCCAAGGTGGCGGAGGATATCATCAAGACAGCTGTGGCGAACCTGAACCGCAACGGCTTCCTGAACTACTATGGTCTCCAGCGATTTGGCACGTTTGCTGCAACAACGGACGAGATCGGGGTCAAAATGCTACAAGAAGATTTCCGTGGTGCGGTCGACAAGATCCTGGATTTCGATCCGGCCCTCCTTGATATCGACCGAAGGAATCAATCATCCACACCAGTCGCAACAGATGACCTCGACCGCGCACTGGCCATCAATATATGGCGGACTACTGGAAAGGGTTATGAAGCTCTAGGCATACTTCCCCGTAAGTTCTCTGCTGAGGCGGCCGTCATCCGCCATCTGGCTGCGCGAGGACATGAGAACGATCTCCAGGGTGCATTACAGACCATATCACGCCCGCTGCGTTTGATGTACGTCCACGCATATCAGTCTCTAGTCTGGAACGTGGTAGCATCAAAGCGCTGGGAGTTGTATGGCGGCCGTGTCGTCGAGGGCGACTTGGTCCTTGTGCACGAGCATAAGGACAAGGAGAAGGACTCTGAGCCAATTGCACCGATCGAAGACTTCGACCAAGCAGGAGAAGAGGTAGTGTTACCTGCGGCGGAAGATCGAGCCACAGGTTTGGACGATGTACATGAACGTGCCAGAGCTCTGAACAAGGAAGAGGCCGAAAGTGGACAGTACAGCATATTTGATGTGGTGCTAAGCCTGCCGGGCTGGGACGTGGAGTATCCCGCCAACGCTATTGGCGAGTTTTACAAGGAATTCATGGCCAGCGAACGCGGTGGAGGGCTCAATCCACATGATATGCGTAGAGGTTGGAAGGAAGTAAGCTTGAGCGGCGGGTACAGGAAGCTCCTCGGCAAAGTTGGAGATGGCATGACCGGAGAGGTGAAAAGCTACAGCAGTGTCGATGAGCAGTTGGTCGAGACAGACCTTGACAGGTTATTCAGGGAGAGGAACCTGACAACCGCCAACGACCGACAGAACTTGCCCAAGGCAGGCGATGATGAGCTCACGAAGAAGATTGCAGTCATCATCAGGATGAAGCTTGGATCGAGCACATATGCGACAATGGCGCTGCGAGAGCTCATGAAGGCTGGCGGCGTCAAGACATATAAGCCTGAGTACTCGGGTCGCGCTTAGTGATTGGTAAAGGGGTCAAAAGAAAGCTGGTCTGTCTATCATTGGGCATTGGGCCAAGTTGAGGATCGGGGTGCACAATCAACAAGCAAGCACAAAAGCTGCGATTTTCTACAATGCGTGTGGATACGAGGCTTCTTGTCGAGCTGGCAGAATCGGTATTTAGTTTAACAGCGCATGATAGACCTCGACGTAGAGCTGAATGCAAAAGCATTGTGCGATGAAAGCGCACTATTATTCACTGTGAGGTCAGCCGGGATTTAGGCCTGACCCTCAGCCAGGCCAGCCCAGTCAGGCACTAATCGCCGCACGTCACAACGCGGACTGACGTCTCATCAAACTGCAGCACCCCACTCTCTCTGTTTCCTCCAATCTCCCTGCTTCTTTGTCTCCCCCCCCTCCCCTTTCATACTCTCCCCTCTCATTGTCATCCTTGACTGTGTACAAAGAATTCTTTTGCTGATCCAATACCTTTATTGTCGCTTGTAATTCCTTCTTAAACTGTCGCCGTTCTGCATCTAGATGCTCCGCTGTACATAGACACAGGGGCTCTCTTCGTAATAGCAACATGGACAAGATAGAAAGGTACGCAACATTGACAACTGTTCACGCCCTTCAGATTGTGGTTGTCGACTTGTACCATCATTGTGGTGTCATTGATATGCACTGTACCCCCCGATTGTCCTAGTCATATCCATGTCCATGCTAACCAAGTGCACTCTATAGTCATAAGCGCTCAAAATCTAGTAGCGTCAAGTCGCTACTCTCCCGTGTATCCTCACGCAACGAAGCCGCGGCACACGACGGTGAATCCTCTACCGCTCCTACACAATCTACAACATCTCCGTCTCTCTATTCGCAGCAACCATCAACGCGACCAGGCACGCAGCACACAAGACAACCGTCGATGAAAGGAAGAGTGCATTTGTCCGCAACCATGTCACCAGAAGGCGTGTCTCCGGTACCGCAGCCAACCTCGGCTCCTTCACGGCCTGGCAAGAGCGCAACGATCGAACAGTCTGTGAAGATGTTTAGGGTCTTCGAAGCACTGCGGAATGGGGATACTGCTGCAATTTCAAAAGCTGTGAGGGATCAGTCTGGTGGGCTCGAAGGTACTTCGATATTACACTTGGCCGTACAATGCGCCGATCTACGTGTCGTAGAGTTTGTGCTGTCAAACATCACTGCTGGAGAAGGCAATGGCCTGGATATTAACTCGCGGGACCGCGACGGAAACACGCCGCTTCATATTGCTGCAAGTCTCGGTCGCTTCCCGGTGGTCAAGATGCTCCTTGCTCGGGACGAAGAGATCAATGACTCGGTTACCAACTTCAACGGACAGACTCCCTTGGACGTTGCACGTGGTGCAGACGTGCACCAACTGCTCCAGGAGAAGCGTTTCGACTTCATCCAAGAATGCATCACACATATCCATGAGCTGGTCGTTAAGAAGAATTACGACGAGCTGAAGAGAGTGCTGGTGGATGCGAAAGTCAAGAGTGTGCTCGATGTCAATCAGCCAGATCTTGCTACGGATCATACGACACTGGAAAGCGGCGGCACATTGTTGCACCAAGGCGCTCGTGGTAAAGATGCCACTCTGATTCAACTACTTTTGCTCAATGGAGCCGATCCATTCCGCAGAGACCGGAAAGGGAAGTTGCCCCAAGATGTCACAAAGGATGATAAGACGAAAGCGTTGTTGAAGAAATCGCCCGCAGCGGCCGCGGCGCAACGCGGCATCCAAGAGAAGACCATTCTCGGTGGTGCAGCATCCCAGCCAGGTGCTGACGGTACCCTTGGTAGCAAGGAAGCGCGCGAAATGAAGGGATATCTGAAGAAGTGGACCAACTACACGAGTGGTTACAAGCTCAGGTGGTTCGTCTTGGAAGATGGTGTATTGAGCTACTACAAACGACAAGGTATGTGAATATGCACAGATGTGTGACGGAGTGCAACTAACACTTCGATCAGAGGATGCTGGATCGGCGTGCCGTGGCGCTATCAACATGAGGATAGCCAAGCTCTATATGGATCCCAAGGACAAACAACTCTTTGAAATACAGGGCAAATCATCAGTCAAATACCACCTCAAAGCGAACCACGAAGTCGAAGCGAAGCGATGGTTCTGGTCGTTGAACAACGCCATTCAGTGGAGCAAGGATGAAGCTAAAGAGGATGAGCGTCGACAGAAGACTGATTTTGAGTCAACAAGGCACTCTACCAGTGAAAGGAAGCAAGCAAAAGACACGGACGCGGCCAGTATTACAAGCTCCAAGGCTGGTGGACATCTCCATCCCAGTAGTGCCCTCGGACCAACAGCAAGTATATCGAGAACTGTTAGCGAAGCGCACGAGGAAGAGGGCAGTGCTTATGCTCCTAGCATGTCAGAGCTGGGCAAGCTGGTGAGCCATGCAGGCACCAACACAGTTGACGAGGACCCAGACGATGAAGACGAATACTTTGACGATGCCAGTAGTCACGAGCCTCAGCCCGCGAATAAGGATGCTTTTAACACGACCGCTCAGTCCGCAAAATTACAGCTCGAGCTTCTTGCACAAGTGTCGCACGCCCTTCACATGGAGCGAGAGAGGAATCCTTCACTACAGCTGGCAGACGCCGTCGCCACACAAGCTCTCAGTTCATATGAAGCCGCCGTTGGGACTTTGAAGGCGCTTCTTGGTGACTTGCTTAGAATCTCACGGGACCGTGACGCTTATTGGCAATACCGATTAGACCGTGAGGCCAACGTTCGACGAATGTGGGAGGAGAGTATGGCGCAGGTCGCCAAGGAACAAGAACAGCTCGAGGAGCGCATTGGCGAGTCCGAAGAGAAGCGCCGACAGACTAAGCGGGCTCTAAGAGAAGCTCTGGGAGGCATGGACAATGCGGCTGGTGCGGCTGGTGCTGAAGATGCCCAGCCTGACGCCGGAGCACCGGGCGCGAAGTCTGCAGAGCCTGAGCTCACCTTGCCTCGCCGAAAGACTACTCTCGTAGACCCAGCGATTATCGACTCAGACTCGGAGGACGATGAGGAGTTTTTCGATGCTGTCGGTGCTGGTGAAGTAGAAGTGATTGAAGAAATGCCTGTCACGAGCCCTGGTCTGAAGGAGTTCGAGACGGCACCATCCACAGATATGACTTTGGGAGATAAAGCGGCGGAAATCTCGACTGCATTTGCCGGGTATGAAGATGGGCCTCGGAAGAGATTGAAGATGGATGCAGATGATCGACCGAAGATCTCGCTCTGGGTATGTGTGCCACTTGTTCTGACTGCGGTCGTAATTGACGAAAAATAGGGGATCTTGAAGTCCATGATTGGTAAAGACATGACTAAGATGACGCTGCCTGTATCGTTCAACGAACCTACTTCACTGCTTCAGCGTGTAGCAGAGGATATGGAATATACCGATCTTCTTGACCAGGCTGCCGATCGAATGGACTCAACAGAGCGTATGGTATACGTGGCTGCCTTTGCAGCCAGTGAGTACGCTTCTACGATTGGACGCGTGGCTAAACCTTTCAATCCTTTACTTGGTGAGACGTACGAGTACGCCCGACCGGACAAGGGCTATCGGTTCTTCATTGAACAAGTCAGCCACCATCCGCCCATCGGAGCGGCGTATGCAGAGGCTCCGAAATGGGACTACTACGTGAGTGGAATGCCGCACTCGATTTGAAAAGGAAGCTAACATGACATGCAGGGTGAATCTGCGGTCAAGTCGAAGTTTTACGGTAAATCATTTGACATCAATCCGCTCGGGACATGGTTTCTGCGCCTACGCCCCACGTCTGGCGGCTCAGAACTCTACACATGGAAGAAGGTCACGTCGTCTGTCATTGGGATAATCACGGGAAATCCTACAGTCGACAACTACGGCGTCATGGAGGTCAAGAACCACGCGACGGGTGAAGTGTGCACGCTCGAATTCAAGCCCCGCGGCTGGAAAGCCAGCTCGGCATACCAGGTTAATGGCAAAGTGCTTGACGGAAACGGTCAGACAAGGTGGTCTGTGGGCGGTCACTGGAACGACAAGATCTACGCTCGACTCACGCCCGGCTTCGAAGACGCGGCCGTGGGCGCAAACGCAAAGACCAACCAAGCAGTCCTCATCTGGGAATGCCATGCCCGTCCAAAGGGCATCCCGTTCAACCTCACGCCTTTCGGCGTCACGCTCAACGAGATCAACGACAAGCTCCGGCCTGTGCTTGCGCCGACGGACACCCGGCTCCGGCCGGACCAGCGCGCGATGGAGGACGGCGAGTACGACTTTGCGGCGAGCGAGAAGAATCGCGTCGAGGAGAAGCAGCGCGCAAAGAGACGCGAGCGAGAGGCGAATGGCGAGGAGTTTGTGCCGCGCTGGTTCCACAAGGCCACGGATGAGGCGACTGGGGAGGAGTTTTGGCAGTTCAACCACGAGTACTGGAAGGAGCGGGATGCGGTTGCGAAGGGGACGAAGGAGTGGAGCGGGCTGGAGGATATTTTTTAGAGATGAAGAATAAAAGAAAAAATATCGGATAGATTAGTCTGGTTTTAGTCTTTTAAAAGAGCGGGGCTTTGTCTTGCTTGATATACAAGGAGGCTGTGGCTTGACTTGACTTGACTTGAATTGGCTTGAGCATCGATGTTTGCATTGCATGTGGTGAAGATGTGATTTGTTGACGTTGGCTGGCTGAACCATTAGAGAGTATAAAGCGTATAACTTTGAAAAATAATAAAATAGATATTAATAGATGGTTTTGATTATAATCTACTATGATTAATAAGCATCGCTGACTTACAGTAGGTACCTGTCCTGTTACACTATGTCCGCTTCTCATTCGTTCATTCAATTCCACCCTCCTCCATGGCTTCTTCTCTACATAAAGCACCTCATGAGTTGAACTGGCGAGGAGGAGTAGAGGACCATGAAGACGACTCTCCACCCGGAATCAATTGGTCCGCGCTTCAGGAATATGCCGTTGCAATCAAACAAGCACAATGCAAAAAAGGCACAACATCACCCTTGACCTGCACGCTACTCCCCCAATATAACAAGGGGGGCTCCCACCTCGTCAGGGCACTCCAATTCAACGACAGCACCATCTGGATCGCCCGCATTCTTATGCAACCTTCCAGCAGCGAGGAATCAGGCCAAACACTTCGCCACGAAGTCCCCACGCTGTCGATTCTCCGGAGCAGGAAAGTCCCAGTCCCGGAAGTATATGCGTATGAGGAGAGTCCTGACAAGAACGCCGTGGGCGCGGCTTTCATCCTCATGGAATACATCCCGGGCGATACTGCAATGGATGCGTTTGGTGGATGGGCACTGCATAAAGGGGAGATCCCGGCTTGTTATAAAACCGGGTTTTATCGGCAGGTTGCTTGTGTTCAGGTAAGGTTTTGTGGAGCGCGTAACGGAGCCTGTATTTATGGTTTTCCCAAAAAAAGAGGAAGAAACACTGATTTTGAGCCCCAGACGAGAGTTGCTTCAATCAGATTTCCCAAAATAGGGAGGATCACGCAACATGTTGACGACGACGACGGATCTACATCGTACACTGTTGAGGCTATTCCCGGAATCGGAGGACCGTTCTCGACAGCGGCAGACTATCTGGAAGCATGGGCCCGCGCCGCGAAATTCCCCGTGTCAGGCCGCCACCTCGACGCCATGCTACCCCCCAAATACAAAACCGAACTGCAATTCTCCATCGCAGACTTCCCGGCCAAGCTCCGCGCCCTAGCCCGCTCCCTGCCCCTCCAAGACGGACCATTCCCACTCTACCACCCGGACCTCTTCCACAGCAACATCATCGTCGACAGCGCGTGTAATGTTCTGTCATTCATTGACTGGCAAGACGCATGCACGGTGCCGTGGGAGGTGGTGCAGTACCCGATGTTTCTGGCTACGACGCCGGTGGCTATGGACGCGCCGTGGAATTATGGCGAGGGGGGTGAGCCGCTTGTGCCGGAGATTCGGGAGCAGTGGGCGGAGCAAGGGGAGTACTTGCAGTTTGTGAGGCAGGCAGAGCAAGATGAAGGATTGGATGGTAGATTCTCGTCTACGCTGGCAGATGGGCGGGCGCAGGGGCTGGCGGGCGCGGTGAAGCTGTACTTGGATCCGGGGAAGATTGGGTTTTATTGTAGGGTTTTGGAGGCGTTTGGATGAGAGGGTTTGGTTTGGTTGTGGGATGGGCATCGGGATGGTTGTAGGGGAGGAGTTGGGGGGTTGAGGAGCTGTGGATGATGTAAATATTGTCTTTTTGCAAGGGGTGAATTGGTATAGATGTGCTTTCATGGGAGCTGGAAATCATTATAATGGTAAGTACTACCTTTTACTTGAGATGAGACTCGTATGTGACAAAGGTGTATTTGAAGAAAGAAATGTATATAAGAGGATACAAGTAGAGACAATACACATAGATATAATCGTTATAAGGTCGGGATAGAGAGAAGAGCGGACTAATATATCTTATAAATACGTAATACGTTGTATAGAGTAGGGTAGGAAAGAGTATCTAGAGGTCTTGGTACATGTAATATAGTTAGAGACTACATATTTACGTTCAAAGGTCTAGGTCCTAGATTCAGATAATAGCTTTTCTTATATAGAGAAGGTTACTATCTAGAAAAAAGATACGTGCTAAAAGAGCGAATGTTAATAATACTTTAGAAGCTTATGTCTTTCTCTATTTACTATGAATTCAGAGAGTCTTTGCTAGTCGTAGTAGGTCTTATAGCTATCTAGCGCTCTTGGTTATCTTACTCGGTCCTATGTTATATCTCGTTTCTTTCTTATACTAACTATGCTATCTACCTCTCTCTCTCTTACTAACGTCTTAATAATTCCTTTGTCGAGTAGTCTTTTATACTAACCAACAACGTATTAGTAATTTCCTTTGGATTTTCTTTCCGTATCTTGTATACTCTCTTTCTTCGTCTGTCCGGCGATAAGCCTAGGAGTAATATTAAGCTGCTCGTGGGTTATATAGTATTCAAGAGTGAGTATGGTAGAGAGGCGAAGTAGTAGATAGAAAAGGTATGTGTTGGTGGAGGTAATGAAGGATAGAAGCACCGCAAGAAGGCTGTGAAGATACATTGTAGTGGACTTGGTTGGACTTCATCCGTATAGCCAAGCTTCCATAGCTAGGTAGATATAACCAAGCACATGTAACCAGTGCCGCACACGTATTACGATGAACAGCCAATCCACGATAGATCGCCGAATGTACGTGAGTATACATGTTACTAAATGCAATGTAATTAGACTTCTATACTAATTAGCTTTAGATATGATATATCGAGGACTAGGCGTAAGATTTATATATTAATAGTATGTATAGCTACTCGTTATATATAAAGTACTAGGTTAGAAGAAGAGAAGGTACTTGCGCCTCGCTAAATTGGGATATTATATATATATGATGATGATAATAATAAGGAGTATACCATTCGTCGAATACTATGTCTTGGAGTATATTAGGAAGGGTGGTTGCGGCCAAGTGTACTTGGCAGTAGGTACAGTAGATATATGGGATAGAATGCTGACTCTAGACTGGGGCTTAGAGACGACGATGATGGGTGATGTATCGATGAGGCACAGTATAATAGCTATGGGATGATCCGATCGACCTTGGCGAGAATAAAGTAACAACGAAACGAACCACCGCCTTTCCATGCTCTGCCAGCACCTGCAGCTTGCATGCATGCATGCATACGCTTCCAACTATGCCACATATGGAAAAGGGCTGGCACCTCAAGACTGGCGCTAAACTCTCTCGTGTACATACATACGTCCATTCTCCCCTCCCCCCTGTTCTTCACTTGCTATTATATGCTAGCTAGATGGCAATTCCGTTCCTCTGTTGCTTCTTTACCTTATTATAATTTATATATATATACACATATATATTCTGCCCCGCACCCGACCCTGGCTTGAAGTAGGGAAGGGGAAGAGGAGATGACTGGATTCGACGAGCTAGCGGAAACAGACGGGGACGATGAATTCAAGGCGTGGTTGTCAAAGCTCTTGGATGCAAAGCAGGAGATTGTGGCTTTTGTGGCCTCTCGTCGACCGGGCAGGGCTGTGGGGGTGTTTGACGGGTATCTCAAGGGCTCGTTCAATCTCAGTCTCGTTGTGCGATTTAGTGACGGAGAAGAAGATGGCGAAGGAAAGGGAGCAGGACCGAAAGCCGTGATCCGCTTCCCGAAACCAGGCCACACCGCCACGGATATCCGGGACGAGAAAGTCCGGAATGAAGTCCAGGTCTTGCAATTCCTGAGCGAGAGGACTAGTATTCCTGTGCCTCGGGTGGTGAGCTGGGGCTTGCTCGCCGACAGTCCGCAGCAGCTCGGCCCCTTTATAATCATGGACTACGTCGACGGTGTCTCGCTGGCAACGCTCCTCAAGCAGCCCACCGCCACCGAACAAGACGAGGTCATCCTCGCAGACGCCGTCGACGACGCAAAGCTCGACTACGTCTACGAGCAGCTCGCCGCATACATGCTCCAGCTCTCCCGCCTCGACTTCGCCGCCATCGGCGCAATATCAAAGTGTCCGGCTACAAACACATGGCACGCCCGCGAGCGGCCCCTAACATACAACATGAACGAGCTCAAGACCGTAGTCTCAGCCTACCCGGACCACGACGGCCGTCCCACCGCCCCCTTCCCCACCGCCTCATTCTTCCTCCACTTCCTCGCCGACGAACACCTCATCCACCTCCGCACGCAGCGCAACCTCGCCGACGACCGCGAGGATGCCAAGAAACGCTTCGTCGCCCGCCACCGCTTCAAGCAGCTCGTCCCTCGCTACTGCACCCACGACGCCGGCCCGTTCAAGCTCTTCTGCGACGACCTCCAGCCGACGAACATGCTCGCGGACCCGGACTCGCTGCGCATCACCGCCGTGCTGGACTGGGAATTTACAAACGCTATGCCGGCGCAGTTTGCGCACGATCCGCCGTGGTGGCTGCTGCTGCTGGGGCCTGATATGTGGCTTGAGCGTCACTCGATGGAAGAGTTCATGGCGCGTTATGGGCCTAGGTTGGAGCAGTTCTTGCGGGCGTTGGAGCGGGTGGAGAGGAAGGGGTCCGAAGAAAAAGGGGTCGAGCGAGATGGTACACTTCCTCTGCTTTCTGAGCGCATGCGTGAGTCCTGGGCGACGGGGAGGTTCTGGTTTGACTATGGGATTAGGAAGAGTTTTGATGTCGATGCGGTGTATTGGGCTGCGCTTCACAAGGAGGGCGATGATGATGATGATGTGCTAGGAGACGAGAGCATGAGAGCGGAGATGGAGAGGTTTGTGGACGTGAAGATGGAGCAGTTGGAGGCTTATAAAGCAGAGTGCGAAGTCCGGTTTGCTTCGTGACGCTCTGGTGTCTATAGGCTTTTTGTCTAGAGCTCTCTTGTACACTTTTTTTTCTTCTCACTAAGAATCTCATACCCCTTTTATGTTAAACTAGAATGAGATAAGTTTCGACCTTCAAGAAAGTATACATTATAGTATTACCGTTATTATTCTCGATATATGTCGATATATATACATATATATAATAGACTCTCTCATATGTAGAGATCCGACGGGTTTCAGGTAACTATTAATTAAGCACCCGCGCGTTATACGAGAGGGAAAAAAGGACGCCAAGATAGTTAGTCATCTATATAGGCCTCGGGCGCGCCTGTTCTACATTCTACACGATCCATTCTACATTCTACTCCACAACATGGAAAATGTACCATGCCGGGATAGGCACCGGCACCGGCACCTCATGCCTGTACATGTACATTTCTGTATTCACGAGCACGTATTGGACGACATCCGATCGATGCATTGAAAAGGCCCTTTTTTTCACACTTTTGTTTTTGATTCAGGTTGTAACATGTTTTGTATGTTTCATCCTTCCCTTTCCGGGGCAAGAGTAGGTAGGAAGGAAGGTAGGAAGGAAGGTAGGAAGGAAGGTAGGAAGGAAGGTAGGAAGGAAGGTAGGAAGGAAGGTAGGAAGGAAGGTAGGAAGGAAGG